CTGAACCAGTACACAGAGGCTGCTGCTGCTACTACCAAGCAGCACAGAACCCCCCAAAGCACGAATTTGTGTTTGCCGCTGAAGGCCCATCGCTGCTTCTGCTTATCCTCTTCGTTCTCGAATGGGAGACCCAAAAACCATGCCAGCCGCTTCTGCTTGGCCTTAGTCACTCCCGCCCTCTCCAGGTTCTCCTCACTGGGCGGCAGGCCCCTCTCCACCAATTTTCTAGCCACATGGCGCACTACTTTGATCTCTTCCCACAGGTCTTTGCGCTCCGCCTCAGACATCAAAGGAGTGTTCTCAACCAGCCGCTGGTACAATGGCTCCCCAGCATCCCCTTTCAGCATAGGATGCGGAAGAGCAAGGACCCCAGGAGCTGCATTAGGGCCACCCGGGGCCCCTGGGGCCCCTGGGGCTGCTGCCACAGGATTGATGGGCGCCAGAAGTCCAGGAGGGTTGGTCAACAGGTGACCTGTCTGCAGTTCAAGGGACCCGATGCGCACTAGTGGCTGCTGCTGCTGTTGCTGCTGTTGCTGCTGTTGTTGCTGCTGCGGCTGCTGTTGAGAGGGCGTGGCCCCCGCTGTTGCGGGTGGATGTCCTGGCTGTTGCTGTTGAGGCTGCTTTTGGCCCGCCGCCAGGGCGTCAGCTATCATCTTTTGGGTCTTTAAGGAGACTCCCGCCTCTACTAGATTCTCCGGAGTTGGCTCTTTGCCCATGCTTTTCAGCTTCAGGGCTGCTGCATGGGCAACGTGCAGAGCACGTAGCAGCTTCTGCTGCTCATCAGCAGTGCGGCTTCCCGCGGTCTGTTGCACCTTTTGTAATAGCTCGGGAGGTAAACTGTCGCCCTCCACTTCCTTGTTGTTGGGGACTGGGGATGCATGCTTGGCCTTCTCGCTTTTGCCTGCTGCTGCAGCTGCAGCTGCTGCTGCTCCTGCTGCTCCTGCTGCTGCTGCCGTTGACGAGGGCGAACTTGGTGCGGCGTGTTCCGTTGCCCCTCCGTGAGTAGCCTCCGCCGCTTGTTTCTGCATTTCTTTTTCCTGCTTCTCCCTGTAACAACGGCAGCGCCCGCATCATCAGTTGCATGACAGCATGCAGAACGTCTACCGACTTCGAGCAGCAGCAACAGCTAACACAGGTACGTGACAGCAGCAGGTGCGCCCCTTGAGCAGTAGAAACATCATGAACAACAGCAGCAGCATGAGTCGTTGTGAGTTACTTGTCAGGCTGGCATTCTTTGGCTAGCTGCTCTCTCTCTTTTCTCCTTGCCTCTTCTTTTTCCTCTGGCGTATCCCCACCAGGGCCTAATGGGTCATCTTCATCGTCCTCAGGCTTCTCTGCAAAGCCAGCAGCCAACCAGCTTGAAACCCAACCCACGGGGTGCCCTGTACCTTTGCGCATTAAAAATCGAACTGCATCAGCAGCAGCAGCAGCAGCAGTTGTGACAGCAAAAGAGACGGAAATATTCAATGGCACAACTTCTTTTGTTCATCACAGCACTACTGACTTTCACTTTCCGTGAGCCAACAAAAGCAGCGATAGCCCAGTCAAACCCAGAATTAGCATGCAGAGGCAGCGACTGCAGACTGGACAGCCACAGGAAGAAGCAGCAGCAGCAGCAGAAGATTCAGCAACAGCAACAGCAAAACTAATGAGCACGTGCAAGCGAACCTGGATTGTTGGAGTCACCACCGGAGGACTCCTCCTCGTTGCTCTCCTCTTTTTCGTTATCTTCGTCTTTGTCTTCTTCCTTGTCCTTTTCCTTGTCCTTGTCCTTGTCCTTGTCCTCGTCCTTGTCCTTGTCCTCGTCCTTGTCCTTATCTTTGCCCTTTTCGTCCTCCTCGCCTTTATCTTTATCGTTGCCTTTGCCTTCATCTTCTTCGTCGTTGCCTTTTTCTGTCTTTGCCTCTTCTTCCCCGTCCGCCTCTTCATCTTTGTCTGGGTGTGGCGCCTCCCCTGTGCCTTTGTCTTTGTGCGGGCCCTTCTGGCTGTCTTCGTGGCCGCCTTCCTCATCGGGTTCTTCTGCTTCTGTTTCCCCGTCCTTGCTGCCTATCTCATCGTGATCTGCTTCGCTTGGCTTGTGGCCGCCTGCTGCCTCATCACCATCACCTTTGCCTTCTTGCTCCGAACCGCCTCGCGCTTCTGTGACTTCCGAGGCTCCTTTTGCTGATTTTGCTTCTGCACCCTCTTCCTCTTCTCCTTCTTCGTCAGCGTCGTCGTCCTTTTGGTGGCCGCTGCCGCCTGCACTGCCCCCGCTGCTGTCTTCCGTGTCTGCTGCTTCGCCATCTTCTCCGTCCTCGCCAGTTTCTTTGGAACCCTCTGGACCCCCCTTCCCCCTTCTCCCTTTTTCATCTCCTTTGGCATCTTTTTCGGTCTCCTCATCTGCCTCTTTTTCTGTCCCTTTCTCTGCGTCGTCGTCGCCTTCTTCCTCCTCCTCTTCTGCCGTTTCGCTTTTTCCCGTCTCCACAAATACTGGGACCTAAAAGGAACCCGCAGCAGCAGCAGCAATAGCAGTGCATGTCAATAGTTGCATCCTCAGCAGGTTGCAGCTGCAGCCCAAGGCGTGCAGTGAAACCCCATATCCTTTAGCCCTTTTCATTTGGCTTTTTCAGCCCATTCAACTTGCTGGTGTTGATGATGCTGCTGTTGCGGCTGTTGTTGCTGCTGTTGCTGTTGCTGCTGCCGATCCCGGTGCTGGCAATGCCACGACCAACAAGGGCCAGCTCTTTTCAACCAGCGTGACAGCCCAGCATGTCACGAAGTAGCAACGACAGCAGTTACAGAAGTATCACCAGCAGCACTATAGCAGCAGCAGCATCACCCAGGGCAACAGCAGCAGCACGGTAAAAGCGGCGGTGTAATCTAACCCGTGGCCAGAGGTTCCCTCGACGGAACCTGCCTGGAATTCCCGCCTTAATAGCTTTGACGGGGTGCAGGCAAGTGCAAATTCTGCAACCGTCAGGTCGCAACATCAGTAGTACCAGCAGCACCACAAGCGCCAGCAGCAGCAGGTGACCTCTGCTTCGTCTGGAGTGTCTGTCTTTTGCCTGAGCCCTCAGAGGGTGACCTCTTGCCTTCCTGCTGCTCCACTTACAAAAAGAGCAACGGGGGCCCCCCTGGGGGTCCCCCGGAGGTGTTGAGGCCCCTTTGTGTCTCATGGGGCCCCAGGGGCCCCTTTTGCTCGTGTGAAGCCCTGGAGGCCCTGGCCGGCCATCTTCAGCTGCAAGAAGGGCCCCCGAGCGGGTAAGGGCCCCTGGGGGTCCAACGGCCCCCTGGCGGTCCCCGTGGGGGCCTGAGGAAGGAAAGAAGGGCGCCAGTTGTCAACGGGGCCCTACGACCTCTGCGCTGCAGGGCTTTGGGGACCCTGCAAGTTGGTAAAGCCCTGAGTATCTTGAAAACTTAAAAAGGGAGACCGAAAAAACCTCAATAAGACTCCTTGGGGGCTGTTTCCGGACCTGGACTCGCGTCAGGTCCATGGGCTGGTCATGGGGCCTCAAAGTAAGGTCCTGGGCATAGCTTGGGCCCGATACTCTGCGTCTTTGGCCGCAAACAAAGCCCAAGATATTGTCTTAACTCGTTTCCACTGAAGACACTGGCAATTGTAGGAGCTGGTGCAGATGCTGCTGCTGGTGCTTCTGTTGCTGCAAGCCGCCGCAGCGCCGGTTCCCGTTGGTGGCGGAGTGACTCTGCGGGCAGCTGCAGCGGCGAATTCACTCATCTCCGTGCCGTCTTCCTCACGTCTTCCTTTTTACTTTTAATCCTTTAAAATAAAACTAATTTTTTGCAGTGGAAGATCCCCTTGACAATATCAAGGCACTTCAGTCCCAGGAGACTGCTGTGCTGAAAAATCTGCAGCTGCTCCTGCAGCTGCAACAGTTGCTACAGCTCAGCAGCGCTAGCAACTGCCACTGGTCTGCTTATCTCCGGTGTTGTACCCGCTAAACCTTTTCTTCTTCTCTATGCAGCGCTGCAGCTGCATTGTGCATGTTTACCGCTTCTGCTGGAGGCCTCACTCTGAGGTACGAATCCTTGGCTGTCGTCGCTAAGCTGCTGCAGAGTATACACTTCCCCTGGACTTCTTTGAAATTCCCTGTCCGCGGTTGACTCAACAATTAGCGGCAGCGGTAGCTACTGCTCGTGCTGTATGCCTGCTGTAGCGGACAGCCATCAAAAGAAGCCCATAGCACGCCAGCAGCAGCAACGGCCCCACATACGGCAGCAGTAACGAACTAAAGTGCAAGACAGCGCAGCAGCAAGTCAAGTTGTGTTTAGCACGCCTCCGCTCACTGGTCTGACTAACGTTCCGCAGTACCTAACAAGTTCTGTGTAGGGTCAGCAGCTTAGAATTCTTTCGCGTATCTTTTACGTAGCTACACGGCTGCATCCCTCGTCTCAAATTTGCTTCTATCTTTTCCCCTCCTCGCTTTTGTTGTTACGCCTCCTTGCTTTAGTGCCTTTCTGTGTCTGTTATTTTCTCTGCCTGCTGCTGTTGTTTTCTCTTCTGTCCATTTCTGATTTTGCTCTACCTTTGTGTATTCCTCGGTTCGTCCCTTCGCCGTTACTCACATTTCGAAAAAATATCTAGTTCGATAGCTACTTAGCTAGCTAGCTAGCTAGCTAGCTAAACAGGTAGCTAGCGGTCAAGCGCGCAACACTGTTAAGGGAGCTCTCCGCCTGCAGGCTCTGCAGCCCCTAGTCCAACGACCCGTAGACGGGCCCGGGAGGATTTTTTGAAAAGGAAAGAAAAGGGCAGCGAGAGAACAAGATGGAGACACACGGAAGCTGACTGATGCAGGAGCAAAACAAAGGACTAAAAGGTAGCCACAGCAAGTATAAGCACGCTGAATACGTAATAAATTCTTGTAGAATTCTCGGCAATAGGTATTGCATTTAAGAATGCGGCTACAGTGAGACGGGGGAAGAGGAAGAAACAGACAAAGAAAACCGCAGATTGGCTAGCTGTCCCGAAGCAGCTCGCCACTGCACCTAGCTTGAGTCCACAGCTAGCTAGCCAAAGAGAACACAACAGCATACACCCCAAGCCCTAGCGTGGCCCCACTACTCGCGACCGTGAGGGCCCAGTCGGCTCTTTGGCCGACAGGCACGGCAAATTCCAGGGGGCCCTCCTCCTCTGCTGCTCCTGTTGTTGCTGCTGCAGTTAACTGCTGCTGCGGGCGCCCTGAGCACTCCAGCCCGACAACGGGAGCAGCCAGAGAAAATTTCAGGAGTCCGCTGCAGCTGCTGCTGCAAGGCGGACCGTATCTGAGGTGTACTGGCAGCTGCACGGACACCTCGCGTGTATCCGGGGAGGCCTTCAGCATCTTGGAGTGTACGTACACCTCCTGCCGCACAACTGGAGGCACACCAAGCAGGGGAGAATAGCTTGGCAGCTCCACATTGACAAGGACGGGGCCGTGGTTGCAGATGGCCTCGGATGAGGGCTTGCCAGGGCAGGAGGGCTTGAAGAGGGTGGTGGGCCGCAGCAAGATGGGGCTGCCGGGGGATCGTGGACTGCCTCTTCTGTAGTTATGTGGGGCCCCCAGCTCGTGGGTTTGGTCTGGGTCGGCAAACACTTCCTGCGGAAGACGATACTCAAGCCAGAGGAGGCACTGTTCCGCTTCTCCCTTGCTGTCTGCCGCAGCAGCAGCTGCTGCTTCAGCGTCTGGAAGGACCTCCAGCTGGACTCGTGTCTCGAGCACTCGGTGGAAACCCCTGCCCTGCAGCATCGTTGAGGCCCCCTCCAGGGACAGAAAACCATGTTTGCCGCCAGTCCCGACACTACTGCTGCTGCTGCTAGCGTGGCTGCTAGCAAGCGTGTGCAGCAGCAGCTGCAGCAGCAGCCGTATGTGTCCGTGCATAGCGTAGCTGGTCGGCAATATGGACCCCTCCCTCGCTGACGATCTTGATCTGCTGAGGAGCTCTCGAGGCTCTTACTTAGTTTCACCCTTCATGAGCGCATCCAGACCAAGCAGAAAGAGAAGGAATAAGGGGGGCCCCAAGACAGCATGGGGGTCCCCTCTACCGCAGTGTGTGCAAAAATAGGGGCTGGCGGAAGCAAAGCAATGAAACGCCTTGCAAAATTCTAATTTTTTCTTTTGAGTACAAACAAAGAGAAGCAGCACTGACCCAGGAGCAGCAGCAATGGTGCTGAGGCTGCTGCTGCAGCTACCAACACAGGCCCCGTGGTGGGGCCCGGGGCCCCTGCAGTGGGCCTATCACTTGAGCCCTTAGCTGCAGATAAACTTCGGAAATGACGCTAAACTCCGTATCTTGTGCTGCTTGTTTTCAGCATAGAGCTGAACAGACCCTCGAGCTCTGCTCCAGGGGCTCGCGCTCCCCGGAGGCCTTTTGAGGCCTTGCAAGTGACCTTCGCCGGAGGGCGGGGCCCCCAAGGAGCCCAGCAGCAACTGCAGGTGCTCTGTTAGCAACAGCAGTGGTTACAACAAGACCATTAGCGGAGGTAACCACTAGAGCCGCTTCAGAAAGGGCAGCGGCAGTTGCAGGTACTGCAACTGCTTGGGCCACTGCTGCTGCAGCTGCCGCTGCCCTCATTGCCGTCCGGCTGCTGCAGCCATGCCCCTCCGCCCGCAGGGCCATCGCATACGGCTGCTGGGGGATAGGCCCTCATGCTGCTTGTGGCTGCAAAAACGAGTTCGGCCTCCACCAAGGGGCCCCCTCACAAAGGCCTTGGGGCTCCCAGAAAGGAATATAGCGTCTCCCAGGCAGTGGTGCACATCTGCAGCGTCTTGTGCGGTATGTCGCTTCATCTGCAGCAGCAGCAACAACAGTAGCTGCAGCAGCAGCACCAACTACAGTCCTAGCACTGGCGGCATCTACACCTCCAGGTGTACAACCGCCATTCACAGCAACCGCGGCAGCCGCAGCCGCAGCAGCCGCTTGTCAATTGTGCCTTATCTGAATCTACTTGAGAGGTCTTTCAGCTCGGCAACAGATGAGTCCTCTCCCGCTTCTGCTGCTGCTGCAGCAATTGAAAGCACCGCTGGCTCCGATGGCGCCTCCGCCATCAACAGTTCCGCGGCCCCTGGGTGCCCCCCAGGACCCTCTAGGGGACCCCCACCTCCCCCGCGTCTACAGGCCCTGCTGCGCCTGCAGACGTTGGTGGCGTCGCAGATGCGGCAGCATAGCTTGCCACCCACAGAGGCAGAAGCAGACGTGCTCATGGGCTCCATCCACAACACCGTTGAGGTGGCCCCTGACGACGGCTACAGGGGCCCTCCTGAAAGAGCCCCGGAGGATGAAGTTGGGGGTAGGTCTGAGGGTGAATCTGACACTCGGGGGCCCCAGGAGCCAGCCCGAATGTGGGGAGACAGTGGGGGCCCCCCTGTGGAGGGCACTGGAGGGGACAGCGCCCCCCGCAGGGGGCGGGATCGTAGGGAGCGACGCGAGTTGCTGCTGCAGTGGAGGGCAGCAGCAGATGACATTATACGGCTGAGCGGCCGCATGCGGCCGCGGGAGCTGCTGGAAGTGCTGCGGCTTCTGGCGCTCATCCCCCGTAGAGACTCCCAGGTGCTGCTGGCAGTGACGCAGGCGCTGCTGCAGCAGCAGCCTGAAGAGCCCTTGCAGCCACTGCAGCACCTGCAGCAGCAGGAAGGCGTAGAGGCGTTGTCAGTGCTCCAGACAGTGATGCTGTTGAGGCACCTACAGGTGCTAGATTTTGTCTGTCTCCCTTTAGCCCTCAGGGCACTCAAACACCTTGATGACTCTCTGAGTGTCGCTGCTCAGAGCTGCATGCAAGTCCATTACCTGCACCAGCAGCAGCAGCAGTATCCACAGCAGAAGGTGCCCGACTGCTTCGCAGAGACAGATTACGCCACGCTGGCACCTTACGTCCCCTGGCAGCAGCCAGTTGAGTGCGAAAATTCAGGAGCGGCAGTGGCAGCAGACTCCACAGCAGCAGTTTCACATCAGCAAGGCATGCACTGGGACAAGCCTTTGGGTGGATCCGCAGCTAGAGGCTGTTCTGCTGCAACGGACACTCCCTCGGGCCCTCTGTTGCCAGGGATGGCTGCTGCTGCTGCTGCCAATGTTGCTGCTACTACGAAGAGCACAGGCGCTCCGCATTTTCCCGATACAGCTGCAGACGCAAGGGCTCCTGCTGCAGGCAGAACGGCAATAGGGGCAGCAGAAGCAGCAGCAGCAGAATTGAGTTGGCGGTCTGCACTACATGCAGTGGGTGTCTCTCTCCTCAGCAGCAGTTTAGTGTATTTTAATAATGCCTTCAATCAGAACGGCGCCCGTAGATGTGATGCTCTCGACCGCCTGGGAGTTCTCATACTTAACCTCTTCATTAATAGACCCAATGAATTCAACGCAAAACAGACTGCGTCTCTTGTAAGGCCCCCTTGGTGCCGCTGCTGCTGCAATTGTTGCGTTCTTTGAAGCAGCTGCTGCTGACGTTGCCTCCCGTGTGGGGACAAGACTTGCTGCTTACTTTCGGGAATGCTGCTGCCCTCGTTGCGTTTGTTGTTGCTGGTGCCTTTGTATTTGGTGCTGCTGTTGCCGAAGAAAGTGTTTGTGCGCATGCGGGGGGGACCCCGAAGCCTCTACTGCTGCAACTGCTGCTGTTGCTGTTGTGGGCACGGGTGCTATTGCTTTTGCTGCTGCTGTTTCTGCTGTAGAGGCTGCCTCTCGCTCTTGTTGTAGCTGCAGCTGCAGCTGAAAGACAAGGGCAACTTAACAGGTCTACTAAACGGATTAGTATGTTGCTCATTCACTTGTTTGTTCACTTGTTGCCCGCAGGCCCTAAACTGCGTTGCTTTGGGACTAACGCCTCCTTCGCTGATAAATTGTTTGGTGAGGAGAACTCAAGAGCTGCTGCCTTATTTCACCTTTCCGCTGCTGACGCTGCAGCTAAACGTGATCACGCGGCTGCTGCAGATCAACTCGCACTTGCTGCAGCAGCAACAGCAGCAGCAGAAACCGCACCACAAGCAACCACAGCAGAGGCAACGAATTCTGCAGTGTCAGCCGCAACAACAGCAACTGCAGCAGCAGGCGATCGATATTCATGCGCTACCGCAGCTGTGGTGCAACATTGTCTCGCGCCTCTCTTCAGCGTTGCCCCAGGATGCAGCTGCAGCAGCAGCAGCCGCCAGCAGCAGCACCGCGAGGTCTCATCTGAGAGATTTGCTCCATGACCATATACTCGCAGCTCAAGAAGCATACGACGCATCCTTAAGGCAGCAGCAGCAGCAACATGGGGGAGTGGAAGACAAAAATGCCTTACCAAGTGGCGTCTCTTTGGTGGCAGGGGCTGATGGATTTGAGGCTCCTAAAGGCTCCCGCAGCCTCCCCCCAGTGCAGCCGCAGGACCTTAAGAACGTTGTGAATGCTCTTAATTCATTTTCGCGGTTGGCACATATGGGTTTGGTCTCCTTGCGAGATGTGTCAGCTGAAGCAGCAGGTGCTGCTGCTGTTGCTGCTGCTGCTGCGGCAGCGGCTGCGGACCAAATGGTGCCGGCAGCGGCAAGCCCACAGCAGCAACTGCTGAACAGCAAAACTTCCCGAGCAGGAGCAGGAGAAGCTGCAGCTGGCGAGACGGATGAGCTGCAGCGCTGGCAGCGCAGCAGGGCTCGACTTAGCAGCGTGGTGGAATGCACAGGAGGCTTCCGCATGCGTGGGGTTGAAATGGCTCCAGGGGATCGCCGCAGCAGCAGCAGAATATACGGCTTCTTTCACCGTGCCATTCTTCTGCTGGTGCAGCAGCAGCAACATCTAGACCCGCAATCACTCAGCAACGCAGTCAACGCGTTTGCCAAAGCCAGGCTTCAAGGGTAAGCAGCTGCAGCAAGAATAACCGCAGGTGCTGCGGATCTTCAATTGCTTGAACTGCTTTCAGCTGGGTCGAGCATCAACAAAAACAATAGTAACATCTGTTCGTTGTTTTCTTTTGTGGCTCAGACATGCTCGCTATGTTTCTCAACTGATTCCCCGAATGATTCAGACGGCCGAGAACTTCAGCTGGCAGCACCTCAGCATGACGCTGAATGGATTCGGCTGTGTGTTGCTGCTTGCGCTGCTGCTGGCTGCTGCTGCGTGTGATGCTACAGCAGCTTTTGTGGATACGCGTGGCGCAGCAGATGCGCTTGCCACATGTGAAAGTGCTGGTACAGATTTGTACGGTCTAATTTATTGTGCTGCTAACGGGGCTCCTGGTGCGAAGCAGAAATTGGTCCGTATGATTGCAACTACTGCTGTTACTGCTGCAGATATGCGCTGCAAGGACGACGGGCTTTTGCATGCGTTTTGGCAGGTGTTGAGGGAGAGGCCCCTTCATCTTATGGGAGGCAAGCCAAACTTTTACAAACGCTCAATCCTATAGAGGAAAGGCTGAACCCTGAGTGGTGTATCTGTGTAAAGGCTTTCACGAAAGGCTTTGTTTTGTGGGGCGATTGCAGCGCAAGCGACAACTAACATAATACATGCCCTGGGCAGTTTCGGCTTCAGAAACGCTGAGATGACGAGGTAATGCAGCAGTAGTAGGAGCACCAGTATATGCTGTAGCTCCAAAGTTTGCTGTGGGTCGAAGTAGCCTATAAGCAGAAGCTGCTGCAGGACACATTTACTCCAGCAACGGGAACGGCAGGTGCAACAGATAAACCATCGATTTGCGAGCGAAATTGAAAACCCTGCTACTAACTATACGGCATTTTGTGCTCTAGCACCACCTGCTGCATCGCCGCAGCCTGCTGCGGCAGCAGGAAGGACCTCAGGCAATGAATGGGGCTTGTCGCTGACAAGCGTTTGTGTGGGTATTTCTTTTCAGCCGGCTTGCAACGTCTTCTTGGATCTCTGCACAGCTGCCTGAGCTGACAACTCAAGGCAAGCGGCAAAGATGTTACAGTTACTGCTGCAGCTGCCGCTACTGAGCTAAAGTAGCTGCTGCGATTCACGCATTTTTTCCGTTTCTGTCTTTCGCAGGCCTAACGAATATCCTTTTCTCTCTCGTGGTGCTCGACTGCGTGTACGAGTGTAGTTTTCCGCCTCAGCAGCAGCCGCAGAAACAGAAGGGGATATGGCAACAGCTGTTGCAAGCAGCGTGCAGACGAAAGGACTTGAAGCTTGAGGCCATGACGATGCTGAAGGTGTCTGCTATGTCGATATTTGGAGTATACGGGGACCCCGCAGCAGCAGTGGCCGCAGCAGCTGCAGCAGAAGTAGCAGCAGCACAACAGCACAACAGCAGTCGTAATGCGTACAATCGTCTTTACGATAATAGTGGCAACTTTTTGCTGCATGCACTACAGCAGCAGCAGCGTCAGCTGGAGCGTGAGAGAAACTCTTTGGGAGGAGCCCCCTTAGCGAAAAACTACATGCAGCTTCAGGGCAAGACAGTCCCTGCTGCGATTGTCAAGCAGCCGCTAGATGTCTTCCTTCCTTACGAGCAACTCGACGAAGGCCATAAATTTCTCGTATGCAGCTGCTGCGTCGTGCCCCAACAGTTTTATGCTGCCTTCATCTTCAGTTGCACTGTCGTTTCTCGTTGCCTTTCAGCTGCAGATTTCGATGCTGCTACTGCGGTGCTTGTCACAGCTTGTTTTTTGGGCTCGGCTACAGCTGCAGTTTCTGTACTTGCTGCTGCCGCTGCCGTGCTGGTGCCACTGCCGATATAGCATAAAGTCTTCTCCTGCTTTTCTACTGCGCTAGCTCCGTAGAGAGGCTCGCATTTATCTGTGCACGCAAACAGTGTTCGTACTACCGTTACTGCAGGCAGCATTGCTAAATACGAGGACACTCATGTTCTACCCTGGGAAGCCGTCAGGTGCGTGTCAGTACTACTGGCAGCTGCTGCCGAAGGCCGAGGGCCCCTCAAGGCTCCTCGGTTGTTTCAGGTGTGTGTTTCAGTTGCTTATTTGTCCCTACTTGGTGCAGCGCGTGTGATGAAATTGCAGGAATGCACCTACAGGTGGCTGCGACTGTGCGCAGCATGGGATTCCATGCGGTTCATGAAGTCATCATAGGTAAGGCAATCAGGCACGCAAGAAAGCAGACAAAGACACAAGAAAGCGAATGGGATAAGCAGGAGAGGCGAGACAGAGGATGCGTGAGCAGATACATTTGCACTGTTAGGAGCATCAGCAGCTGCACACAACGCCAGCCGGACTGTGTTACGCCTGCGCAGATCCCTACGTTATAGACATCCTCATACAGAGCGACCCTCCACCAAAACAGCACCGCCCAAGAGAAAGACGGCGCACAAGGGATCGCCAGCAGCAGCAGCAGGAACAGTTCAACTCAGCAACTCAATAGAAAGCTGTATGAGACATGCCGTTGTCCAAACAATGCACACTACGCTCCATCTCCCTCTGGGCATCCGCAGCGCGCATGCCTGTGCGCGACAGCACGAGGCACACTCAGGCTCAATAAAATGACAGCACCTGGCAGCACCTGCTGCTGCAGCTACTGCTGCTACCTGTTGTTCACGGGTATGGCTTTCATTCGAGCAGCTGCGGCAACCATAGCAGCTGCTGCAGCAAAAGCAGCAGCTGTTACTGCAGCCACACAGACAATCGCTGGCGCTATCGGCACGCAATCCCTGAATGCTTCCTTGTTTCTTGATGCTTCTTTCTCTGCGGGGTCCCAAAGCCTTTCAGCGTGGCACCTCCGGACTCAAGGCTTACGATTAATAGTTTGTTAGGCTTCATGCAATATCCAAACAGGCGCAGTAAGTTAACCAACAGTCTCATGCCCACTTGCTGTTCTACAGCGGCAGAGCATACATCCCATGGGGTCGTGAGCACCCCTATTGTTTTCTGCCGATGCACCAGCATCGCAGCATTCGCCACTACTCCGGGAGCAGGAAGGGCATCTTCCAGCAACACAGTTGGCATCGCTTTCCCCGAAATCGCTGCAGTTGCAGCGTTTGGTTGCGGGTCCTGTAGCTACTGCACCACTTTGTGTTGCTGCTGGTGTGACCGTTCGCCGCTGCCGCGTCACCGTGTGGGCCCTTTGCTGCTGCACCCACTTGGGGCTCGCGATGCTGTTGCAGCACTTGCTGGTTCTCAAGCCGGGCAATAGTGGTAAGATGCATGGGTTACTCGTCGCTCGCCGCTTTATTCACGCGCGGTCTGCAGTCGGTGTGTCCACTGCAGCTGCAGCGCGGCAGCAGCACAAAGTGCTGCTCCCTCGATGGCCTGTCTCTTCTGTACGGCTTACAGGGACAAAGACCAAAACAAGCAGACGACGAGTGTACGCACGCCTCATGGGCCCCCAGTTCTACTCGTGCAGCACTGCCTCCACATTGGCATGGCACTCCGGAGGCTTCCGTAAAACCTAACATGACTTTTCAAATGCCCTTTTGGGCCCCCTGCAAGCCTTTACAGTGCACTTACGTGCGTCATGGGGTTCCCGCACCCTTCTATACATTTCCGTACGATCTCTGTTGTGATTCTCCACGCAAAGATGTACGGACAATTCTAAAGGGGACCCCACAATACTCAAAGCCACAAGAACCCCTAGGGCAGCCTCAAAGCCAGGGATTCCCAACCCTGGTAAACAGCCGCTGCTGCTTTCGATTGTGGAGGCCCCTTGTCGCTTGCCCCTGAACAAGAAGCCAAAAACGCGCGTCTTCTGAAAAAATGCAAAAGCGTCTCAAAATATGATCACCTAGCGGCCCCCTGGCCGTCTCTGAGCACCTAGCGGCCCCCTGGCCGCTCTGACGCTCCAGCTCGCCACCCGCCGGAGTTGCTGCCTACGATATACGTAGCTGTGACAACTGCGTTTCATTGGAGGGTTCGACAGCCTCCAAAGAGACACGATGAACATCTCCGGAGATCCTTAAAGTTGCTAGCAACCATCCCTCCCTCTCTCCCTCTTTGTTGCCCCTTTGCAGCTCCCCGTAAGAGCGGCCGGTAACAGCCCGGTTTCAACTGCTTCCTGCTGGGGCGGGCCCGGTGTTGGGGGAACCCTGTGTGGGAGACCCCTGGAATATGTTTGCGGGAACTGGATCGTCTACGGGGGGCCACTGGAACTCGGGGTTGGGTATGAAGTCTCCGTCCACGAAAGTGAAGGTAATGATGTGGCGCTTGAGCCAAAGTCGAAGAGCCGCTTGCTGGGTTTTATCGGCCACGCGGCTGCATATGTCGCGATACATGTCGTTAGTTATGATGCAGCCTCCGCGCATTAAGGCATACTGCGAAGTGCAGACGCAGAAGCACGAAGAGTCAGAGAGCGAATGAGAAAGGCCAACGAGGCACACAACCAGAAAGATATACGGCCAGAAAGAAACACCGCCACAGCCACAGAGGCCCTCAGAGCGGCAGCAGACTCAGACAGCCGCCTGAATGGGGCGCAGGAAATCAGTAGACAAACGGACACAGCGACAAGCTCACAGACAAGCATTATGAAATGCATAGAAGCATATATGCAAATAGTGGTGAGCTAAATATAAGTGGGCCGCTAGACGCAACGAGCATTTTGGACGCAAAAATGAAGGCGACGCAGGTTTACAAGGAAATCAAGTGCAGAGCGATAGAACAAATACTGAAGCAGAATTGAACTAAACTAAGTAGATCCGCTCTCAACTGCCAAGAAGGACCCCAAGTTATCTCTTCCCAAGCCGAGGAGGGGGGTGGGTGGAGAGAATTGGGAGCGGGGACGCTGTTTGTGCATTCATGTTTGTCTATATACATACATGAAGGCGAGAGTTTATGTGTGTGTGTATGGGTGTATTTGTGTGTGTACGTGTGTGTGTCTATATGAAGACTAACCCTAATGCAGTAAAGGTCGTCGTAGTCTTGCGAAGGTGTGCAGATAAGGATGCCTTCTCTGTGTAGCTTCCTGAGGACCTCGATACAGTCTGGCATGCGGGTGTAGCTGACGGGCATCTGAGCTCTTTCTTGCCTCCTAGCGTCCGAGTAGCTATTGTACGACAGAACGTACTCAGGTACAAACACCCGCACCTTGTAGCCCCTCTCCTGGTAGTAATCCAACGCAGCCAATATGCCCTTGGTTGAAAACAGTTTATCAGGGCCCTTCTCCCGGTCCCGCGCACCGTCTCCGTGTTTCATGGCCACGTTGCATCCATCAATCACTACTAAGTGCTCGCGATCCCCCTCAGGAGCCCTAGGGTGGGAGCCCCAAGATAACGCAGCATCTACAGTGCCGCTGGTACTGTCCTGAGGTCCTGAGGTGCCACCCCACTGGCCACGACGGCTCCGCCCGCCCCAACCTCCGTGACCTCGTGGGCCCCTCGAGTTGAAGGGCTGCTTGGAGCCAGAGCCCCGTGTTGGCCAGTTCTTCCAGTGAGGAGGCGACTGCTGCTGCTGCTGCTGCTGCTGCCCCGCCTCCTCTTCCTCCTCCTGCTGCGGCTGCTGTTGCTTCTGCTCCAAGCAAAGATGCTGAGCAGCTTCTACCGCCTCGCACATCCGCTGTAGCTTGTCAGCGCTCTCCTCGTCTTGCAGAAAGGCTGCTCTCTCTAAATCATGCTCCAGGCGTTCGGCTTGTTTGCCTGCTTCCTGCTGCTGCTGCAGCTTCTGCTGTTTCTCCTGCTCTCCTTGCATTACTTGCTGCAGCTCCTTAGAGTCCAGAAGCATCAGTAGCAGCCGTGCCGCTCGTGCTGCGGCCAACTGTGGGTTTGCCCACAGGTCCTCAGGTGCCCCTGCTGCTGTTGTTCTCGTCGCTATGACGCCGCCTAGTGTAATAGAGAGCTGTCCGGACACCTCATTTGCTTCCTCCCCAGGCTTTCCTGGGGCCCTTGACGGTCTCTGCTCCACAGAACCTCCACCGAGAAATCCACTTCGAATGTCTTTTGCTGAGCCTGCCCGAGCTGCATCTGAAGCACCATCCTGCCGCGGTCCACTTGCGGGAGGACCCCGAGGGTCTTGCTCACTGGAAGGCCCCCCATCTGACGCGCTGCGAGCGCTCAAGACGCGGAGGGGGGCCTTCAGCAGCAGCAAGTCGTCATCATCCGTTTCTGCTCCTGCGTTGTGGCTTGTGTCGGCACCAGCAGCAACACAGCCGGCTGCAGGCAAAATGGGTGAATTCCCGCGGGCTGAGGCTGAGACGCTCACCGCATCGTCTTGCTGACGTTGCTGCAGCTGCTGCAGCAACAAAGTCTTTTGCGGCAGCTCTAGAGGCACTCTCAAGAGACCAAGAAGAAGACGGTCCTCCGGTAGAGACAGCTGTAATGCCATTTGTAGATCTGAAACTTCGTCTGTATTCGCTTCCTGCTGCTGTTGATGATGATCTTGCTCGCTCGGCTGCTGCTCGTGAGAAGCAGCAGCCACCAGGATAGCCGGGCAGTTCAGGAGGAGCGGAAGCAAAGCAGAAACACTTTCACGCAGCTCTGAGACGCGCTTGGAGTCCATCCGGTGCAAGTCTGCAGATATGCCGCAACTCCAAACTACTCATGGATCCTCAGAAGCAGCAACACCAGCAGCAGCAGCAATAGCAGCACGAGACCTACGAATTGCAGGGACCTGCACAGCACGATCAATAGAAGTACCAAGAGCCGAAACAGCACCGGCAGAAGCTAGAAGAAGTCGAGCAGCGCCAATAAACCGCAGCAGTGTTGCCGCCTACCCGGTAAAAAATGCAGCAAAAGCAAGACAGTCTGCAGAGGAGACAATAAGACGGAGATACATGCCACGAAGGAAGGCCCGATCTCCCCATTTAGCCATTGTCCCCACGGGCTACCTCTGCTGCTGCTGCTGCCATCGCTGCTACCGGTGCAGCCGCTACTGCTATTGTTGTTGCTGCCGCTAGGGGCACAAACGGTATGCAGCTCAGGGCTGCTGTTTTCTAAAGCATACAAATTCGCAGCAGCAGGTGAAGCTGCTCGCACTGCTACTGCCTCGCTTGCGGATAATAGTGCAGCACGAGCTGCCGCTGCTACAGTTATACCAATACTGCAGCAAACGTCAAGGGCTGCTTGCATCTGAGGTGTCCCATGTTGCAGCGCCCGCAGCTGGATCAGCTCGGGCTGCTGCTGCTGCTGCTGCCGTTCACGCTGCAGCTGCTGCTGCTGCTCCACCATCTCCAGCAAACTGTCAGAAACGGTCCCATACAGCTCGGATGTCAGCTGCTCCCATCGCGCTGCCGTGCTATCGATTTGCTGCTGCTGCTGCTCATGCAGTTCCTGCTGTTGCTGCTGCTGCAGATTCCACAGCTTCGTATGATTCCTTATTTGTTGTAGCTGCTGCACCTGTTGCCTGTGGTGTTGCTGTCGCTGCTCATGCTGCTGTTGCTGCAGTTGGTACTGTTGCTGTCTCAGTTTGCGCGTTGCGTGTAGCACCGCCTCTGTGGACTGCTGCAGTTTGGTAGTTGCCTCTGTAGCTCTTAGGTAGGCACAAGCAGCAGCAAGCTGAAGCAATAATAGCACTGGGGCCTCGGCAGGCCCCGCTGCTCTCCTCAGCAGCAAGGCAGACAGCTGCGCAGACAGGGCAGCAGCTGCTGCTGGCAGCTCGTCTACGTCTACACGAAGGTGAATTCCCAGAAGCAGCCGCGCAAACTCACGCAGCAGCAGACACCACCGCTGCAGCTCCGCTTGGTGATCCTGCTGCTGCTTCAGCAGCTGCTGCTGCAGCAACTGACGGTTCTGCTCCTGTCCGCAGGTGCGCCACATGACAGCCGCCATTTGTTGCTGGTGGTGCTGCTGCTGCAAAAACGGCTGCTGCAACGCAGCAGAGCGAATATCTATGTTGCTCAGCCGTTGCAGCAGCAAAGTTAGCTCGTCTTGGCTCCCTGCAGCGAAGGGACTGCAGAACAACAGAAGCAAAAAGAGCATCAGAGCTACGCATCACCCCCCGAGAGCCGCGCATGAGCAAGAGAAAAAGCAGCAACAGCAGCGACAGTGGCCAGAGCCAGCCTTACCCCACGGCAGACCGCAAGGCCCAGTACGTGGCTGCAGCGGCGAAGGCTGCAGCAATAGCATCGAGTCGAAAAAGCGAGGCAGCAAGGGATGGCTGCACTTCTCTCTTTGCAAAAGGAAGGTGCTGCAAGAGCTGCTGCTGCTGTTGCACTTGCTGCTGCAGTTGCCGATGCAAACCCCCGAAGATCCTCAAGTAAGTTGTTTGCAGCTGCGTGCTGGCTGCAGCATCTAGCGGGAACAGTCGCAGCGCCTCCCCGTACAGCTGGCAGCTTCGCTGCAGCGGCTCCAAGCCTACTGGCAGCTGTGACTGACAGCGCAGCAACAAGAGCACTTGCTGGTGCTGCAGCTGCTGCTGTGGCTCAGACCCCAATTCTTCCAGCGCAACTTCTCCCTCCATACGCGCCCTGCAACGGCAGCAGCAGTAAGAGCAGCCCCTCCCCATCAGCAATAACTAAACAGGCACAGCTTCGCTCCTATGACAGCAATAATAGCTGCTGGTGCTGGTGGTGAGCTGGTGTGGCAGCGGCTGTCGGTGGTGCTGTCCTGTTCAGCAGGAGCTTCTTCTAGCGCAGTTGCTGCTGCTACTGCTGCTGCTGCTGCTCTTACCTGTACCCCGCAAGGTCTGCAAGAATGACTTTGATGTGGGCAAGGATGTGTCGGTCGCAGAGACGGCAACAGCGGCTAAAGGTTGTGTCGCCCTTGCATGCAGCAAGAGCAGCATCTGCCTGCAGCAGCGACTCCTCAGCTGTGCCCCATACGCTACCAGCTCCTGCTGCTGCTGCTCCAGACTCTGCTTCTGATGCTGCTGTGGCCGCCGGCACGCCTGGCATGCTGGCAGCGCTAGAGAGCTGCGAATGGTTGGCGGCAGCTGCCGTTTCGGAGTGCGCTGCTGCAGCCACGGCAGCAGCAGCAGCAGCAGCAAGGGCCACTGCTGGCGCAGCACTGCCATAGCCCGCAGTGCGCAGCTGTTTCGCCTCTTTAAGTGTCTGCTGGGAAGACCGCCACAAAAAGGACCCATAAAGTGACTGATACGTTCTCCCGACTTCCTGCAGCGTGCTCTCGAAGCAGCGGTTCAGGTTGCCTAGTGCGGGGTCACTTGCTGCTGCTTGTGCTGCAGCAGTTCCTGCTGTTGCAGCTGCTTCAGCCGAGTGCGTATGCGCTGCCTCGGCCTGCTGTCGAGCTAAGCGAAGCTGGCGCTGCAGAGATGACAGACGAGGGCAATGGTGCTGCTGCCAGAGGGCCCCTAAAGCAGCCCGAGCCTGCAAAGGCGAGCTCGCTGCAGTGACTGCTGCAATTGCTGCTGCAGTGGCGGCCGCAGCGTCCGGAGGCGGGTCTACTGCGGACGATGCAGCTGCCGTGGCGCTGCTACTAGCACCATCGTGCACCCCCCTGGAAGCACTAAAGGCAGCGGAATCCGCAGTGAAGACGGAGAAGAGCTTTTTAGCGAGCTGCTGATTTTCCCTCTGTCGCAGGAGCTGCTGCTGCTGCAGCAGCTCTTGCCGCCGCTGGTGTGCAGCAGCCTCAGCAGCAGCCTCCTCCTCTATGCGGTCGCTATACATGCCTGAGCCACGAGGGGCTCGCTGCGAATAAGGGTCAACTGGAGAAGAAAGGGGGCTTCCCTGCTGCATCTGCAAAAGACAGCAGCAGCACAAGCAGCAACAGCAGCAGCAGCTAGACAGGGCACGCAGGGCCTCGCCACTAACACAAAATCTGGACCAACTCAGACTAAGAAAAATAAATAAACACTAAAGATGAGAGGCACAGCTACACAGTGAGAGAAACAGGCAGCACATCAACACGCAGATGGCCAGGCAAAAGGACTAACGAGGTGCGGAGAGCTGCAACAGCAGAGGACTGCACTACGCCAAGGGCCAAAACTGCAGGAGAAAAACAAGTAAGAATCAACGAAGGGGAGAGGCTAAGCATGCGCAAGACAGGAAGAACAGATGAAGTCCTTCCCACGACAGACCTTCTAAAGAGCTCCAAGAGGTTAGTCAGACAGCGAAAATTGAAAGGAAGCCATAAAAGAAGCCGTGTTGTTTCCAGCCCGCTACTGCTGCTGCTGCGGCTGCTGTTGCTACAGTTGCTCCTGGAGTCACTGCTGCAACTCCTGCCGCTGTTTCCAGCTGCTCAGCAGAAGCAGAGGAGCAGCCGCTGCTGTCCAGCGATGCCCTTCCAGCGCTGCCTCAACAGTGGCAGTGGTGCCTGCAGGCGCTCTTGCTACTGCTGTAGCAGCTGTGGCTGCTACTGCCACAGTGTCCGCCGCAGGACTGACGGCGTGAGGCCCTCACTGGCCTGCACAATAATACTTCTTGCGTCTTACTTTGCCGGAGAGTCCTGTAGAGGGCCCTGAATAGCAACTAAATCAAAAGAATCTAAAAAATGCATGTATTTGCGCTCCAGCTGTTGCTGGTGCTGCGGCTGCTGCTGCTACAGCTACTCAAGCTGCTACTACAATCGGCTGGGCAGAATTTCATGTTGTACTCAAGCGCAACAAAAGCATAGAACGGATGAAAATGGATTGAAATTACAGCAGCCAACACAGAAGGAAGGGCCCAGCCCCTACGTCGTGCAACTGCAGGTGCTGCTCCTGCTGCTGCTTCTGCTGCTGCCTCTCGCTTTGCGTCAACATTCCCGCTAAAGCACTTTGTTACATCTTTTGTCCTCAGCTCTGTTTGACAACGTCAAAAAATGAAGTCACAGGCGCTCTAAATAAGTCAGAAACAGCTGCAAGTCACTCGTGAGACAAGCCAGTGGCTGGACGCGGCTGAGGGCCTGCGTGCAGTAGGGGCCCCCCAGAGGGGCCCCCAGCCCTGACGAGCTCCTGGCGTCGCCCGCTGCGCTATCTTCCACTAGTTTTGGGGAAAAAAACAGCATGCTACTCTAGTAACAGGATTGGACGTGCTTTGTTCTGTTGTCGAGACACCTTACTTCTATACGCCTCACTTTCGGTCGTGCAACGGCCTTGCTTTCGTCCACCGGTGCTAAGAAGCCTCTTGGAGGCTAGCCACACCCACGTTACTCCAGGTTGTTGAAACTAAAGGCTCCTGGTTTCCCTGAAGCGTGCTGGATTTGCTTAAGAAACCCAGGGGGATCCCTGGAGCAGAAAACTGCCCGGTGTGCAAACCGTCTCTGCGCGTTTTCCGAATCCGTTGATGAAGAGTAGTATACGCTTGGGGAGTAAATGCAGTGACTTGGCTAACTATTTTTATTCAGGGCTTCGTGGGGCTTCCGAGCTCCCGCGGCTGCAGCCATGGCGTCGTGAGCCGGGCACAGTGGCCCAAGAATCGTGTGGGGCTTCTGCCATGAGTCCCGATTCAATGGAATAATGAAAAAAAGTGAGGAAATGATTGGAAAAGGAGAAGGATGATGAGCAACTGATAAATATATAGACGAAGAGAGAGATAAGCATAGGAACGAAAAAAGACAAAGCAAACAGGGGAAGAGAGTTGAGGCAGGAGAGACAGAAACAGCAGAACAAAGTTGAGGCAGGGGAGACAAAGGAAGAGGTAAAAAGTTAAGGCGGGGAGTGACAAAAGAAATTTGCAGAAAAGGGTGTCCAAAGGAACAGCCAGAACTCAAAAGATTGATATTGTGTATGGAGAAAAGAACGAACACAGAGAAAGAAACTTTACGAGAAGGACTGATATACGCAGACCCATAACGACGGACACGTTCAGAAATCTTCACGCAGAGCCCGCAGACTTAGTGGTTACGCGGCTTGGAGTTGCTTGTGGCTGTACAGCGACGGGTAGAGTCGAACCAGCGATGGGTAGAGTGCCTCGCAGTGGCTCGAACTGGAGGGGTTTCTGTACGCCGGAAGCGACGCGTGCAACGCACACAGTATCAGGCGTGCACTCATTTCAAAAGTGGCGCATTTTGACCCTGCGAGATTAAAAGCGCTGAGAAGTTGCAGGATTTCTGCCGAAGCGTGCTACTACTAGGTGTGTGCAATCGTGTGTCCCTCAGCCACGGGAAAAGCAGTGTCAATCCTAATGGGGACTGCAGCGGTTCCACGCATCGTCTATAGCCGTTGTACACAATCTGCAGAAAATAAGGCACACTGTGGCGGTGCATAAACGAGTTTGTTTAGTTCGGAAGGCAGCAGGCATTCATGGCTCCGTCGTGGAGCTCAGTCCGAGGATATACGCCTTGATCCATGAACGTCTACTGTCTTTTGAACTCAAAAAGCTCGTCTATGCGCCGCTATAGTGGCTTGCTTCAACTATCCACTGCCAGTAAGAAACGCTGAAACAAAGTGCCCTACTTTGACTTCCAACTCATTATGGCGTGTGAAGGTCTACAAGTCGCCAAGAGACTCAAGACAAACGGTGGCTCCTCCCCCCGAATCAGGCTACTCTTCGCCCCCCGTCCTGAGATGGCTAGCTTTGTAAAGAAGGGGAAGGTCCAAGCAAAATTCACCAGCAAATAATAATTAGGCCACTTGATGGATGGCGTGAGCGATTTGAGACTCTCTTTTGAGCCTCATGAAAACAATAATGTGCGCAAATAATTAAAATTTCAGTAATTCTCCCCAATGGTCTAGCATTCAGACCAAATATATCTCGGGAAAACCCGAAAGTGCTCAAAAGGACGTCCAGTTGAATGACGCCCGCAGTGCCTTTCCGGCGTTTCTCCGTCCCACGTTAACATGGGGGCTCCCATGAGCTCTTTCGAGTTGACTCGAGGGCCATAAATTTCTTGGCTTGTGGGGCTCCCCACACTGTGCGTGCTTCCGCAGCTGCTCTTGGAGACAGGTCAAGCCAAAAGATGTTTGCAGTCGCTAACCACGCAGTTAACTTCAGCCGTTCTGCACCGTGTATCTTTACACAAGCTAAAATTGACGACGCGCCGTCGGATTGCGAATCATATGCAAATCATCTAACTGCCTGCCTAGCCAGCCGGCTAGCTAGGTGGCTAGCTAGCAAGCTAGCTAGTTAGCTAGCAAGTTGGGGCGTTTGCGAGCTACACGACGAAGAACTCGCTCCACACTTTGGTGTGCGGCTTTTGAACGACCCATTCACTCAAAAACTTCTGCAGCCGTTCGGCGCAGGACGGGGGCTCCCCTGCAGAAACATATTCGGCAAAAAGAGACTTGTACGCACAATGTGGCGCCTAGCTAGCCAAGCCGTATTACTTGCCTAGCTATTCAAGAACGAAGAAATTGCTTAGCAAAGCGCGGCATCTGCGCTTTGGCGAATGCCAGTGCAAGCGATGTCGAGCTGCGAAATTCGACAAAAGGCGAAGCCCATCCTCGCTGCTAGACCCACGCAGAAGACGAAAGGGCACGATAATCGAAAGAGACAGTATGCCCACGCCTCACCTGAAGTGCACAAGTACTTGGCTCCATCGACAAGATCTGCCAAGTCGACCACCAGACGCAGATTTTGGTCGTAGAGTCGCCGGACAGGGCCCGCAATGGGGGTGATGACCTGTGGGCAAAAAGAACAGGCGCGAAAGCAGCACATAACAACACAGTAAGGCCCAGTGTGTTCCAAAACAAATTTTATCGGCATGCAAAGGTCTAGCTTTCCGGCTGATGTGCAAAAGCTGGCCTTTATCTTTTCGTCCGCTAAATACTGCACGCAGTGGACGTGCTGGAACCACGAGATGACAGTGGCGAGCACGACAACAAAAACATAGTAGTAGAAAGGACTGGAAGAAGATAACAGAAGAATAATATGTCTGCAGAGGTAGATTGGAATACCAATACAGCGACGGGAGAAGCACTTGGCTACCGCAATAAACTGGGGAGGTAATTTGGCGGGTGTGAGCTGTGTTCCTTTTTTGTACTCTGCAGGCACTAGGACGAATAAGGAACCGACTGAGAAAGCGAAATGTGCTACTTACTTTGGTGAGCTCTTGGTAAAGAGCCTCGAGAGTCTTGATGTGGGACTTGACAAAGAAGGGAGTGCCATCGTGGTGCTTGTCGCCATTGCGGAAGAGCCACAGCAAACGCGGCGGAGAAGTCTGCAGCCCAAAGCGCTGCACCCCGAGAGTTCCGGGAGTCACCGTCGCCCTTCTCGCTGCAGAATAAAGGCGCAGCACTAGTAAGAGAAAGTGCACCGCAGTGCAGCGAATGGAGCCTCTCGTTGCAGTATCAACCCCACCTGAGAGCTACCTGTGCAGAATTTGCATAACGGATTGGGTGTGTGTCGCATGTAAGAAAGGGAGAAAGTGAATACAAATGTGCAGTCACAACGGAGACGGAAGAAAGAAAGGCTCTACAGCTCTAGGGCAAGGCAACCTAAGCTTCAGGAATTTACACACAAGCAGCAGAGAAACTTACGGCGAAATGAAAAGCACAGAAAAGGTGGCACGGCATTGAATTAGGAGGAGCCATGGCATGTGCCGAAGAGAAATAAAAGCACCAAGGAAGGAGGCGACAGCAGGGGAAAGACAGAAGGGGAGAAAGAGATGCATTTAGGGAGGGAAAAGACAGGAGGGACTTGAGCTGAGGTGAAAAAGCTGAGACAAAAGAGGAGCTAGAGACATCAGAGGCGCAGGAGGCGAGAGCTATGGAGACAAAGATACGGGCAAGGGGTGCAAAACAAAGGCTCGGGGAAGGCAGGTCAGGAGACTAGAAAGAGATAAACGTCATGGCGTAGAGATATCGCGACAAAGAGATAGACAAAGCGGGCAAGGAAAGAAAGACTATGGAAGGCACGCATGGCAGAGGTGAATACTCACGCCTCCGAATCACTGAAGAATAAACTTCATGAGTCCTCGAGGGACTTTCAGTCATGCCGTCGTGCGCATACAAATACTCGCGGCCCGCCAACCCGCGGCCGTTGCCCAACTCGTCGAAGCGCTCCCTGTGTACTCCCTGCGCATCAACAAAACGACCACAACAGCAGACACCACAAAAAATATTAGTTCAGCAGCAGCATCGAGAAAGGTCTGCCCAATGCAGCAGCACCTACCCAGGCATCTGCATGAAATGCAAACAGAGAAACAGGGAATAGAAGGAGCAAAAACTAACAGGACCTAACTGTACGAAAGAATAAGAAGAAAAGCAGGCCTGTATATCGGAAGCGGCACAAAAACACCAGGAAAAAAAACCACAAGAGCGCACGGCGGCAGACTGACGAAGGATGGTGGATTTGGCACTGGGCACGAAAAGAATCAAGCAGGCGGGCTTGAGAATGTATTCACGAAGCCTCGAGCTTTCTAAGTCGAGCATCAAACGCTGAGCTCAATCACAAATCTATACCGTGTAAAAGGCCGAGTTAGTGAGCCTGTCGAAGACGGTTTTGTACTGCTTTGGGCGCTTGTCGGCGCTGGCAGCCCTTAGCTCCTCCGGGGTGCCCGGAGGTCCTGAGAAGCCCCAGGGCTCATAGAAGTTTGTTTTAAGGGGTACAACAACCGTCGGAGGACAAGGGGGAGGGGGCGTGTAGAAGGAACGGCGCCGTTGCTGCTGCTGCTGCAGCTGCTGCTCCTCCTCTAGGCCGAACGACACTGCGCGGGATACCCATATACCCCCGCCGCTCTGAAAATAACCACAAGAGAAAAGAAGCGGAAAGGCACTTCGAAAGCAACAAAAGGGGCTGTTAAGCTTGCTGGAGCTGCTGCTGGCGCCGTCTCTGCTGGTCTGTTGCGGCCCGATTTCGAAGTGTAATTGCGAGGAACACTGCTACGATGGCCCGCGATCTCTTTGACAGCAGCTCGGCTCTGCCATGCCTATTATTATTAGTTGTCGCACCTCGTAGCCTTTTTTTAAGGGAGACGAGGAACCCCCCAGGCGGCAGTAGCCAGGCTCAGCCATGCTGCGTCTCCAGGGGAGTGGCCGTTAGGCAGCAGGAGGGTTACGGAGGGGAGGCAGAGATGCATACAAACTCAGCTGCCACATTCACCAGGTGACGCAGCCGCTTTGGCTGCCGGGCCGTGGAAGGCTGACGGTGCAACAGCAATCGGCGTAGCTACGGCAGCGTAGGCAGTGGCAACCAAAGCCAGGTGCGGAGGCACCACCAGAGCCAGCTGGAGTAAGACAAGCCACGAAAACTCGTCGAGTTATATGAACGAGGCAATGGTGGAGGAAGAGAAAAAAGTGCGCTGATCTCGCAGCTAGACCTTGTGGAAGGCCCTAGCCTCAGCCGACAGCTGCTGCTGCCACAGGGAAGCACACAGTCAAAAAAGGCCTACAGGCAAAAATTAGAGACGAAACTGCGTGTTTTTGCTTTCATACACACTCGACAATCTTATGTTGGCAACGGCAGCTTCTACAGTTGCTGCTCTCCTTTCCTGTGTTGCGGCTGTAGCAGCTTCGAAGTCTGCGGCCTTGCTGCCGCAAGTAGTTACCTCCACAGCGCTGCCGACCCTTCAGGCGCAGCCGTGCTTTTACGAGCACTTTTATAAGTTGATTATCATGATTCCCCTGATAGACCTTATTAGTATCGAAAAGGTCTCTTGGCTTTCCAGGAAGGCTTGCAGTAACGCCAGCAGCGGCAGTAAGGCAAGCACAAACCGGCTGCATTAGACCACACGTCCCACCTATATTGAAACAAAGCCTAGGCTTCTGTTGTGTTCTCTGGAGGGCTCAAATTAAATATTTCAGTTTGAAAAAGTTGAACTAAACTATTTTAGTATAACATGGTTTAACTGTCCCGGTTTGCCTGAATTGACCGGAAAATGACTGCCGGTCCCAAGCGCTGCCGCACGTAGTGACCTTCTGCCCAACTACTGCCAGTGCAAACCGACCGTTATGCTAAATGCACAAAACAATGAACAGTTAAAAATGGATTGCCCTTCGGAGAAGAAGGGTAGAAAAACCCATCATTTCAGCCGCTTCGCCGTGCCCCACGGATCCAGGCACAGGCCGCTACCGGGTACTGCTTGCGGCCGAGAGCTTTGATCACCAAGCTGACCTTAACCAGACGCCTTAATTGTAGGTCATCCTATACACTGCCCATGCAGCATGGGTGAATCTGTGCGGTACGTGAGTGACTACAGATGGCTCAACAAACCGTTCATACAGACACCCCTTGGACTCAAAGACACCCAGTTCAGCCCATTGGCTTGGTTACTGTCCTTGAACCTCTCTCAACATCTCTTCTGGCTGTCTAGTTTGGCTGCACTCCGGCAAGGCAGCACTGCCCTTCTTCGCCCCATGTGCTAGATAAGTATATCTTACGCCTTTACCTCTGATCAGCAGCAGCTGGGTGAGCACCTTACTTGGCAGACGATGCCCAACATGCCTCTCAAACGCCTCCCGTCCTCCAGCATCGCCGCTTGCAGTTCAGAGACTCATTATACCTTTCTTTCCCAAAAATGTTCTGTCTTCCAGCACGGCTCTATCCATCTCGGGGCCTCACTATGCCTTTTTATTCTTGCCCACCCCAGTTGTCTAGATCGCCTATTAATTCAACTGCTCGTCACTACTTATGCTTCAACCCTCACTGTTTATGCCTTTTCGTCAACTCTCACTGCTTATGCTTCTAGCTTTCCTAGTTTCATCTGCTCAAGCCAATCTAATGGGGCTACTCCCGTAGATTGCCAGTCAGTCAGGTGGCAAGCATCCGCTGGCGTGTTCCCTAATGTGCGTACACTCATGTGATGGGCATGCACCCTTTGATCTTCCAAAATGCGCACAGTCTCATTCGTCTAACGATGCGCAGCAAACGATGCGGTAACTTGCGAAGACTGCTAGACAGATCGTTGGCTAGCTGCCGAGAAAGGTGCTGAGCTCGACAGCTAACTCGCAGGCGTTTTAGTCACCTGGCTAACTCAGCAGCTTGCTGGTTATCATAAAGCCGCAAAGAATACTTGGCACTCAATCCCCGGCTGCCGGCTGGTTGGAAGGTCCCGATGGGACCGTTTGAAATCCAAAACGTTACGAATGGCCCCCAAAAACTCACCAAAGTCCGCAAGAGCTCCCGACAATCCAGATGCTAGTGAAAGTTATAGCAGCTGCTATTCTTTCTGGCCTACGCACAGTTGTTCTAAGCAATTGAGGGTTATAGATTTTGGGCGCTCAATGGGAAGGCCCAGTGCGCGAGCCCAGACTGCGCAGTAACGACACCACAGCATATATTTCACTTCTTTGGTGTGGTACCAGCAACAGCAAGCCAGCGAGAAGAACCAGCAAAAGAAGGAAACTGAAAACAGGACGGTAAAACTAAGACAGAGCTGTGTGATTGTAACAGAGAAAACAGCAACAGAAGCTGCAGTAGCTGACCAAACTGAGCGGCAATGCCAAGAGAGCGTGACACTCCGAAGAGGACCGTGTAGAAGTTCTCCTGTTTCAAACCGAAGGCTTGCAATAGAACCCCCGAGTGGCAGTCGACGTTGGGGTAGGGGTTGGACACCTTTCCTAAGGCAGAACGGTGAAAAATCCAGAAAACGGAATACGAGAAAAATAGTAGGCCTCCATCCTTTAGTAATACATGCTGCTCTTCGGAAAGACGTGAAGGGGACACAAGGATAGCTGTTGCAGATATTGAGACAACAGCCAAGAAGACAGCAGCAGCTGCACAAGCGGTATAGGCAGTAGCAGTAGTATGTGCTCACCGGACAGCGTTTCTGGAACGACCTCACGGACGACTTCAAGAAGCCTGAAGTACATCAAGGCATCCACAACTCTGCGTACTCTCAGGAGGTGTCTGCCACCTCTACGGGAATCCTTCAGGAACGTTATGGCCAGTAATGCAGCTAGCCAGACGAGCTAGTCATATTAAAACTAGCAACTCTTTCGGGATAAAAGAGAACCTAGCGTCAGTGGGCCGGCAACTGGACAGCAACCGCGGCATTAGCCGCCAACTTCACGAATATGTACTGCAGCTGCGACAAAAAGAACTGCTCGGCACAAGACGCACTGGAACAGGGGGTCGTGCTGAATGTGTTTCAGAGCAAATTCGCGCTGTAGGGTGAACCTGCAAGTAAAAGAAACAGAAAAAGTAATGGAAGAAGAACCAACTGTCAAGTAATCACAAGAACGATGAAAGCCCTGTGGAGGTGAAGCAACAGCAGCAGCAATACGCAAGAGCAAACGATGAAGCAGCCAAGCCACCACCGCCAGTAACAACAGAACAAGCAGCTGCAAACCTGGGGTCAGTCACCCTGAGGACCGCATGCCCAAATCCAGGAATAACGCCTCCTGCCTTCAGCGTTGCCTGACAGTTTCGAGAGAGGCACAACCGCAGCAGCAGCAAGATATACCGTGCTGCAGAAATCCTGCAAACAGGATGCCTCTTGGATGTTATCGTTTGCCAGGCAACACTGAAGCAGCTGTGACAATGCCAGGAGCAGGCAGCAGTAGCAAACTGTCAAAGTAATAAGAGCTAGAGTCGCGCAGCAGAAGTTGTGAAGCGTTTCCAGGCACAGCAGAGATGATGGCAGCAGCAGCAGGGGCAGCAGAAGAGACCAACGCAACCGCAATGCCAGCTGAAACTACAGCACCACCAGTAGTACACGATCAAATATCGCACCTTGGCTATCTCTCGGATGTTTTCCTTTGTGGGCGGTGACCCCTGCAGCTGTCTTTGAACAGACCGCAGCCAGGCCAAGCACATCTGATTCGCCAATCCATGAAGTGGGCCTAATGAAATGACAGAAACAGCAACAGCAGTGGAAAAAGCAGTGGCAGAGGGAGCTTCACTCGCGTCTTTCTGGACAGCATCCATCTAGGGAAGAGCATGGAAATGTGCTCATGCCGAGAATAGTCGTCGAACACTACGGTGCAGCGCTCAGGGTTCAGGGCTTCGACATTACCGCCAAGTCCACACATGCCGGCAGCAAAGGCAGCGAAAGGATCCGCTAGGGCAGAGCCAACAAGGTGAGCAGCATGGGCAGAAACGTTGCCCCCTGCAGGAAAAACACCAGATGCTGCTGTGGCTGCCACCGTTGCTGCTACCGCTAATGCCGCTTGCTGCTGCTACAACTGTGGCATTTGTATTGCAAAGGGGGGAGAAAAAGGACAAGAGACAGCAGGATCAGCAGAGCCGCACGTTCAGGCAGATGCTTCGGCAAATCGCCCTCCGATATACCATGTGGCAACAAGAAACAAACACACAAAAGCCAAAAAGCATTTGGGCTCCGCAGCGCACGAAGAGGTGGCGCAAGAATGCAGAACACAGAGGCAGATGTTGCACGGAAGGACAGGCACAATAACCAAAATGGGGAGACGCCAATGGCTTTGGCTGTGGTCAAACAAACCTTCATGATCTGCATGCAGCAGCAGGTAGAGGCGCAGAAGCTCCTCCTGTTGCTGTCCCTCAAGGCCTAGCATTCGTGCGAAGTTCGCTGCCTGTGAAAGATAGGCCAGCATAGGCAAAACGCAGACACGAAGTGTTGCTTAATGCATGTACGCCCTCGATCTCAATAAAGTAAGGGGTTACGATTCGAGGCGTGAGGTCTACGATTTGAAGAATGAAGTGCGGATCAGTAAAACTTTCGCTGTCAGACAATTTATCGTACGCCATTTTAGTTGGTTGTCTGCTGCTGCTGCTACAGTGGCAGGGCAACCATTTGGCTGTCTATCAGCAGCAATTTCTAGCGCTACAGATTTGCAGAAGTGCAGCGACAAAATCCCCCAAGGCTATCTTCCTAAAGCTGATCGACATCGAAAGTTTAACGTTCAGCGCTCACAAAATCAAGTTTAGGGTCGGGGCACGGCACACAGCCGTCGCCAAATTTTCTCCTGTAGATGTGAGCAGCCGTCACCGCTGCGCGCGCTACCTGAAAAGGACAAAGGAAACGGCAACACACAGCACTATGGTGCTGAAACTCTGTTCTTCCTGCTGTTGCTGCTATTGCTGCACTTGCTCCTGATGCCCAGGCTGACACGCATGCTTGGCCTGGCGCTGGAGACACGTTCGCTGCGCCATCAGGGAGCTCATTACAGCCGTCGTTGCTGCTGTTGCTGTTTTTTCTGGTGTTGCTAGCAGTGCTGCTGCAGGCGCCGCAGCAGTGCAGCAGTAGCGACTGCACCTAGCAGTACCTTTAGGAAAAGGCAGCAGAAGCAGAAGCACCGGCACCAGCAAGCAAGCTTTAACAGCCAGCAGCATCTGTTCACGGGCGCGTGTAGCTCCCGCACTAACAATTAATGCAAAATAAGTAGCAATAGCAGCTGTAGGTGACAATGTTTACCAGAGCGAGCGCGTCGACAAGCGCCGGCTTCCAGAATTCTTTTTTCCCCACGGAGCCGTTTCCTGTTGCTGCTCTGAAGAATGAGAAGTCTGAGAGGGCAGCAGCTGTAGCAGCAAACGCTGCCATTGGGTGACCATCGGCCGGCAGGGCATCTAATATCGCAGGCACTGCAGCAGGCACTCTCAAGAAACGCTCGTCAGTGTAGCTTCCGAGATGCGTTGGCGCTTTAGCAGAAGCATCCCCAGCAGTGGCAGCAGCAGCTCGAGACCCAGTAGCAGCAGCGGCAGGTACTGTCATCTCATACAGACAACGGTGCAGCAAAGAGACCTCGGACTCGGTAGGCACCTTAGCTGCAAGCACACGCAGCAGTCGCACTCAGAGCAGCAGCAAATGCAGCAGCAGCTACAGCAGCAGCACTAAGCGCACGAGGACGAACACCTGCGACACATTTACTTGAAAAGCAGCGACTGCAATCTGCAGCTAAGGTATTTGCGGAGAAAGACTGTCGGGGCAAAGCGATGAACATGAATTACGGGGCAAAAGGACAGGTAACAGATGAAATAGAAAACAGGCAATAAGAGGGCGAAAGCAGGGCGACCAATACTAAAGCAGGGGCTTTCTAGGAGGCCAACGAGCTGCCTGTACGAACAGAAACAACTAGCAAATAGACGCAGCAGGTGTCAGTGGGTTAAGCCTCAGAATGCGTGCTTTGGTGAGGCTAAGACGCACATGTAAGCAAAAACCAAAGGAGAGCCTCCACCGACGGATAGGCGTGGCTCGCCTGCATCTTGGGCAAATCCTGCAGCAGCAGTTGCCGCATAGCAGTGCCGTGTAACCGAAGACCCAACTCAGGGTCGAGAACAGACGTTTCTGTCAGTAGCGCCGTGAGGCCCCTCATGCCTAAAGGACGACAGCAAACAAATTACCGCAGGCGCGCGTACTTTTGAACACACAGTGGCTTCCATCAGCTGCAGATTAAAGTCCAGGAAGCGGAAGCTGCAGTCACTGCTGAAAGCGACCACTCATCACGCTCCAACCAGCAGTTCCAGAGGTAATCCAAGGCTCGCGGAACCTGGCAGAGGGCACCCAGTCAGGCTGTTGACCTTACCACCAATGACGTTCACAGGGGTCACTGACCCGATCTTCACAGCCCCGTACTCAGCTCGTATGCGCTGCAACCGCTTTTGCTTCTCCGCTGCTGCTGCCATGAGTTGCTCCTGCAGTGTTTCAACTGCCGCACGCACAGCAGCTGCTGCAGAATTTTCCGGCTGTTTAAGACTCTCGCTGGTGCTGCTGCTGAACGGACTTCTAGACGCTCGAATGCCCGTTAATGGCGGCTCTGTTGCTGGCGGTGTCGCCGCTGTTGCTGCAGTTGTTGGCTTGCAATATGACGTCGTTGCCGCCCAAGTGCGGTAGGCGCATGCTCCTGTTGCTGCGGTACCGCCGCACGGCAGCGACGAGCCCTTAGAAGGGCCCAACAGGAAACGCACAAGGGGGGCCCTCATGATGCTCGTGTTTACGGCAAGGAAAGCCTACAGTCTGCAACGTAAACCTTGGAATTTCCAATTTGCAATACGGGGATACGGTGCAACAATAGAGGTTTGTGCTTATGATTTTTTTGTGTGGAATTTCACCGAACTGCAGCCTTTGCTCGGGTCGGGGCTGGCGGAAGCTCGGGATTCGTCACATTTGTATGCTCACCCAAATAACGTTAGGTAGGCTTCCAGTTTTTTTAGTTTTCCGTTATTATGCTGATTTATGATTATACCTATTTAGAAGGAGCTTCTTCCGTTGCTCCTGTGCCTTGTCTCTCTAAGCTCCCTGTGCCGACATGCTACCTGCGGAAAAGGGCCGCTGCGGTAGGGACCAGGAGCAATTCTTTCCGGTCCTTCCTCACTCTTTCAACCTTTGAAAAATTAAGAAAAGTGCAAAATGCGCAAGTAGGTGCAAACTGAAGGCTTTAGTGCACTCATTTGTGCTCCCCCTTCTGATTCGAAATAAACAGAATAGGTACTCGCGTGACAGATTGGCCAAACTGTCTTCATTTTCGCTATAGACTAGTCCAGTTGGATGCACAAACACTAATATATGGTTTCTCACTAGAAAAGAGAAGACGGTGGGCTGATCAAACGGTGGATGTTGACTTTTCGTTTACTGGCAACGTAATGTTCATGAGGAAGAATGAATCAATTTCGTGTCTTTTCAGCTTGTATGACGTAAGGGCCCTAATGCTCATCTTGTCTAATGAGTTGAGAGTTTGGTGTTATGTCTAAAAAAAGGTATTTAGAGCCCAGCACTTTGTAGTCTCAGTTCGCACATTTGCCTTCAAATGCCTAGCGACCACAAATTTTTCCTGTCCGAAATCTCATCAACGGAATGGAATACCAAACAGGTAAGTGGGAGAGGCGCTGTCGTAGACGTAGAAACAATGGCACGAACGATTCAGCTATTGCCTTCATCAGGGAAGACGAGGTTCCCAGGATTTGTCATCACGGTTACACGATTATGCAGGAATATCCCAGGACTTGTTTTATTACCATAATTGAAGGCGTGCGATTAGACGGTCGCAGCAAAAACGAAGAAAATCACGGCACCTCAATGGACGCCGATCAAAATGCCTCGCGCCACAAAAATATGCGTATTTAGTAATTTCCATGGAGGGCTCCCGTGCGAAATTGGGACACCACCATAGCACGAATGCAACGTGCAGCAATTCCAAGTAAAGTGAAGAAAGAACTAGAAAAATATATCGCTAAGCACTGCTTTGTTTAGCTGGACACACTTCTCAAGGCTTACTAGCATCAAATTACATGGTATTTAACGAATCTGAATATGATCGCTCTCGGCTGTTGACTTGTCGACGTCAAATAAGTCACCTAGAGACAGCTTTAGCAGGTTTGATGTTCACGGAAAGGGACAGAAAATAGGCACATGCCAGTAGATATATTTGGCTGCGAAATTAAAGCGGACAGCTATCATTTTGAAGCAAGGAAGCGAAAAGATTGCCTCTACAGAGTCCGCCACAACCAAAACGCGGATATACTGTTTATAACTTTTTCTGTGAGCTCAAGCAGGTGTGATGTCGTGTGCATCGCATCTATGAGAGAAAGGAGATACGAAGACAATGGAGACACAAGCATGATCATATGTGGGTACATCTGTTTAAGCTCCCAGGCCTTGAGAAATATAGCGCGCAGCTCGGTGCTGGCAAAACACATTAAGGGACTCCGTAGGCCATCCTACAGACCCGACTGGTGCGTGGTAGGACACCAATGAGTTAGTCGTGAATTTTCATAGGCAGCAATATGACGTTGCCGCCCACCTCGCGCCTGACGTTCCACCCGGTTGGATGGGTAGCTTCCATGATGCAGACCCCCGGGGGTGCGCGCAGCCACGCGCCAGCTAGCGGCTTGCATCCTTGGCTCACTGAGCCCAGAGCCTGTTCCTGCATATCCCACGGTACTTGACGGAGTAGTTGGTCGGTGAGTCAAGGGCCGCATCCCATGTCTTGTATTGCCTCGGCGGTTTTGAGGGGCCCGAGGCTCCTGTCTTACGTTGCGACGCGGTGGGTGCACAAGAGTGTTAATAGGACGCTGACACACGACAGAGCAGCATGCAAAACATGCTAAGCAATTGAAGAGAAAGTCTTCTCAAGCAAATCTTTTACCTAGCCCAACAGTGTTGCTGCCTCATCAAGCGCTGAATAAGTGGGATGCTGTGTACCTCGGATTCATAGGAGATGCTCAAATTGTGAAAAATAAGCATTGAAGGGTCATTCAGAAGCTGTGCACAACAGGGTTGAGACGAAGTTGAGCCATTCAGATTTCAGGAAAATAATGAGGCTCGTGCATGCTATGGCCTGTAAGCTTCATTCGTGAAAATAGCAGACACCCCGGTGCACACTGGCGGGGAATAGCAAGAGTAGGACTCACGTTTTCATGAGCAAGCGCAATTCTTTGAAATTCAGTCATAGCGTGTGAAGCCACAGGCGGGTTCCGCATTCCCGTGTTTCGATGTTGCATCTGAATTAGTAAGCAATAGGTATTCGCAGACAAGGATGCCAGACGTACATGCACTTGTGAAATGTGGAAACATAAATAGATGTAAATGAAGGCTCAAGTTCACTGCTGTGGTGGTGCGAGTGAGAATTAGTCCTAGTCAAAGAAGCTTAGAAATCAGGTTACGCAAGGTGGCCTGTGGGTACTTACTTGGGGCCACACGGCCCTTTCACGTTGCAGGCTCATATGGGCCTCAGCTAGATCCAGCTGCCTCTGCGCGGCATTGGACCTAGCTCTTCCGCACCGATTCCTGCGTCTGGGGGCAGAATAGTGCTGCCACTTTTGCTCGCAGAAAATTGGCGGCTGTACAGCTGCAGCAGCTTGCCGATAAATTTCTTCAAGAGGAAAATCAGGCTCTGCAGGTGCTCCCCAGGCGGGCGCTCTGCCTGTTGAAGAAGGGCTCCAAGCATCGTCAGTGCCTGATTAAGTGGCGAAAGCGAACGCAGTGGAGTCTGTCGCAAAAGAACGGGGACAAGATGAACAGTAATACCTTTACACTGCAGTGCCATAGCACCATTTAGTGTCTGAGCACTTACATGCTAAGTGAAGGTCTTGAGAAATTTCGTCGAACTCGGCCTCTGCCCTCAAGGTTTCAAAGAACGTGTTAGGAGTATGATCCTGTTGCGGCTCTTGTTCCGCTGTAGTCGTGGTATTGGCGTCACTGAGGTCTAATGGTGCTGGTTGGGAGGTATGAGTGGCCCATGGAGCTTGCTGAGTGCTTGGACAAGCAGACATTAGCACGATTAAGCAGCTCAAGGCAGCTAGAGCTGCAGTAGTCTCCATCTGTAGAGAGGTTAGCTCCGTGGAGATCTGCAAGAGGAAAGCTCACAGAGTGCAACACGCCTGTGAGATATACGAGGGGCGCCTCATGCCCATTAATGTCTTATAACAAAGGGAAACCTGTGATATCTGTGGATTTCAGGGAGAATAAATGCGGTATGAGCTCTGCGTGATTGCAGTACTCCGAACTCTCAGAAGACACGAGGCACTTGGGAATCATTTCCGCTTGGTAGCGAAAAGCCACTGAAAAGAGGGTGAGACATAGATCTAAATATAAAATTCATCAAAATTTCAAACAAAGTTGGCCCGAGAATTGAGAGATCTCCGCTTTATATCATGAGCCGTCTTTGCCGAGAGCCCTGCACGGTCTCCGAAGGCACGAACGAGCACTTGCTGATTACTTACAGTTGAGGCGTGAGTCAAGGGCAAAGCAAAGTATCATTTAATTTAAACTCATGAACTGGTTTCAAATCGACGATTTAAAAGTGAAAATTTTCGGCGGCATGGAGGGGCCTCTGGCTGACCAGTCCTGCTGACCGCAAAGGGGACCAGGGCATATCCAATGCCCAGGCATTCGTTACAGGGAGGCACCTTGACCAGTGAAAGTGATCTTAATTTACATAAATGTTCTTCGGATTTATACTAAATGATTTGGTAAAGATAATTTTAAGTGTTCAAAGAATGCGGTTGTGCTTTGGTCAAATGTTACACTCCCAGTGCTGATCACTGTCCGATCGAAGCGCCGGCTTTCGCACGCACCAATTGAAACTATAGAAGCAGCCGGAAGAGATAAGTAGTCACTGCGTGCTTTTGCATTAAAATAGAAGTAAAAATGCTCCCCATAATATTTTTCGCTCTCCCGCTATCGGAAAGGCGGCCGCTGTCCGCGACGCACCACGAAGCAGCCGATCACGACGGAGGCAACCAATCAGCAGGCGCCCTCAGTATTCTCCAATCACCAAGTGCGCATAGGATGGGACTAAACTGTACCAAAAAGCCATCGTCGCACTTCAGAGTTGCCGTGAGTTGCTCAGAAGCGAAAAAAGAACGACAATTTGCAAACGCAGTCCCTTCATCGACCACACGATGTATTGTCCGCTGGCTGATAGATCTTCGTAACTTGCTCACCGCAGGATATTGCACAGTGAGCAGTACTGCTTTTCAACCAGCCTCGCCTCTCATTCTTAAGTAGAAAGGTGCTGCTTTTCGTCAATAACTTACAGATTTGCTGACAGAGAGCCTTCAAAGCCGCCTCTACATTCCGTTGTTCCAAAACATGAAAAAGAAACGTAGAGCCAAATAAGTTATTGTCTTGCAGATTAGAGCATGTACGCAGACAGGAAAGAAAGCAAAGACTATCCCGCTGCCGTGGCAGCAGCTGCTGCTGCCGGCTGTTTATTGCGGTCGCAACAGAACTGTTAAGTTAAAACTAAACGAAAAGAACCAACGCGAAACAGGAGCAGCACGGCGTCCCGTAGGGATTAAAATTTAAGACTTTCCTTCGGCCCCTCCTGCCGCCGCAACAGGTGACGAAGGTGCCCCTAATGAGGACGCAGGCGAGGGAGACTGGCTCCCTCCCACTGAGCCCTCTATTTGTTGCTTAGAGGCGGGCAATCCGTCACTCTGAGGAGACCCTCTAGGCTGCTTCGGGGGACCTTGAGATCTCCAGCTTGTGGAGGAGGCCGACGGGCGGTGCGCCTCGTTATGGTGTAGCTGCTGTTGCAGCTGTTGCTGCTGCTCCGACGGGTCCTGACGCCTACTCGCGGGCTGTCGTGCACGCCGTTCCCTTGTAGGCGCACTGACAGTCCCTTCGACATGTTTTCTACTCCCAACCACTTGCTGCGGCTGCGGCTGCTGCTGTTGCTGCTGCTGTTGCTGCTGCTGGTCGCCCTCAGGATGTGCCTTTTCCAGCTGTTCGTGGTCTGGGGAAGCATTCGGGGCCTCGGGAAACCCCGTGCTGCTCCTACTTCGCGTATCACCGCGAGATATGCTTCTTGTGATGTGGCCCTTAGCCCTGTTTGGCCCATCCCCGGCGGCTGACGTTGCGCTAGCTGGCCGACCGGACAGATGCTGATGCTGATGTTGCTGCTGGTGCTGCCTGTTTTGCAGGTGCCGACGACTTACTGGGGTATCTGAAGATTCCCTTGGTCCCGCCCCCCCAGCGTGAGATACGCTGCCTGCAGAGGAACTCTTGCCAGTCTCATGGCCTCCTTGAGAGGCCCCCGTCCAGCGGCCACTACGCGCCCTGTGAGTCGGTGAAGCAGCAGCAGCAGCAGTGGAGCCTGCTGCTGCTGCTGTAGCTGACGCTGGGTCGGGCCCTGCAGCATCGGCAGCGCCTGACTTTGCCTCTCCCCTGCTGCTGCTGCTACTACTACTACTACTAGTTCGCGGATGGGCCCCATTAGAGGCGGATACCAAACGAGAAGAAGGAGTCTGCGGAGATCCTTCGGCTGCTCTTTCCGCTGCTGCTGCCTCTTCGAGTTGTCTGGCAGCCTGACGCTCTTGCTCGGCCTGTGACAACGAATCGGCAGTAGGCAGAACTCCAGATGAAACCGAAGCAGCAGCAGCAGCGGCAGTAGCAGCAATAACGGGAGGGCCATTTGCGCATATAGCTACAGCACCTTCCAAACACCGCCCTGGTGCCTGAACAACAGCAGAGGCGGCCCTGGGGGCAATTCTTGTCTAGCGGTGCTGGAACGAACAAGATCTCACAATTCTGTGTCTCTTCTCAACTTCTCTATTGTTCGCAATGATCGCCAGAATGCGCCTGTCTAGAGCCTCCTCCTGCTGGAGGTCTCGCTGCCGCGGTGCAGGGGGCCCCTGGAGGCCACCTTGTCCCCCTCCCTGTGAACGCCCGTGACCTGAGATAGCAAAACATGAGAGGGCAGCAGAAATAGGCGTTATAGCACAGTCTGAGTTGCTGCAATGCTGTTGCTCTCTTTCTGGTGCTGCTGTTCCTGCATCTTCACCATGACGTACTTGTTGCTGAAGATGAGGCCCCACCTCTGGAGCCTCTGGCGGAGTCGCCATGGGCCCCCGAGAATCCTTCGCCAGGGCAGCTTACCCCAAACCGACTCTGCTGCTGACGACCCCCTCTACGCGGCTTCTGTTGCTGTTGCTGATGATGATCTGGAGGGTACTGGCGCAATGGGCCGCGGTCGTGCCTTTGGTGGTGTTGTGCTGCACCAGTCGCCCCTGGAGCGGCTGCGTGCCTTTGCGGTCCGTCTCCTCGCAGCTGTTGTTGTTGCGGTCGGTCCCTCTCTGGCTGGCTGCTTCGGCTTTGCAGTGAATGACCTCCAGCCGGAGTCCCTCTTGCGTCTTGCAGTGGGACCCTGCCGTGATGCCTACGCGCGGATTGCTGTGGCTGCTGCTGCTGCTGCAGCGCATTGCCACCGCTGTGCTGAGGCATGCGTTCTGCAGATAACGTAGTCGAACAGTCAGAAGCCCTAGGTAGAGCGCCGCCGGCAGCGTGGTGTTGCTGCTGCTGCTGTGGCGGAGGCGGCGGCGGTGTGCTACTTTGGCAGAATTCTGCAGGTGCTGCTGATGCGGCAGGCGCAACAACTGCTGTTACTGCTGGCCCCGCTTCTGTTGCGCTGCTCCGGTTGGTCCTGCCACCCCTGCTCCGCGCGCTGCTCACTTTCGGGGCTCCTTGGACTGGCTGTCTCGTCCTAGTGCTATCGCTTCCCCTCTGCTGCTGCTGCTGCTGTTGCTGCTGCTGGTGTGGCGGCTGCGGGAGTTGCTGCTGCACTGCAGGTTCATCTGACTGGCTCCGGGCTTGCTGCTTACGCTGGTCTTGCTGATGCACTTGCTGGTCAGCAGCAGCAGCAAACTCTCCATCATACATTTTGTGGGACTGAGGGACTCGGCCTACGTCTGCTGCTGTTCCCGCTGGAAGCTGCTGTTGGTCGTGGTGCCGCTGCGGCTCCCCCTGGAGCACCTGCTGCTGCATCTCTTGGTGGTGAGTGGGCTTGACCTGCTCGTGCACCTTCGGCTGCTGCAGCTGCTGCTGCTGCAAAGCTTGCAAGTGCTGCTGCTGCTGCAACTGCTGCATTTGCGGCAACAAGGCAGCTGGGACTCCGTATGCCGCCGCGAGCTTGGCCTGCTGCGCCAGGGTATACGCGTATGGCTGTTGCTGTAGGTACGGATCTTGCTGTTGCATATGCTGCTGCAATTGCTGCAGTTGCAGTTGTTGCTGAAGCACAAGGGCCTGCTGCTGCTGCAGCTCAATGGGAGACCCTCCTGGCTGCTGCATGGCGTATATCATTGGCATTTGCATTTGCTGTAGCTGCTGTTGCTGCTGGAGTTGCTGCTGTTGTATTTGCTGCAATTGCTGCTGCTGCAGTTGCTGCTGCTGCAGCTGCTGCTGCTGCAGCTGCTGCTGGTCCAGACTGCCAAGCGGCCCAATGTCGCTAAAGTAGGGCGGCAGAGGCCCCAGCTGGGTAGCGACGCCCATTTGCTGCAGTTGCTGAAGGTGCTGAAGCTGCTGCAGGGCTGTGTTTGTTGCAGCAGCTGCTGCAGGGGTCATGCTACCGTAAAGCGATGGTGCTGCTGCGGCTGCGGCTGCTGCATACGCGGCTTCATATGCAGCAACGCTGCTCCCATATGGATCTAGAACTTGCTGCTGCTGCAGATGCTGCTGCTGCAGAAGCTGCTGGTGCTGCGCATGTTGCTGCTGCATCAACTGTTGCTGGTGTCTACTCTCCTCTTGCTGCTGTCTCGAAGCTGCTGCAGCAGCAGCAGCAGCAGCCTCCATCTGATAACTGTCCCTTGCATATGTTGGTGGACCTGCCTGAGGACCCTCATGGGGGTTCTGCAGCTGTTGCGTGTATGGCTCATCTGTATCGTTGACCGCTGTGCTCTGATGGCGCTGTTGTTGCTGCTGTTGCTGCTGCTGTTTTTTGGAGCCTTCGGAGCGCCATATCTCCTTCGACCCCCGCTGCTGCCTCGCCGAAGGCGCCTCAGAAGCCCCTGGTGCAGGTCTGGCCCCTCTGCGGGGCCCAGGAGGCCCTTCTCCCGGATATGGCATTTGCTGCGGGGCAGATGCACACAAATAACACACACTGACTGCTGCCCGAGTCCCGCCGCTGCTGACGACGTGAAGGTGCGGCAGCAGCCGCAGCTGTTCCCTCTTGTCAGTGTATCGTACGTGTATGCCTGTTTCACTGGTGTCACGTGGCTCTGTATCGTATAAGTTAGACTTTAGTGCACTTGCCAGCCGCTGCACCCGCGATTAGCCTGAAGTGAGGGCAGCAGAAAGAATGGAAAGTATACGTACATCTGCAGGCTCACAATACAGCTACCGCTGCACAAACGGCTGCAGCCGAATAGAATAGTCTTTTGTGTGTTGCTGCTGCGGGTATTGCAGGAGCAGCAACAGCCACCCCCTTGTTGCAGGGGGGGCAGCTGAGTGCAGCGAATCGTGGGGGGCCCCGCTGCTGATGTGGTTGCAATGTAGGTCCCCTGGGCTGCATGTCTTTGAGTTGTTGTGACTATCTAACCATCTCCTTTTCTTGGGGCCCCTTGCATGCGTTGCTGCAGCTTGGGGGCCCCGCTGCGAGCACCTGCTGCTGCTGCACTGCTGCCCCCACAGCAACAGAGCTGGGGCTGGAAAAGCTACTGTTGTGGCCGAACCACTCGGTTATTCCTGTTCCCATTAGTTCAAGGGAGAATTATACAAATGTTTTTTAAATTTTTGTTAAGTCCTGCTTGATTTGTGGTTTGCAGATATGTGTCGTCCCGTGCTCCCTCGTCACCGGCCACCGTTTGCAGCGCAAATAACTGGAAATATACAAAATGTGCAGTGGAATATAGGATTGGCTTCCACAAAATTGTGGGAAATCACAACCACGTCTGAGCACGTAAGTGCTGGGCTCATCGCTACGTTTCGCGCCGAACGGGGTTAAAGTGTACGTCAGACGCACTTTGAGACCTCACTCTTCGCAAGCAGAAAAGAGTGCGGTGTGCAGCTTGGAGATGCATGAGTACGTGCTTCTTGGATATGTATTGATAAGCAAAAATATTGTGTAGGCAAAGAGGCATGGCCTGCCGAGGCTGGAGAAAGTCGCGTGATTGGTAGAATTGTACCCATTGTAGTGAACAGCAAAGTATGAGGTCTGCAGAGCGACTCTTCGCCCAGAGAGCCGATAAGTGATAAGTAGTGGGCAAAACTTTCAGAAATTCAACGTTGGAGAATGTCTTGACCTCGGACTGTATGACATATTCTGGCTGAGTACTTCGGCCCACAAATCCCCTGAGAACGAGTAGAATACTGACTTATCGGAAAACACCGGCCCAATCAACAGGCCACATTGATGAGCTTAGCTCAGCGTCTTGGCACTCCAGTGGGAGGGGCCATGCCTGGGAAATGGCAAATAAGCCTAGGAGGCGAAGGCAGGCATGTGCCTTGCACGTAACAACCAGTGACCAATAATTGTCGGCGGCGCAGTTTCTTTGCAGGAACAAGTAGTGCCGTATATCTGCTTTCAATTTTGCCGTCTTTATTCTGCAGTGCTCTCCTGCTCTTCTCTGCCGAAGAATAAATCCTTAGAGGCATGGGGAAGGAGGCTTTCCTTCTTGAGACTGTGCTTGCTAGTTACTACGTTGCCTCCGTTTACTGTCTTTGCAATAAAATGCGATGTTAGCCTGCATGCTTTTAGCCAGTTCCATGGCGCATGATGCTTGTTCTAGTAGCTAAATCCCAGGTCGTTCGAGCAGCTTTGCAGTCAAGTGCTCCGCCGGTTTCTGCTGGAGCGACTAGCTGCCTGAATTTTCCCCCATGCCTCCTACGGTGCTGTCACTAGTATATACGGAGACGCCTGACTCGTGAAGCGTAACTTGGATTGCGCACTGAATAATTCTGCGGCGAAAAACAGTGCGCATTGAGCTCTGGCTTTGCCATGTCTTTCAAAGCTACTTAATATATGTTAAAGGACATCTTAGGCTCTACACATGCAGTGTCACGATGCGGCAAACTCACATTAGGTCACTACGCTATCGAGCAGTATGGCCTTAGATTTGATGCAGCGCCGCCAAGAAATCATAGGTTTAGTTCTGTTCTACATACCGTGCCTGCAAATTGTGCGCCGCCTTCTCACTTTTAAAATCATGTCCCACAAGAAGAACCCACAGCGTTGATTCCTAGGATTGGCGAGACAGTCACGAGGTATGTTCGCAGCAATGCGACTGACAAAGGAACAGAATAGTGAAGCCGCAATTGAAAGTTGTCGCAGGCGCAATATCTCTACAGAATAGTGAAACCGCAAATGAAAGTTGTCGCAGGCGCAATATCTCTACCCTCAGCCCACGGCTGTACATTTCAGTATGGTTTCAAGGCCAACACATACATACCGACAAGCTTGCGAACAAGCAACGCGCACTAATGGACAGAGGATATGGACAGAGCTAGTGAGTCTGGAAACTATGCCGCTTCCACGTTTTTTATTTGTTAAAGAGTGGACAACAGAGTCAGCCAACAACAAATATAGCTGCTCGAACTACAAACGCGAGAGACTGAAGGGACAATGCACCAGCTTTGGGGCTTTTACGGAGACAACAAAAGTCAGGCCGTAGCTCTTTAGTCCGGGTTTTTTGCATCGGAGGTTATTGGCATCTAAAAAAACTGAATGATCGACTCTAGGGAAATTGAATGATCGACTCTAGGGACCCTAGAAAAGTGCAGCGTGGCCCATAACTCCAGAGGCACTGGCGGCCTATTGCAGATGCAGACAAGCAAAAAGCCCAGTTACTTTAGGCAATGCGGAAGGGCTCAGAAGTGTCTCGAGTGTACATATTGGAGAAGGCCAAGGCTGGTGTGCATGGCACAAAAGAATTGAAACCCTCCTGTTGTAAGACTCCGGAAAAGCTAGGGAGTAGGGAAAGCAACATCAGTATCACAAAAAGACTCAGAGGATTCAAATTCGCTTTTTTTCGGGCCAGCTCTTGCGCTCCGATAACCGTAAGAAATCAGTGGAGGAGACGAGAAGAAGCCAAGAAAGCACTGGCTGCCAAACGGTGGAGTCATTTCCCGTATAGCAGGGGACGAGTGCATGATTAAGGCGCCTATGTGCTGACCTAAGCGCAAGTTATGTGGAAATATACCTGAAGAAATTTCGGTGAATTGGTTCATTTTGTTTGATGCGTTGGGGAACGGCATGGGCCCATGCTGCCTTGTTGGTTTCTGCTGCCCATTCCTTTTTTTCCGCTACCGAAACTCATTCGAAGCGGGCATTGAATATTTTGTTTTCCAGCTATTTTCCCTTCTAATTTTTCACAAGTCGTAGGAGCGTAGCACAATGTGGAAAACGGGCAAATGAGAACTTAACACCTTGAAGCACAAGCGCTAAACGCTGCTTGCACGAGCACAGTTAGATGTGGCATTTCACCGCAGCCTATGCAACACCTAGAAACTCAGTCAGAATCCTCATACCGAAGAGCAACCTTTCCCGAATTAAATATTTCAAGTACCCAAACCATGAAGTCGTGCTAAGTAGGCCAATGGACTAATGCACCTCTGCACGGCAATAGGATCGCCACTCGTCTCAAGGCATGCGTGCCCATATTTCACATGAGTAGTGATTATATTACACAAAACAGACCAATGCGCCTGGGGAAGGAGTGCATGCCGTTCCCTTAAGTGGTCACCCCGCGGGCATTGGGTGGTGTAGGCTCATACATCGATAGATCTGTTTAGCCATTCAGGAATACCTGAGCAAAGATTCAAGAGGACTAGAGAAGGATGAGCATTAGTAGAAGACACTTTGGTAACAGTACCACTGAGGTGCTACAGCTTGTCTGTCGTCAGCCGGCACCGACCCGCACGCTGCTGCATGGGGCCCTCTGTTCATTTTTTTGAGGCCGTTTATCCATTTGGCGTAGGTCCTTGGGCATATATGGCTAATTCAGGGAATTGCTCAGCATCTAGATGAACAGCTTTGCTGCTTTCGCAGTAGTGCCCACCCACGGGGAGGCAACTGCTAGCGGCCTTGTCCGCGCAGTCGCAGGCGACAGCAAGCAGCAACGGCGGCAAGACCAACAACGGCAGCAAATGCTGCAGGGAGCCACATCTGCATGCTGTCGCTGCAAATAATGCTACTGAAAAAGGAGCAGCGCCAGAGCTTTCCAGCTTCCGACCACTCCGCTGAGTCATCTGGGACTACGGCTGCAGCAGCAGAAGACTTTGTAGGGAGCCATACATTTATTTATTTGTCTTTGAAAGGTTTTGTCCCATCCATTCGTGTCTTCTTTTGCTCTCAACTTCCCACAGATCGCCTGGAGTGCACATCGTGGGGTGAGCCCCACCACAAACCGGCAGGATGCGACGCATGACTTACGCGGAAGCTGTTGCTGCAGCCGCCGGAAGCAACACCGAATTGCAGCAGCAGCAGCAGCAGACCTCAACGGGCACCAGTCCCTCCGTATACAGCGCTGTGTCCTCGCCGGAAGAATGGAGTGGTCGCAAGCCTGCTGCATCACACCGCAGCAGCCCCCACGGAGCGACACCAACTGCAGCAAATCCTGCATCAGACGCAGATTCTGCAGAGGAAGCGACATCTTCAAGAGGGATGAAAATAGCTGAGCAGGTGGGGGCGAATCCGGGGACTGTGAAGCTATTGCGAGAACAGTTTGAACGGCAAAGCTCTGAAGGCAGTTTCACCGGGCTGCTCCGCCAGCGGTTGCCTTCCATTGTCTCAGCTGTGTCTAGCTCTTCCCGGCCGTCAGCACCAGCACCAGGAACAAGTGCATCGGCGGAAGGTGGCTACAGTGGCTCAGAGGATGGGAGGCAAGCAGACGCACTCACAGATGCGCAGGCATGTGCTGAGTTTATTCAGCAACTGCTGCACGAGAAGCAACAGCTGCAGCAGCAGGTAGACTCCTTGTGGAATCAGAAAGAGGCTTTCCGCTGTGCTAACGAAAGAATGGCCAGGACGCTGCTCCGGCAGCAGCAGCAGCGAGCAGCTGCAGTTGCTGCAGCGGCTGAAGCAGCCGGAGCTACGCCGAGGAAGGATATGTCTCGCCGCTGTGTTACTGTAGTTCCACCGGGTTGTTTTACGTCAAGAGACCCCTTAGGCCCCCGATGGAGCGTGCCTACTCCAGGGAGAATAGGAGAGGTGCCTCCTGTCGATTTTACTGCTATGAAAATGCAGCATCGGCAATCGGAGTTGCAGCATCCACGTTGCACAGGCAGGGAATCTCCACAGGAGCAAGTAACGCGGCAATTGCAGCAGCCTCAGCTGCAGCAGCAACAGCAGCGACAGCAGAAGATCAAGTCAAACGCCATTCCAGGTATGGCACCTCTGAATTTAGGAGCCCTGCAGCAGCAAACGGCACCTGTCCCTCGCAATGCCAGTTCAAGAGTCTCGGGAGTGTCGCTCCGCGTAGCAACGTCGGGGGACCGTGGCACTTCGCGCATGGGAGGGTCCTTAACATGCAGGGTCTCGTTGGCTTCCAGTGCGCTGAAAACCCCAAGGAGGAAGTTTGGTGACGGGGTTATATCGGCGCGTGGATCTGCAAGAGGGTGGCAGCGACGGGGGGTACACGAGGAGGAGGAGCAGCACCAGCAGCACAAGGCTATTGAAGAGGCACTTGTTGCTTCTCTGCGCTCATTGAATATGTTGGGCTCATTCAGTTTGGGGTCAGGCAACGGCAGAATGAGTGCGCGCGCTGCTTCGGGGCCAGAGTGGGAGCCTACCCCAGAAGCAGCACTCACCCGCTGCAGCAGCAACCCCGATAGGGGATATTGGCACTCTACATTCCTGTGTGTACTAAAGGTTGAAGGCACAGACTTTTTTCTTGACGTTATCCGGCAGAATCATCAGCAGCAGCAGGACACGCTGCCAAGCTTCCACAGCACAGCGAGTAGTTTCTTTAGCAGCACAAGCGCAGCTGGCGATGTAACGGAAAGCCAGGCGATGAATGGAGCCAGAGTCATGGCCTCCAAAGAAACAGCAGGTGAGACATTGCAGCAGCAACGGCAACAGAGCTCACATACACTGTTGATTTTCTGGCGTGGCTTCACGCGTCTCGGTTTTTCACAGTGCTTACTGCCCCGAATTCTTGCATTTGTTAAATTCGTGTTTCCCACGTGGGACAGTGCTCGGCAATCGGACCTGTTCAGTGTCTTTGGTGTTGTTAGGGCCCTTTGCATGTTGGTGTTTGTGATTCAGGTGTGTTCCAAGTTTGCGTCCGTCACCTGCTTAAGGATGACAACTGGCTGCGCTCCATCTGCGTTTCAATGTTTTGGGGGCTAACATCTGTTGTAGATGAGGCGGAACTGCCACCGGACCAGACGCTGCAGCATGGCTTGAGCGTAGAGGGGACTCAGGCGGGGTCCCTTCAGGACTCCAAGAGCTCCGCAGCCTCTGACGAAGCCAGTGAACAGGGGCAGGCGACGCCTTCAGCCGACACGGACAATAACAGCGGCGCTTGGAGCGGCTGGGACTTAGTTGCGTTTATGTACCAAAGAAGCATCGACGCCACTGGCAACCCTGTTACGGGCAAGGCAGTTTCTTCCTCTACGAATTTATACATATCCTCGCGCGTCCCAGATGGTTCCATGCCAGGTTCATCGCCAAGCTTCAGCACCAGCAACAGTACAACCCAAAGCAGCAGCAACAAGGCCAGTGTGGACATGCGTCGTGCAGAGCCGTACTCAACAATGAATCAGCTACTGCTCCAAAAAGGGCCACAAAAGCAAAACATGTTCCTGGTGAGGGCGAAGGATAGACACGCAGGGGTGATGCCACTGTACCATAGATCGACCCAAAAGTACGTCCATGTTCACCCTACAATGGGCCTTGTAGGCCTTGTGCCCCCGGTGATAGAGCAGGAAAAGCAGCTGCGGCATCTGCAGAAAGTAGAGCAACAAAAAAAGAAGAGTATCAGGAGGCGTTTAAAGGCGAAGAAGCATCATGACACCATTCAGCACCAACAAGATGGCGCCAGCAGCAACACGAGCAGCTCTGTTCCCGAGAGCCCGCAGCCAGAGGTTGAGCCAATTACAGCTGACATGTTCTTGAGGCCGTGCCGTATAGAAATGATCCCCCTGGCGGATTTGTTGCTTCAACAGTCGGTCCATCGCCTGCTATCGAGTGTCCAAGAGTTGGCCGTGCAGACCCAACAAGAACAGCCTGTTGGGGAGGCCGCTTGCGGGCCAATCGCCGAGGCCGCGAGCCTCAGCAGTCTTAGCGGCAGCTCTTCAGATGAGGGGGACAGTTTCGATGGAGTTGTGGCCTCAGAGGGGGGTGAGGATATAGACCCGAACAAGATTGCGGGCAACCGCCGGCCCTTAGTTCCGCCTCTTGGTCTCCCTCCAGTTGTCCCCGCAGAGACTCTCCCTCCATCAACTCCACAGCAGCCGCCTGTGCTCGCTTTCCACCTTGACGATGAAGGGGTAGACACTGACGTTGAGGGTGACAGCCTGGCGCACTGTACTGACAATGGTTGCGGCCCCAGAAAGGCTGCCAGAGCTATTTAGTCTGGTCTGTGACTCCTGAAAAGCACAGGTGGCTCTGAGCAGAGCCCTAAACGCGCGCCGAGAACTCATTTGGCGTTCGGTACAGGCTGGAATAGCGGGAGTTCGTTTGGCGAATTATGGTGTAGAAGGACAATTTAAGGCGCAGAGAGAAATCTTCACGCTGGTCATGTGTACGTACCCAGAGAAGGAGGCGTTGGGGCTTTCTCGCACTAGGGTGTACACCGTAGCTTTGTTTTCTAGTTGCCTCGACGGGCTATGGAGCTGCACTTAGTCAGCCATTGTTGACGTTCTGTTTGTTTGTGCATTTGTCCTAGAAACGGGCATATTTGTATCACCGCCTGGTTGGCTTTGCTCTCTGCTATTAACGAGGCGGTACGCAGATAATAGTGTCAGTAGGAACTACAGCGAACCAACACGGAATACGCAGCGCGGTTCAGGCCCTTAGTGGTCAGCAACAGCAATGCATCCTGCGGATGACCAGCGGCCTGTGTAGAGCCCGTCGGCATATGCAGGAGATAATAGTAGAGACTAGCTTCTATTTGACTGTTCTGACACCTACTGGAGACCACGCTAACTGGAGTGGCGAATAACCGCAAGTAGCCTGGCCTCTGCAAATATTGTGATGAGCCAGCATTTGAATGGGTGACAGCAAAAGGAGAAAGAATTTGACCCTCTCCTATAGCAAAGTCAGGCAATTGGCCTATGCTGGCAGGGCTTAAGTTTTAAAAAAAGAACCGCTCAGCCATGATTTAAAACCAGTCTGTGGACATTCAGCAGCCCAGGCGCACTTTCAAGATACTTACGGGCTCATTAGTGGCAGCTTCTGCCCTTTATGTGCAGTAGCTTACTTTCGAATGACAGTAACGGGACATTCCTTAGGCACTGTGCCGTCGCCAACTTTAGCTTCCTATTGGCACAATGACGTATCAAGGGTCTCAGTTGCGCAGCCAGAAACCTATACAGTATGCGTGCGGCCGTGAGTGACGGAATAAAAGTGTGACATGCTCGGTACTTGTCAGGTTCTAGCGGCACAGCATTGTCCGGAAATCCATAGGCCTGGGCAGCCTGCTTGAGGTATGGGCTACGTATTAATTTTTCCCCTGAGGCCACTTTCCCATGATAGGGGGCCTTGTATCTCCAGGAACGTCAAATTGTTGCCCAAATTCCTGAGGGAGTTCCCGTTTGGCAGCGGCTTACAGGCACGGTTCTGACGAGGACAACCCACTCTAAGCCCTGGGAAGGCCTTCTTCAAAAGGGGGCCTGCTTTATTGACCAAAGCTGGCTATGCAGTGCCTTCGAGAAATCGCTCACGGGCTCGCGTCCCTTGCCCGGTACACTGAGGAAGTTTCCCTTGGGAAGTATCTACTAAGCGCAAGCAGTGCGCATTATGTCCATACACTAGTGATGAGCGCTGTGTGTTAGGGGACTTACTGGGCTGCGACTGGTACTTAAGGACGAGGAGAATCACTTGGGGACTGCTTTGTTACGTGGTCCACCTTTCGTCTTGCTGTCTACTACCGGGGCACCGTTAACTCAAACTTTTGCGCCCTACATTTCAGATTTTCCCCAAGGTACTGTCCCCCCCGATTACAGTGGTGTCTTAGCCTTCCTGTGACCTTTAACTATATCTCTACTGCGGCAGTAGAAGCCCACTACAGCATCGTTTGTTTTCACGGATGTAGCTTACATAATTCTAACGCCATGGTCTCGTGGACTTCATCGAGTTTTTCTGCGATCCGCAAAATTTCGTAGCTGGAGTGGAAGACAGCAATGAACTGACGAAGAATGAGCGCGTCTACTTGGGGAAAATGTAGTAAAAATTTACTGTAGAGGTTCAAATACAGCAAAATTCATCATGCATTGAGCCAAAGGAGGTGAAGCAGGCGCCAATGTAACCTCCTTGTCAATTTTTATGAATACACACCATACGCTGAAACACATTTTTTAATTATGTATTCATTCATTTCTTTCAACTCTCCGCTAATTCTTTGGCGGGTTGCTGTTAATCACGCAGTGTTCCATCATGAGTCTACTTCCTCATCGAACGATTGGGAAGGGGAGAGAGTGTTCTTCTTTAGGTTGTTGCTGAGGATTTTCAAGAAACATGTTTGATGCCGTTGCATTATGGCTTTTGTCTCTTTTGAAAATGGAATTGCGGCCTTAATCATCTGCGTGACGGACATCTGTGCGCTGATTCTGTGGACTAAGGCTCGAAATCTCCCATGCTCACCATCCATCTGCACAGCCTAAGTCTCTCCTTGGCCACACCAGCTGAAAAATGAAACGAAGTACATGAAGTTTGCAGGAGAAGAACGTCAGAACAGCTGGGGGCCCTGGCTTTCCCTTCCTTAAGGGCAGGTGTGCGTGTCACCCGCTGCGTTGGACAATGGTGGCTACAGGGGACGAACATGGCGTTCCCCAGGGCCATGGCTCCAGGGAATATAGTGGGCTTCATTATGGGGGGGCGCTAAACGCCCGCCGTGAGGACCCTTCTGGGCACAGGCCACGCCAGCACCCCCGAGCTTTTCCTTCTGTCCGGCCAGTCCATCCCCCCATGACCATCTACAATCCTATGCAACACCGCGGGCAGCTGTATCCGGGGTCAGGGCTTCACAATCTGCATTGGCAGAGCCAGCCTACCCCACTTCAAGCGCCGCCACCCCCTCCACCTACCCCGGGTAACGTCCTGCAAATGGCGCACGTGCAGCGACAGCCACAACATATGCAGCAACAACGTCGAGGTCTCTCTGAATACCAGGGAGGCATAGCGACAAAGCAGCCGGATGAGACGTCGAAGGTTGACCCATACAGCCGTGGCTTTTCTGGAAGACGATTGCTCTCGAATTCGAGGGTGGCACCTTTATCAGCTGCCGGCATATCGAATCCACGCAACCACGAAAACTTACAAAGGAGGCCTCAGGAAGAGATCGTTCTTAGCAGCAGCAGCGATTCAGAAAGGGAGACAGCTCCACTTCAGGAGCACCATGAGCGGAAAACCGAGAGTGCGCAACAGCGACGCGAACTGCCAAGGCTGCGGCCGCAGCAACAGCACTATGTACAGCAGCAGCAAGTGCAAATGCCATATCAGGATCGAGCGCGATCCCAGGAGCAACAGCCACACCAGCAACGGTCGCAAGGACACCAAGAACGTTTGCAACAATTTCAACACCCGGACAAGCTATCGCAGCAGCGGGAACAGCAGGAACAGCAGCGCAACCAGAGCTTGGAGGAGCAACGGCTACGGAAGGCCAACGGCGGGAGGTCTCAGGGTTCGCCAGAACCCGCCATGAACGCATCTGGCCCTAGTACTGACAGTCAAACTGCGGACATCCACAAGAGGAGTACGAGCAGAAGCAGCGGCAGCAGCAACAGCAGCAGCAGCAGCAGTAGTAGTAGTAGTAGCTGCGCGGGCAATAAAAGCGTCGAAAACAGAAATTCTAGTTGGTTCAATATGAATATTGATCGTTTGCTCCCCGAATTTCAGCATTTGATTCGCTGGAAGGACGGACGCCTACAGAAGGCACTGAGATTTGCTGCTGAAGAAGATGGCGTGCGGCCTTGCGAAACGGACCCGGATACATTCATTGTGGACTCTGACACGTAAGGTGGCAGTTACACAGCGCCCTTGCACAGTACTTTGTGTTCCTTTGTTTGCGTGTGCTGTTCGTCAGTAGTGAAGCTGAACACAGCTCGGTCCGCGTGCACTTGTGGAGCGGCATATTAGTGAACTCACAAATGAGCCGCACACAGTTTCTCTCTACTTCCTCGCAGCCTGATGCTGCAAATGCTAGGGCGAGGCTGCGAGCTGTCAATTTCTAGACGTCTAGAAGTGGAAAGTGCCTATGAAGGGAGCAGCTGACTGCAGGCACTTTAGATAAAAGCAGGATGAGCTGGAACACATGTAAATGGGTGAATGGGAGAGTGCTTAGGAACACAGACGAAAAGCGTGTGCAGCGATACTTCACGAAACGGGCCGCTGCGAGAGGTGTCACTAGGAGTAAGCGGTGCCTGGTATGACGTGAGAACAGAGAACAGCCTAGCTTCTGCGGGGCATACTGTTGTGTGCTTTTGCAGGAGCAATTGCCGGATAGTGGACGCAGCAGTTTGTGAGTGTAGCTGCCCTAGCCGCGATCCGTTGTGTTCGCACTTGTTGGCTGTTGCTGTGTGGCAGCTACGGCAAGACCAGCAGCAAGAGCTACCAGAGAAACAGCAACACCAGCGACAGCCCTATCAAGTGCAGAACCGAGATTTTAGTCTTCGCCTCGCCATAAGTGCTTTTATTAAGCAGCAGCTGCTCTCACTCGCGACTGAGGCGTTCGTGCCTCTCAAGCCATTCACCTGCGAGTCATTACTGCGCGACCTGTGGAGGCGTTTGCTCCGGAGGTTCCCCGCTTCAGTTGCTGCTCGTGCTGCAGCAGCGCTGGCAATCGGCCTGCTTATGCGCTTTGCGCAGAATGCAAAGGGAGCACTGCCTCAGATACCATCAACTGTAACCAACAGGCCTGTAGAGGAACATGAGGAAGATGACCTGAGAAGTGATGAGCAGAAGCAAGCGCAGCAACAAGGAGAGCAGCCAAATCCAGAGCAGGAGGACCAGCAGAGACAGCAACAAGAAGCACCGCAGCAGAAAGCACACGAGCAGACGGGCCATCCTGACCTAAGTAGCCTTGCAGAGGAAAATAGTTCTCAAGTGAAGACCTATGCATTACCCCCTGAGGAGGCAATGGCTTGTCTTATGCAGCAGCTCCGGCTTCAACTGCAGCACCCACCTGTAGCAAATGGACCTGAAGATGATCCTCTTAAACGTTTGTTTGAGCTAGAAGCGGCTGTATTTCCGGCCAGTGAACCTTCCGTTGTGCATACTCTTCTGCAGTTACTGCATAGAAGTGATGCGCGTGCTGCTGCTGTTGCTGTCGAAGAAGGGTTACGGCTACGAAGTCAGCAAGCATACAAAGAAAACACTGAAACTGATTTTCTCGAAGAAGCAGCATCACCTGAGGTTTACGTGCACTTCGCGTTGTTGGTGCTGGAAACTGCGACGGCAGCAACGGCAACGGCAGGGGCCGGATCTTCAGTACAGATGCGGTCGGTTCTCGAGGCGTGTATATATGTCATTCGGCTGCATTTCTCTCCGGCTGTTGCTTCTTCAGTACTGCGTTGCAAAGCTCTGTCTGATGCTGCAGCGCTCACAGTGTTTATATCAACTTTGCGAGCTGCATTGGCCAGCGTTCTAGAGAATCCCACCCCACGTATGGAAGGGTCCATCTCTGCCACTTCATCACTGCCCAGCATGTGGGATGACAGACCGCTCTCTCCTGTTTCGCATGACATAGCTCTTGCTGAGCTACAGCGACAATCCAACAGTTGCATTCGCTTGGCAGCGGCTCTTTGTAGCCCTTGGCAGTTAGCGGCAGCCCTTGCAAAAAGCCTTGCCATCTGCCGCAAGACTCAGCAGCAGGTGGAACCACAGCTGCAGGAGGCAGCTAATCTAAAGAGTTGTGTAGAATTGCTGGTGTCGGATGCAAACTCTTCCAGACGGCTCGTTGAGCAGCAACAACCGGGAAATGGCATTGTCCCCTCCTGGCAGTCTGTCGCTGAACAGATTGATGCGGCTCCCGAGCTTGTGGACTTGTTGGCATATCTCAATTGGGGTGAGGCCTTGGAGCCCCACTTTGGAGGGCTTGAAGCCTTTATTTGCCGCCATGGAAACATGCCGTTTGCTTTCAGCGGGGAAAAATGCAGCAGCAAAAGTCATGGCTCCACTGCGTGCAAGAGTAGGTTGCTTGACAGAAATTTTTTTGTTGGCATTGAGGGCGGAGGAATCTTAAGACTGAACAAGCCAACTCAGAACACTTTGGAGACGCTGTTGGACGCCGTTAATAGCAAAAATGCAGCGGTCGCTGTGGCGGCCCTGGCAGCTCTCTTGTGGGAGCCGCAGCAACAGCGGCACCGTAGTGGGGAGTGCGCCTTCGATACGTGCCCAGCTGCTATACAGCTGCAGATTCGCAACTACCTGCAAGAACGACATCAGCAAAATGCCAGTCAAAAGCCTCAGCTCCATGAGAGACGGGAACAGGCTTGGGGGGAGTTTTTTTGTAGAGTTTTTGCTGAGTCGCCCAGGGCCCTTTTAGATGCAAGCATCGTTGTGCTGCTGGCACCAGTCTCTGAGGTCTACGGAACTGGCGTCATTCATGCTGCTTTCACTTGTTTTTCTTCATTCCTTTGGCAGCGGCTTCAGTTGCAGTCACAGGTGTGTGAAGATTTTCCACCAGTCGATGCCTTGGAGGCAAAGTCCAGTCTGCTGGGGCTGCTGCAGACGCATGCAGCCTTCGTTCCGCTATGTAGCATCCTTCGAACGGCGCTACATCGTTGCGCACAATTGCTGTTACCCCCAAGTGAGGCAGCGGCCGCAGTTAAGGTACTACGCCAGCAACACGACCACGTAGAAAATCGACAGCATGGATACATATCGCAGAGTCAGTTGCAAGAGGTGCAGCAACAGAAGGAACAGCGGCACATTAGCGCATGTGATAGCGCTGCTGTTGGGGAGCAACCTGACATTCCAAAAGAGCTAGCACCTTGTACACCGGAACCAGAAACGGCAGAAGCTCTTACTTGTGGCACAGTATTCGAAGACGGCGACGCACTGCTGTTGCCTCGCCAACGTAGGCCAACTTCATCCAGCTATCGTGACAATGAAAGCGGAGTTATCAGTGGCACGCCATTTGAGAAGGTTGCTGTTGTTGCACAGCGGGCTGTCCTAAGTCAGGAGACAGTAGGCACTGCAGCGGATCTGTGGGGCGATGAGACGCCTGAGGCTTTCGTAAGGCGGCTGCGGATTGAGGAGTTCGGTGTGGGACTTGCCGGTGGTAACGACGCTGCTCCTGATGGTGCGCATGAAGAAAGTGTTGTTGACGCTGTCATGAGGAAGCAACGGGAGAGATTGACTCGTGCTCTGAACCGTCTTGCAGGCGATCTATACTCGTCGGAGTGTCACCTACAATTGGAACTGCTACAGAACGCCGATGACAATACGTATATTCTGCCGCTCCAGGTGCCTCCTCGTGTGCTGCTGCTGGAGCCAAGGCGACAACAGCAACTGCTACTCAGGATGCCGGCTCTGAGCATACCTTCTCTGCACTTTGAACTGCTGCCTGAAGGCATGGGCGTCTTCAATAACGAAAGAGGCTTCCGGCCGGTGGACGTTCGTGCTTTATGCGATGTGGCGCGCAGCACCAAAGCACCGCAGCAGCAGCAACGGAACCAGCACACTGAAAAGAAAGAAATCCGTCGTATAGGAAGATTTGGAGTGGGATTCAAGTCTGTTTTCAGCCTTGCAGATGAACCCCACATCTTTTCCTGCACAGGAGTCGCCATCAAGTTCTCCGCCACAGACACAAGCGGTCTGGGATTTGTGCTTCCTCACCCACTAGAGTCACGAGAGCCTTGCAAATACTTACCGGCTGAAGCGCTGCAGGGTGCACTCCTTGCAGCGCAGGACCCGGCATTTCTCGCAAGTACGGAAAGTAGTGGTGGCGGCAGTAGTGGAGACTACTGCTGCTGCAGCAGTTTTTCGCCGCATTCAGTTTCTGAGGAGGGAGCAATAGGTGTTATGAGCGTATGGCGTACGGTGATTTGGCTACCTGTGAGACCAGCGTTGAGAGAGGAGTGGATAAGCGGCCACAGCTGCCTTCCTAAGCGCCTTTCCGTCGTAGAACCACACTGCCTTCTCTTTCTGCGGCGTGTCCGCCGCGTTTCCTGCCGCAGCCACTCAACTAACAGCTGCTTCTTGTTATTAAAGCGCGCATTTCCGTTTATAGACTCATCCGTCCTGCAACCACCGCAACACAATGCGCATTCGCCAAAGCAGCAACGCATATATGCTTTACCAGAGTACGCACAACACGTTGTCTTGACGTCTTGTCGCCGTCATTTGGAATCAAGGCCGGCGGCATTGTGTGAAATGTGGAGCAACTGCAGCGGGAAGAAGTCTCCTTGGAAGAAGCACCACCAACACTGGCTGCTGGTGCAGCACTTCCCAGTTGGGAAAGCACCACTGTCGGGACCAAGTGATGAGCCTCTTGTCGTAGCCTTGCCACTAAGCCCACAAGGATATGCTGCACCGACTCCGATGGCAGCCGCACCTGCGTCTCGTACAGATGAAGGCAAAGGTGCTAACAGTAACAGCTCGAGTAATAGCGACGACGGCATCGGATGGCCTCTTCATTGCTTCCTTCCTGTGAGGGGCTTTGGTTTGCCCTTCATCCTGCAGGGTGCTTTCAATCTGACGGCATCACGGGAGGATCTGAGGTGTGGAGACGCCTGGAACTTGTGGTTGCTGCAACAGCTACCTGCTGCAATATGCACTTCTCTTTTAGTGTGTCGGTATGCACATCCCGAACTACAGGAGTCTTTGTTGCTCTTTGTACCTCTTTTGAATGCAACTACAGCTGTGGGTGGTTCTGCAGAAATGGTTGGATCGGCTGCATCTGCTGCAGTAGCGTGTGTGAAAGATCTGGAATGTCTCCTTGCTATTAAGCCTTTTGTAGAACAGCAACGAATCACGCGAAACATTGGCGAGGACTTCATATGGTGCTGCCCAACACGTGCAGTGCTTGCTTGCGATGCTGCCGTATACACTGAGTCGGAGCTGCCCGCAGCTGCCACGCCGTCACAAAGCAATGCCACCAGCAGCGGCCTTCCAGCTACTTCTGAATGGGCTGTTCCGCCGTGGCTTCTAAACAAAGCTTTAGGTTTGGCATACGTGCACCCAAGAGTACTGAAGCATCTTCAGCCAGCTATGCTCCGCCAGCTGGGGGTGAGGGACTTCTCACCTTGGGATGTGGTGGAGATTCTCCGCTGTCTAGTCAACTTGCAACACCAAGAGCATCATGAGTCGATGCAGCAGTTCGAGCCCTCAATGACCGTACAGAAGGGGCAGGATCACGCTCGACCTCTGCAACCGCAGTGGGTTGGCCGGTTGCTGCTACTTGTTGAAAGCATTTGCATGCAGCAGCAACAGACCCCGCAGCACCGCGCAGCCCTGGGGGCTTTGAAAGGAATTCCATTTCTTCCTACACTCTGCGGTCGCTTCGTAGCAGCAGACAGTGCGGAAGCGGCGTTGTGCCTCCCGCCTGACGCCGGTTCTGACAGCGTAGCGGGCCGCTTAGCTCAGTCTTTCAGCGCTGATATTCTTTCCGAGGGGCACGCTCAAGACTGCACTGATGGCTACACAGCGAACCAACTTGTCCTCTACATTCATCCTAAAGTGCTGGAACCATGGCTTAAAATTTCTTCCGAGCAGCAGCAGGCTCAGAGTCACGGTCCCGAGGGGGAGAGGAAGGAGGACCTATCAGATGCGGACATGCAACAACTGGCCGGGAGCAGGTTGCTGCAGAGGTCCCGTGTCATACGGTGTCTGCGGTGCCTTGGCGTGGATTTCCTGAGACCGCGGGAGGTGATGCAACAGCGTATTCTCCCGTTGCTTCGAACGCCACGTTTTGCAGACACGGCGACGGAGAAGCAGCTAGTGGACTGCCTTTACTTCATCGTCGCTCACTGCCACGACCTCGCAGCTCTAATGGAAGCAGACAGCAGCAGATATGTCGTTCGGCAGCAAGTGCTGCTGATGCCAGTTTGTACACACACGGGAAATAGGGTGTCTTTGGGTTCCGCTGAGTTGAGATGCCTTTGGAGTGATGGAAAGGGTAGCTCACAGGAACAACGGCAACAAGAGGCTTTACTTCTGCTGTACAAACAGCTGCTGCGAGATACTTTGTTCCTTTCGTTGGCATATAGCAGTGTGGTCGCGCTGCCTACCTGGGGAGAATTTTGTAAGCTTGTTGGACTCCAAAGACCTCTGCACGTATGTTCGGTTGTTTACTGGTTGCAAATCGATGCACTGCAGGGGCAGCAGCTGCAAAAGCCGGAGCAGCACCAGCGAATTCTCCAGCCGCCTCGCTTTAAGATTACATCAATCGATGGCGTCCCACCAGTTGAGGGAAGCTCAAGGTGCTACAACACACAGGAGATATTATTGCAGCTATCGCGTCGATGGAGCGAGACAACAATGGCATCCCTGAAAGAGGAGCTGATTCAACATATCGGCGAACCCTGGGACGAATTTGGGACTGTCGTCTCTTCAGGTACTTGGGTTGTAGTAGAGGACTTCGTGTGTATGGATTTCGAGCGGCTCGTTACCGCTGCTGCTTCGGCGATGGCCTGCTGTAGCAGCAACTCTCCGCTTTCAGCGTCTCACACGCTGCTACGGCTACCCCAGCAGCGCATGGTTCCGCTTACTGAGGAGCTACAGAAGGCGGAGAGCCTTGCCATCCGTCTTCTTGTTCTGGCTCTAACGGAAGCCCATCTCCGCTGGCAGCATTTTAAGCATCTGCGGTGGAGGCTGGCTGTTCCTTGCACAACAGAGCCTGCAGTGCCAAAGCAGCAGCTGCAGAAGACCTGTCTTAGTGAAGCTGCAGGAGGATTGGGACCAGGGGTGACTACGCTGGCGGGCCCTTCTGGGACAGCAGCATCTTCATTGTTGATGCAGCTGCGTTGCAGTGCCTGGCTGCCAGCAGTTGCGTGTGATGCGATCCCTGTTTCAGAACTGACGACAGGAGGGCACGTTAAGGAAGAGGAGGAACACCTCTACGAGATTGACTGTGATGGAGACCCGGCGCTCTCCCAAGGCAAGAGTTCAACTAGCAGCGACAGCGAAAGGGAAATAAGGGACGCGTCGGCACCCAAGGGAGCCGGCAGCGTGATTAAGACCAGCAGTAGCAGTCGCCAAAGAAGCAAGAAGCATTACCTTAGTTTTGCAATGGATTGCAAACAAAGCAGCAATACATGCAGCGGCGACAGCATCAACAGTAGTGCCTCTGAATCCTTAGTCACCGGACATGAAGTAAACGTGAGGGAATCTTCGCCCGATTGTCTCAGATGCAGAGGCAGCGCAAGCAGCAGCAGAAAGGCCCTATGGTATTGGCGTTTTGTAGGCCTGCGGAAACCCCGTGAGCTAGTAGCCTCAACAGACGAATGCATTCAGGTATATGGACGTCTCGTGCAATACCTACACCCACTAGCGCAGCGTTTCTTGCAGCAAAGGCTCCACAAGGAAGGAGAGCATTCGCTTTCGAATAACAGCGGCTCCACTGGTCTGGAAGGCTTAGCCTACACAGGGAACTGCCTAAACACGCTGGATAGTGGCAGCTCATCAGGGGATACGGAAACAAGCGCTGCAGCAGATGGATCTGGAAATATTTTCGAGGAGCATCAGTGGCGTTCGGGTTGTTTAGCTTTTGCTGCGCAGTGGATTGCAGAGGATAGGGAAATGCCAGCGAAGGCTACGTACGAGACAGGCAATACGCATGCAGAAGAAGCTGGAGTGCACACAGCGCCAGACGGAGCGACAGCTGCAAGGTTGTTGCGGTCTATCTCTTCTCATTTGAAGCAAGTGGAAACGTCAGTGGCGAACGTCGCCATAGCAACAATGCCTGTAGCATCTGTTACCGACGACGACATTATTGATCAGGGGTCACTGCTCTCCGTGGCAGTGTGCTTCCTAGCAGCAGCTGACGCTGCGTGCAGGGAGGGACGCTGTTGCAGCAACATGAACAAGAGGAACTGCAGCGAGGGTGTCTTCTGTCGCTGTTGTCAGTTTCGTCATGCTGGAGGTCACAGTGCGTGCCTGTTTTGTTGCTGCTGCTCTGCAGTCGTTGCTGACGTTTTTCACTTACTGCAGCACCTCGCTCGCCGCTGGCACATGGGGGCCGCATCAGCATCACTAAGTGTATCGCCAGTCTCTACAGCAGCACAACTACGAGGCGCCTCGAGTGTATACCCATTGAGTGCTGGACTGCTGCTTCCGCAGCCCGCATCTCGGGGAGCATTTCCGTCGCCCACTGCGGGATATTCTGCCACATTGGGGTGCTGTATTTGGTGGAAATCACCATCTGATCTGTTCTTCCGCCTGCCGGTTGGGGTCCCCCGTAGGGCTTTCCAAGGTTGCTTGCCTCTGGAGGATCTTGCTCTGCTTTTGTGTAGAGAGCAGTTTTCCGAGGTGTTTGATCGGACTGTGCTTGCTGACACTCATCGTGAAGAACCGTCTCTCGCTCTTGAAAAACAGCAGCTCTTTGTTCTGCAGCAGCAACTGGAAGAGCTAGAGACATTTTTGCTGCGTGCCTTGAATGTAGCAGAGTACCCGTCACTACAAGACTGCGTCTCAGCACTGACCGCGCTGACAAGTGGGATAGCGCTCATCAGTGGAGAGCGTGAAAATGCGCCTGCAACAGGGACAGAAGCGGTAGTGAAAGCACCGCCCACTGGGACTTCGCAGTCACATATGTGCAGCGATCCTACAAGACCCTGCAAACTGCGGCGTTTCGAGTCTACAGTTGATGGCAGCTCACCATCTTATGCACCATCGTCTGCCTCCCTTCGTTCGTTTGCAAAGCCGGCAGAAGCGAAAGCTGCCACTGCCAACTGCAACATCAGTGACGTCTTGCTGCACGTCGTTGCTCTTCTGCTGCATATTGACGCTCACTGTGGCAGCGAGTTTCTCTCTCTACCGGCAGTAGCTAAGGGATTGCCGGTAGTCCCATGCCTTCAGCTGGCTCCCTTATCAGTCACATCCAGTTCTGCAAGGGCTGCTGCCGATGCGGTCAGCAGCGTGCTTCGGCTGAGTTTTCTCCCCTTAGGAAGTCCTATGTGGCTGCGACTGACGCCGAGAGACTGCAAGCTGTGGAAGCAATTACAGGCTGGTGCAGAAGCCCTAGCAGAAGGGAAGGCAAGAGCGGACAAATCACGTAACCAACGGTGGTGTAGAGATGAATACGCATCTACTCCCGGCGCAGGCGAAGCATTAGAGCTACACACGTATCCCGCCGTTGTGTGGTATTGTGAGGCTACGTGCAGTTGGTCCGATCTAGTTGTTTCTGCAGCTTCGACAGACTGCTTTTCGAAGGATGGAAACAAGCTCTGTCCACTTTGTCGATTCTGCGTGGATCGCCTGTCCCAGCGACAACTTCAGGGCAGGAGGAATGTGCTGCGTGCGTGGCTGGACCTCTTGCAGTGCCGACTCGGTATCCAGCCCCTCAACACCGTCTGCGTTTCGCAGCTTACAAGTGCGCCTCTTATGCCACTGGCTTCAACTGGTGACGTGTTTGAGGTCATATCATTGGGAGGTCCACAACAGGAGTGCAGAGAACGTGTGGAGGGGGTGGTTCTAAAGGGATTGAAGCAGAGGGTGCTTGCGGTGCTTTTACCGGCTGTTAGACGTTACCTGCTTTGCCGTGATCCCAACCGCTATGTCTTGCTGCAGCAGCAATGGCTGGCTGCTCGCCAGAATCGGGACACGAGTGTGGAAAAGGTAGCCGCAATGTTACCAGAGGAGCGGGGGAAAGTTATGTGGCTGGAGCAACTCCGCCGGCTCGTACTATTGCTCTGCAACAACCTCCGCAGCAGGGTTTGTTTCGTCGAGTCAGGGGCGACAGGTCCGTGGACTCCCTGTCCCGCTGCGCTGCAGTGGGAGAGCGTACTCGAAGGAGACGACGAGTTGCCCTCTGGCAGCAGCTGCACCGACAGTCGCACCGGCGTCAACGATAAGGGCCGCGACCTTGAGAACAGGTGGGAATCAGCGGACTCATGTACACTTGGAAGTTCCTTTTTCTTGGCTTGGAATGTGGCGGAAGAGGCGCTGGGTACTGCTATACTGCGGCTGGAAAATACAGACTGCAAGACCAACGGCTGCAGGGAATTATCCAAGATATTTGCTTCGTCACCTGTGGACGAACTGCAAGAACAGTTGCTACCATCGTTTCCTGGAGAGGTTTTCGGAGAGCTCTCACGGCTTTTCTCTCTTAAGGGACAAAGAGACGACTGCCTTGCCTCCTTCCTTGTACTATTTTATTCAAAGCTTCAGCACCGACTTCTGCAGTGGCTCATGAGGCCACCAGAGGGCGGCTTCATGCAGTGGTTGCAAAGGCTGCTGCTATGCAGTGGCGAATTATGCTGCAGACTAACTGCTGTTGTAATGGCTGTTGTTCTAGGGACTGCAGTGGAGGATTGCTTGAGGGCTGAAGGGCTTTGGCATGGGCCACTTAACACTGTGGAATCGCAGCAGCAATGCGTTGCTGGCTTAGAAGAAATGAAACGACTTCGCAGTAGTAGTTTAGCTGCTACAGGTGCTATGAGTGCTGGATCTGGAGATGCTGTGACGCCGGGAAATCGCGTACTTCTGCATCTGCTCAAGGACGAATCCACAGCAGCTGTTGAACTGTTAGGATCTTCAGAACGTACTATGAAAGATTCAACGTGGCTTCTGAGGGACGCGTGGTTTGTCCTTGTGGCGACTGACGGTGCATCAGTGGACGGTTCTGCAACGCTGTACAGCAGAGAGTCAGAGGAGGCTCCAGAAGAGGCAGAAGAGGCAGGAAACGTAGTACACTCAAAGGCACAAGTAATCGGTGTCGTAGATGAGACTGGCGTGGAGGGGATTTCACTTGCGGACGTGCGCGCTGAAAGTACAAGTACCTCGCCAAAAGGTGTACCATCGGGTGTAGAGGGATGTGATGGGAAGGAAGTGTGCGCAGCACAGAAGATCACAAAGCCAAGAGGTAGTAGCGTTAGCAGCATTAGCAGCGGCGACAGTGTTGTGGAGGAAATACCTTCCAAGGGGTGGGATGAGCGAAATATGACTTCGGCGGCAGAGCGGTGGGTAGAAGATTGTCCCCGCATGACTGCGATAACTCCAGAAGAAGCCCTTTTCAGCTCACTTCACCGTTCGGGTAACGACAGTGCGAGAAGTGACTTGCGCAACGTACGCTTGGGGGAAGGCCAGAGGCAGGGTTTGGAGGAAAGTTTCCAGCAAGCCCACAACAGAGACGGTCACGTGGCTCTGGGAGACTTTGATGCACAGGCGGTTGATATCAGTCCCCAGTGAGGAGCGCACGAGCAAGCGGAGAATATGGGACGCAGTCAGATTACTTGGGCCTTCGCTAGTGTAGCAGAAAGAGGCACGTGCAAATGCAGAAGTGAAGTGGGCTGGCCAGGGCTGCTCGAGAGGCCCTAATGCCTCATGCTAATGAGTGAAATTAAAGCTTTTTCGTGCTTTACTGTGCCTAACAGGGATCGACATGCTGCTGCGCCTTTTGTTGCAACAAGTTCGTCGAGTGCAGCGTCTGCTGTCGCCGCGAGAAGGGGAGAGGCGCTAGTGTACCAGTATCTGCTAAGGCAGATGCAGCAACAGATAGCAGATAAGGTCGTACAGGTGTTGTGGCTGAATGAGGAGCAAGAAAGCGGACAGAGCTACGACATACTTATCAAGGTAACAGTTTTCAGGTGACAAAGATGCCGATAGCGGATCTTGGCAAGTGCGCCTGTCCTCTGGAATAGCTGATAGCTGACTGCCTGCTTTTCTTGGCCAGTGCATGATTATTTACAGCATCCTTGTTGATGTTGCAGGAGTACCCTCCCGTGGGAACCTCTGCTCCCCCCCGTATGACGTTCGTGGAGGTCAAGAGCAGCACGACAGCAAACAAGTACTACTTTGAGATATCACACAGAGAGTGGAACTTGGCTCAGCAGCATGTAAGGGAGTTGCTTTGGGCCCTTTTTATTTGCATTCGTGGATTTGCATTTTTGTTTTCATTGCCACTGGATGTCATGTGTCAGTCGAGGGTTACAAAACTTGGCTTGATTGATCCCCGGTGTGTAGCTCCATTTTAACGGGTAATCTTGCAAGTTCGCGTCGTACAGGCACTTACGGGTCATTCGGTTTTTCGGTTTGTGGTGTCTTTATTGTACGTTTGTCTGCTTACTCAATAATTGTAAACAAGGGCCTTCACGTGTTTTCAGGGAGATAACTTTCATATATACAGGGTCCTTGAAGCAAACTCCTCACAGCCACAGATCTTTCGGTGAGTACCCACCCAACACCACTTGTCGATATCGCAGCATCTTCTTCTGCAGACACTGTATCACATTCACGTGGCAGCGACTAGGCAGTACGCAGCGCACGACTTCTGTGCGGCCATATTCCGCGTCCAAGATCTCAGCACGTTGACGATCGTGGTGATTGCCAGTCGTATCAACAATTTCAAGGTTTCTTTGGGTGCTGTGGCATTGCTGTTCAGCATTGTCAATCCGTACATGCAGTGGAAGCATAAGCGCATCGGCATGTGCATAGCGATTTAATATGGCGGACAAAGGTATTTCGAGGTCTTTTGTGAGCACTGCCATATTCATTTTGACTTCCTTAGTATGAGTAAGTGGTTGGTAGTTTGCTTCTTCAAACAAGATGAACTAGGGACATCGTCAGCCTGGTTTAAGCCCTACGGTGAATGGGTAACAGCCCATACTAAATGCAGCAGACGGGAAGCTACAGTGGCTTTCTAGTATGTCCTTAAGACATAGATGTCGACTGTTTTGCAAGACACTTGGCGTCTATAGGGTCTGCAGTAGAGGCTTTGACTTATCTTCCTATTCTAGCCAGACGGAAAATGAAACTGCCGCAAGTGAAGTGGACTCTATGCGTAGTTACCCCGGAGGAGACCCAGTACAGTAAGAGGGCTTTTATGTTTCGCTGAGCCACAAGTTTTCCGGCGTTTAAGTATCATAGTGAAATCAGCCCCGATCATAGCTATTTTTGCTTATCGGGGGGCTCTGAAAGCTCTGAAACAAAAGGCAATAGTCCTCTTCAGTTGCGAGGAATTCGGCTTAAGGGGAATTGTAACAATCGTTCACAACGCAGGTGTTGGCGGGACAAATACCTACATTCAAAGGCGGGAGCAATGTGGGTTGAAACGTGTTGCTTTGGCTTCACGTCAGTTCAGCCCAGGCTGTGTTTTGCAGCAAGCTGGTGAAGAAGGGGTCCCATGTATAACCATTTTGTGTTCTGAAACTAGGTTGGCCTTGTGCTGCACGTTGCCGTCAAAACGGCTGAAATATTGAGCTCGCAAAGGCTGTGCAGGCTGTATTTTGCGGCAAGCTGGTGAAGAAGGGGTCCCATGTATAAGCACTTTCTGTTCTGAAACTAGGTTGGGCTTGTGCTTCACGTTGCCGTCAAAACGGCTGAAATATTTAGCTCGCAAAGTTCCCGGTGTCCTGGTTTGTGAACTCTTGTAAGGTAGTCACAACAGTGCAACAGCATGCGGTGCCTGAAGACAAATAATCCTGAGGTATCTAACTTGGGAGGCCATCGTGCTGCCCATAAGTACACCAAATACCGAGGACGCACTTTGCACGGTTGTACCGCGAAACCTGCAAATTTCAGTCGCTCCTTCAGCGGTTGAGTGTTTCACATTACTTTGAGACTTGGCGAGTATCAAATACACTTTCTAGGGTCTTTGCAGCTGCAACAGCTTACACAGAGATCCTGCATGTTACCGAAAGAGGCTAGCTTTCCGTAACAACGTTGCTGCATGGTGGGTGGGTTGTTGTTCGACCGGCCTACAGAGGAAAAGGCCTTGGTAGCTCCATCCCATTTTTACAGACTCAAAATATACAACACCTTGAATATAGGCTTCCGTTGTCTACATAGTGGTTTTCTCTTCAGTTTTCCAGTTTACCTTTGAGTGGTGCACATACGAGCGAGGCCCTACACATCTAAAATATGGGGAGGTGTTCCTTAATTGCATCGGAAAAGTAAGCCTTGAGCATCAATGGTGAATCGTTTAAGTGATGCTCTTCTCATCCACTCAGTGTGAGGCATGGAGCTCGAACAGATTGTACACCCAGCCCCACTTGGGCCGCTGCTTCATTTGCTGCTGGCAGCTGTCTTCAAAAACTCTCCCCAGAAGCTACGTAATGTTTCGGGACAGTAGGTTAACAGCATTTCATGAAATGCATTATGCAGAAGCTAGCCGCTGGCAAACACTTTTTAAGAGGGCCTCTTCGACTTTGTGGGGCCGCGCACACTCGCTCGCCTCTTGCCGACCTTAGTGATAATAAAAGTTCTGGGATTGGACGGCGAAGTTAGAGCGTTTGGTGGCCTTTTAGAAGATGGCGAGAGGGAGGTTTACGGGTCGCCAGGTGTCCTTGGCCAAATCGGCTGCCGTCATGAAGGCCAGCCCTTCGACCCGCACAGCCAAGGGAAGGTCCCAAGTGCTTCTACAGAAAAACAAACATGTATACACCCCGACCTTGGCACGACGGTATCACGGGTGCGTCGGGTGGCTTAAGGCATGTGCTCATACTTGTAGACACGTCCATGTCTGTAGCCCGCTGCTCAGCGGGCCCGCATCTGGAATTTGCACTTTTTGTTGCAGTTTCTGCCCGTGGAAAGAAAGACCCAATGGTGGGCCTTTGCCGGAGATTGATCGCATAATAGTTGACGAACACATCTCTTCCTGCAGCGATTGCTGTGGTGCGAGTCTCAAGGGGGATGGAAAGGGGGACGAAGTTATTTGCACCCGTTGTTTCTTCAACAACTTCATAATGAAAAGGCGGCCTTGCCTATTGCGGCTTGTGAAGAGCCAAAACCAAGGCGATAGACGAACAGAATATTCGTTGGCTGACTGCCGGGCCCTGCGGTACTGGAAGGACCTCGATTACTTGGATCAGGCGGCTGGGGACGAGACAATTGACGTGGAGGTTAGGGACACTAAAGTGCCCGACAGCTTCGGTGCGGATTTTTACCGTTTCATAGTTTTTGGCAGATTCATTTACAGGATGGACTCGGAGCTGTTGCGGGTGGGACGCCGAGCTGTTGCGTGCGGGACGCCAACAGTTCCTGACCGCATTGAGTGGAATTGCTGTGCTTCTGCAGGAAGGGGCCAGTACAAGCAACTCGGCTTCAGAGAAGTCTTGAAAAGACTAAGGGAAGGAGATACCTCTCTTTACGTCAGCACACAACGCATTGCTAGTGACAAATATGGTACAGTTAATATCTTTGGCTAAAAAGTCACCTCCAGCAGCACCCGCGTCTTTTGGTGACTGCTGCTGGTTGCCTTGCTGCATGGCGCCTGTGGCAATTTCTTGTAGGGAAGATCTCAGCGTTTGTGCTCGCGAACAGATATTGAAAGATTTGCACAGGTTTTTTGTGAGCACAGCCAATAAGTGATCTGTTCTGGAAAGCGACGCCATTTGACTTTTTTGCCGTATTGGCATACTACCGTCTTGGAGCAGCTCACAGCTCCCAGTGATATGCATGTTTTGAGTCGAGTGAGCTAAAAGCATAGGAAAAGGGAACATGCAAATCAAAAGGTGTTGATCTTCTTCCCTTGTTGACTCTTCTGCGAACGTGTTCTACAGGCCCAAAGTTACTATGCGGACCGCCCCTCAGCAAATCACTGTCTTCCGATTTCCCCGTAAATCCTGCCATTGCTGGGTAAGGCATGTAGTTAGTCGTGAGATTGGCTTGTGTCTCACATATGCGGCCAAATTTCCAGTACAGCTTGCGTATTATACGAGCAGGAATTTGGTGCCATCTCAGTTCAATATCTGGATGGGGCACAGTCGTGTAGGAAGTAGCACCGGCTTGCATCATGATTTTCACGACAACTTTTATTGCCTCGTGCGCGGTGAGCTCAACAATACCTCACACCATCCCCCGCATGTGGCCGGCTTGGCCCCTGAAGGATATCATGTAGGGACTGCAACAGCAGCCTGTATAGATCATGTAGGTATTGCTGCTGCAGCAGTTACGAAGCGGGTATCTTGTGACGCTTCAGGACGGAAGGAATTCAGGCTCTATAGCCCTCGTCTTTGTGAGCTCCTGCGCACGCAAGGCATGGCCAAGCCATTAAGTGCTGCTTCTGTCCACCCCAATGGCTTAATTTCGTACATCAGAGGCATCCGAGAAGACGGTGAGGATAACGGCCTGTCAGGGTGAGAATTAGGTAGTGGAGACTTTGTTTGCAAAGCACACTCAGAAATCGTACACTGACCATGGATTTTTTGTTCTCGACAACTTCAAGCAGTAAGCAAGGGGGAAACTTCGCTCACTCCGCTTTGATTTGGAACCAATTTCTCACACTGAGCAGCCGTTGCACCGTACGATACTTTCCTTGTGTCCCTCAGGTGCGCATGAAATGTCTGTCCTTCGAAGTCGTCAGCTCACACTTGAGCGAACCACAAGTGCGCTGCGAGAACAACTGACCGATTGCGAAAAGAGGCTCCAAGCGGCTTCAGAGGCAAAGAACACTACAGAACTGAAAGTGGAAGCAAGAAAACTGAAAGGCATGCTGGACCATGCTGAGTCAGAGTAATTCAGCACTATTTATAAGAACTACTTCCAAGCGTTGCTGTTTCTCTCTCTCTTAAGGCAGAACCAGTAGGGCCCTGCCTGATTTTTATGGTTGTTCAGCAGCAGTAGGTTTGGTGCGTTCCCATATTCTTTTAGGCTTGATCAGTGCCTTGAGGAAGCACTCGATGCAGCGGCTTACGAAAGTGGCGTCGACGATGATGACTCTGCATCGAACGACAGCGAGCTAACGGAGGTTAGCAACTGAAGTCCCTCTCTTATGCACCAGAAGCTCTTTGCACTCGTTGAACTTATTCTTTCATAGCGAACGAAATTGTTCGCTGGCAGAACTTATGCTCTGTTGCAGGGTCGCCTGGTGCAAGAAGGAGCGTATCCCGATCACTTCTGTCTTACAGGCACGGAAGAGCCATCTACAAGTAGGCAACATTCTTAATGCTGCTCAGCGAGATGTTGCGTTCTCGGTAATAGCCATGTACACGCAGGCAACATTCTAAATGCTTCTCAACAGGATGATGCGTTCTCGGCTTTTGGGTATTTATACTTCGATTCAACTATGGCTTCGTGCATTCAGCATCGTGGGACGGGCCGCTGAACGCCGCCAATGTATTGAAGAGATTCTGGAGTGTGTGGGTTGAAGAAGGAGATATTTGTAAGGTTCACGAATGTCTTCCACCCAACTCAAATTTGATTTTCATGCGCCAACGCAGCGCAGATATCCTTGGGGTCACGGCCCACAGTGTACCGTGTGGCTTTTGCTATATTTCCGAGCAGTTCAGCGCTCAGCTGAACTGTCAGCAGGAACGGTTCTAGCGATTTCCTACTCTAGCTAACAAAAAGAGCCCGCCTGTGTGCTGCTTACTCGCAGTGTACCTTCCGGCCAGCTGGTTTCACGAGGTCATCTCATACTCTCCGGGCAGCCAGAAAGACTCAAAGAAGCTCAGTGGAACGCCTGCTGACACAAAAGACAGTGTTCATTTGGCATTCAATATCTGGATGCACCCCCCATGCTTAGATGGTACATTTGAAAAGCCGTATATTGACGGCTACTGGGCCCAGCACGCTGCTCAGCAAGTTGAAGAACAGAAGGCGGCATCAGTTAGTGCAGTTGTTTACAACCAGAAGTACTTAGGGACCTCGCCTTTACAGCGACATACTGCACAGCAAGATGAACGCTCGCATCAACAAGACTCTAGTGATGGTGCACATGGCAGTCGCTTGGCTTGCGATATGCCATATAGTGTCAACGATGCAGAAGCTGTGATCTCTCCATCGAAATATGTGCGAAGTAAGTCCAGCACTTGCTCGCATGCAAGAAAGCCAGCTGGCATACTGTATTTTTCTCGTGGTCTTGCAAGGCTTCGGCGCCTACACTTAAGTAGCAAGGCGTACAGTGGTCAAGCTCGAAAGAACGTCCAGAGTAGTTGTCAGGACGTATAGTTCCGCTTTCATGGATAACAGGCGGGACTGGGCTAACAAACACTTGCTGTTTTTGATGGAATTTCCCTTGCTGTCGGAATACAAGCAGTTAAGACAACGCTCACACTATCTGGAGCATCTATCCCTCGAACGGCGAGCGTGGAGTTTGCTCAGCTTTCACAATTGAGATATTGTCATAGTTGTCTGCTCACTTTTGCAAACCACTTTAAAGAACTGTACCACTTCTGGACCAGTTGCAGAAAACGTTGACTTGGGCACAACAGTTTGTGCATTTGACGTAGAGCCAAGCTCACTGAGGTCACTCGCTGCTGAGGTGCCGTTTACAGGGGAGCATTTAGACTCTGCAAACGCTTTGAAGAGTAGGAGCTGTGCAGGGTTTCACTGCGCATCTCAGCTGTAGATTGCTGCGGAGCCCGACGGCCGCATTGCTGCTGCTACTTATTATGACGCTCTTTTTAAAGGGGATGCGCTGCTCCCTGCAACCGCCTTCAGCAGCGCGACTGTCTTGGTCTTTGTATTGACCATATGCTGCCATAGCACCAGTTTTCGGCATTTCGAACAGTTCACACTCAATCTTTTTCTGTGTTCTATGTTGACAACAGCTCACGTTATGCAGACATCTGGCCTCTAACCCGTTCACAAGTGGCTTAGACGCCGCGGCTTCAGCGTGCGCCTTCTCTTGCACCCCCAGAGCAACACTCTTCTGCATAGCAATCTCATCGCTTCCTCGAAATGCCAGCCCTAATGGAATGACTTGAAGAGCGGAATCCGGCAAGGAGTGAGCCAACAAGCCCGCCTCCTGTGCCCTCGGCAATCCACCGGTTACTTTGCTGTCTTCCTTTTTTATTTTCTAACATTCTGACTCTCTCAGACTGCTTTTAACAGTCTGACTCTGTCAGACTGTTTCTAACAGTCTGACTCTGCCTAAGGTCACACTCATTACACAACCTGGCGAGGGCTTGAAGGCCGTCACCCGTCGCGACATTTCCTCCCCACTTGTAATGCAGCGCAGTAGGGTGTCATCCGCTTGTCCTTCCACCGTTTCAAGGCTTTTTCGCTATAGTGCTCCTAGTGTCCCTCAGCACACAAGCTGCGTATCTACCCGCTGACTATGGCAGCCTGCGCCCACTCGCTACAAGCCTCAACGCGCACGTGGTGTACACAGCATAAGAGTAAATTGTAACTCCTGCACTGCATTTCTCTTATACTCAGCCTGAGTGTTCTATAGGTAGCTTACTATGTAATTATACCTTCAAGTTCTATGATGCTGCTCTGTACCAGTTTACCTTGGCCGGGTGGTGAACTGGGGTTCGTACGAAATTGGGAAAAAGTATTATAAACGTGTACGAGGCGGATAGCTTAAAAGAATGAGCATTTTGCCTCTGAGTTGCGAGGTGTCATTCGCCAAACAACCACGTCGAAGGAGTTCGGGAGACGGAGTGTGACTTCGTTGCTGCCAGGCCCCCTCAGGTAAATGCAGGTTGTCACTTGCTCCCTTCCCTTGAACTAGAAATTTAGCAAAGCTTTGTGAGGTTCTCCGGCCGTTTTTCGCTAGTTCGTTTGGGGCTAAGACGCGGCGAAGCCTGCGTCTTCGGCGCCTGCTATCAAAGATAACAGGAGAGCATGGGAAGTTTCGAGTTGGAACAGCAAACATCAATGGACTGAGCTTACTGTTCACTAAATATGAGGCTCAGGCTGGATATGGAACGACTCCAACCACTGAAACTAGTGCAGGATGTTCTAGAAGCTTCAATAATCCATGCACATACGAAAGGATTAGTTTTCCTTTGGTCTCGTAATATGGGCAAGACGGGGAAAAATAGAGCAGATGATGGTAGCACCGAAAAGTCCCTTCAGCTGCCTTTTATGACCCCCTTTTGTGAACCACGGTTAACGAGGCAATTTCTATGGGAAACCATTGCAACGTTAGTGCAACAAGCAGCCAAAAATGTTGTTTGGTGCGGGAATCTGGAAGGGGTTCCGTTGCGGTCTTAGTAGTCGCGGCTTGCGCATCTCGATCTGAAAACAAACAACTTAGAGGTTACGTAAAAGTGATTGAGGTGATTTTCATTGGTAAAAGTTGATGCTGTGGGTCTGGACAGAACAGCGTAGTCCTTCAAGTCCCCCTGTGCACTGCTTCGTTTAGGCCATTCCCCTGGCCGTCGCCTACCACCTTTACCAACGAAACATTTCCAGGCTTTCCAATTCCTTTATTGCGCGTCCAAAGGCCCCACATGAAATAGGGTACCAGAAGAGGTGTACATGTTCCTAATCACAAAAGTGTACAGCTGCCATGGCGTTCCGGCGATGTCACAACAGCCCGCAACAGCGCAGAGTTCCACAAAACGGCAAAGATCCTCTAAGCGCACAGAGCTAACAACTCTCCTTCCCCCTTTTAAGCCAGCCTTAGTAGACTTTACACAAGAAGAGTACTACGGACCCTCTTCTCTTCCTCGATAGTCTCCGCTTTGCCTCACTCATTCCCGAACTTCAGGGCATAAAAGCTCACAGAACTAGATCTGTTCAGGGCGCAACATACATCTCCGCTCAAGGAGGCCACAATGGATAGCAATGACTGCATTTTCCACTGGCTACAGCACACTATGGTCACTAATATATACACTAATATCATGTGTATGCATGGGGTGACTCTAAACTTCTTCCCTACAATAACAAAAATATTGATGAGAATAGTTCACTTCAGCGGCACAACGTGAAATTTACGGTGGTTTCATGTTGCGTGGGCAGCCTGTGAAAGGAAGCAAAAGGATGGGGAACAACTGTGCCGCTTCGTATTCTGTCACTTTGTACAGTACATTACTCAATGCGCAGGTTTGGGAAGCATTGCAAATGCGTTAAACCTGTATAGTGAGTAGCTTAATGAAGCTTGCCAGAACGAATACACACTTAAACAAATTGCCTGCGCATGCGTGAGCAGATGGTAAGGCGGCTTCCGCCTGCTCCCCCTTCCCTTGCCCATTGTATTCAGCAGCAGGTTATAACGTCCTCTCTTATCTTGAAAATTTGTGCGTCTTATCCTCTGTGCTTGTGCATATTGGGTCTTTCTTTCAAGACGCCTGGGTAGGCTCTACTGGTCGGTCCCATGGTGCCTTACGCGGCGGTGCGGCCGCTGCTTCTTCCGCGGCAAATTGGCTTCGTGTCTACTCTCAGCAACAACGGGGTATTTCCATTTTTAAAACATGGAGGACAACATTCGCTGCTTCGTACGGGCAACAACGGGGTCGGCTCCGTGGGCGGAGCCGTGCGCCCGTTCAGCAGTTTCAATCACAATATCGGCCCGCACAAGTCAGATCCCCCAGCGAGCGAGAAACCCCTTTATTTAAACCGTTTTGACCAGGCAGATGACCCTGCCCTTTTCCAGCTTGAAGCACAACAGCTGGAACAACAACGATTGTTGAAGGGGCAAACGTCAGACATCGTGGATACAGCGGACGTAGTGCAGCCATCCAACCATCCCCACCAACGGAAGGGCTTCCTTAAGCGCATGCGTTATTGGCACTACCATCAGACTGCAGAGCCAACCTTTCCCCGTACTCCAGACCTCAGCAAGGGGGGTGAGGGCAGCGCGCCTTTGTGTAGAATACGGCCACTTCCAGTGCCCACTGTAGTCCAACAGGACAGTGTGTGCGCCTGCTGCCTGTGCATTCAAGCTGGCTCCGGGTGTGTTGGTGCCTTTGCAATAATCCTCTGATGTGCTTGTTTTTTTTGGATTGGATTGCTGCAGAACTGGCTGCTGGTGCCACGGTGGTGCGAACCTCTGTGTGGGCTAACCCGGACGAGCCTGCTGTTGTGTCTGTGGGCCGGTTTGCGCCTGATAACTTTCGGGCTGCTGGGTATGCTGAGAATGCGCCAAATCCCACGAGCATCAACAGCGACGCACACCCAGACTTCAGGGACTACAGGCTGGGCAGCGGCTCTCCTGACAGGCGGCCCTTTATGTACTTTTTGAGCGCGTCCTACTTTTTTATTGGCGCAAGCATGATGAGGAGCCTTTTGTGCAAAATGGTCCACTTTTGGTGGGTTAGCAAGGTAAGGGAAATATCGATAGAATGGTGTACTCAGCACTCCTGCTTCCTTGCTGATTATTTCCGACAACTGCACCTCAGCAACAGAAGTGGAACGAGGAACCGCTATAGGCAACGAACATATTTGAGGAGGAGGCCGGGCCACAACCAGGGTACTTGGGGAGGAGGCTAAATGCCGGACGAGAGATGCATGAATATATGAGATCCTCAGATGCTGCATGTGCTGTCCGAGAGCCTAGCCGTGGCATTCTGTTTCGCTTTTACAGCATATAATTCATGTTGAAGCAATGCAAGCTAGGCCTCTGACTGTGTGTATCCAAAGATCTTACCGCTCTTCGCGAATAGAGATGTGAAGCGCAGAAGCATTTCTTCGGGTGCCTTCGAGCTCTCAGTCGAGAGCGTGAAATTGCGATTTCCCAGGCGTTTTGGTCATTATTTGGCGTCGTTCTATTTCGCTGCAGGACCTCATGGCTGCGGGGACCACTGAAATAGATTTGAGGCCAATTGAAGTGGGCACAACGGCTGTCTTTAAGTGGAGAGGCAAGCCAGTGTTCGTCCGCCACAGGACGCCTGAAGAAATTGAGCGTGCCAGGTCTGACACTGCCTGCTTTAACGGCATTTTCTATCGCATGCTTTTTGCTGACACCACCTCTGGTGTGGCGTTTCTCACGTTCCTTGCCTTCTGGTCGTGGCATCTGATGGCGTCGCTTCAGGGCGGATGACCTCGTGATAGGAACAATGAAGGATCCACAGACGGATGCGGAGCGCTGCCCTCGGCCAGAATGGCTCATCAACATAGGTGTCTGCACTCATCTGGGCTGCATTCCCATTGAGGGCGGCAGTTACCAAGGTTGGTTCTGCCCCTGCCATGGCTCTCACTACGATATTTCAGGTCGGTCTCTAAATTTAGTTATTTCCCTTTGCGTCCATATTTTTGACGAGTTAATGAATATAGGGTACGCACTTACTAAACGGCCTTACGACTACGGGCCAGTCCCGTACTCGTTTTCTGCTGAAAGTGCTGCTTAGCACCGTCACCTTAAGCTTGCTGAAGGCCAAGTAAAAGTGGAGAGATGTGGTTAGATTTTTTGTGGTTCACATTCGCTTGCATTTAGGCCGCGTTCGGCAGGGCCCTGCTCCAACGAATCTTGAAGTACCGGAGACAGTCTTCCTAGATGACCTTACGGTGAAACTGGGCTGAGCGTTGGCATTACAACGCTGTTTCGGGTGACAGCTATTTCTCGGTGTTCTTCGACGCTCGTGAGAGGCTGCTGCATACTAACGGCGGCCTCGCTGCAGAAGGCGTTGATGCAGCAACTGCGTCTCTGGGCACCATCTTCCCTTTTCAGGCTCGAGCTCTTCTGGTCATGGCACAGTGCGTTGGACCTATGCTCGCGAGGGGCGAGGGCCACCTTCCCAGCAAGCGTGTTACATTCCGCTTTCCTTTAGCTGGGGAGATATGAGGCACAGAGGAACGTCAGTAGCAATCCGCTCAAATGGCAAGGAGCGACGGCTGTTCCTCATGCATTATTTGTGCTCTTGGGCTTGAGGCACTTATTGTAACCCTTCAAGCACATCAGCTTTCGCCTTCTTCCCCCCAAACACTCGCAGGCAGCCGTTTACAAGTTGACATAGGGGACTGACCACAGCATTGGGCATAGTTGTCTGGCTTAGCCTTTTCAGTATCGGTCTTCGGGCACTAAGCGAGAGCCCAGACCTCTCGTGTGTTCTTTTAACGGAAGGCAGTATGAATGGCGAGCTGCTGGTGCGAATGGCGTAGCGCCATAGCACTTAAATGGTAGTCATTAGCAAGTGAAGGCGGCGCTACCCAAAGTCTGCAACTTTCAGTAGATAACCGTGGATGACCTGTAGCCTTCAGGCATTTTGCTTGATGCAGAAAGCCTCGGAGCAAGCGATATGGAGCCTGGAACGGCTAGCTGTAGCACGGGGAAGCTGCACGGAGCTCTTGACGCAATTGAATACCACTTAGCAATAGAGGTGGTTCTTGAGGGGATCGGGATGTGCTTAGGCAAGAGGTGGTACAAGCCACTGTCAAAGTTTTAGCTATGAAAGGCAGCAGACGCAGAGGTGGTAGCTTCGAGGAGCCATCACTACAAGTGGAGTTCCGCTGTGTCCCTGAGCAACTCTCCTGCCAAGTATTCACTCAGAGGAGTCTGTACATCCTCGGCCATCACGGCTTATAATTCCCTTCATGATCCAGCGGGTGGCCATGCCTAGGCCAGGCCTGGGCCTGGCCATCAGCAGCAGCAGCTGCTGAGTTAGGACTGGAAACTCTAAGGCAAAGCGTTTTGTTGGCGAGTCACGCAGCAAAGTAGGGTTAACAGTAGAAGAGGTTCGATGGGAAGCTGTGTGTGCACAGAGCGCTAGAACTTGGACCTATATCAGGGGAGTGAAGTACCTAGCCTGGGCCTTCACAAGCTGTGAAGACATTCTGCACCTAGAAGCGTCCGGTCAGGATCAGTCATAACACAGATAACAATGCAACAGTTAAATGCTGGATAAGTGCGTACTGCGTCATGTGCGTTCCGAGGTCCTCGGAACGCACATGACGCAGAACCATGCCACGCATGATGATCTAGTGTTCCAATAGGAAGCAATGACGTACTCACCTTTGGGGCAGCTCACAGTGTGGATGTAGTTCGATAGGTGGTTGCTTTAAGACTGTGGTCCCCGCAACGGAATTGAGGATCCACATTCCATATTCAGCAGCGGAAGAGCGCTACGTGGTGCGGAAGGGACGTCAACGAAGAGATAAAAGAGACAGCACAGCTTTTGTGGCTGAGAGTTCAACTGCTTTCGCTATGACCTGTGTGACCTTTGATGCCCATGTTAATCAGCCGAGGAGGCTCTCGGGTAAACTGTTGAAAAGAGATGTTTTGTAGGTCAGAACGTTATATATCAAATTTCCAAGAGTGTTTGCAAGTATAGGAAACAACAGGAGGCCCAGCCGCATGAGCTCTTCAGCAACTTCCAGTGGTTTCTAGCACACGGAGTACGATATGTGCTGTCCCAGGCTGAAGGTGAGCTAAAATTGTCGCTAGTCACGTGCGTGCTGTATTACTGCTGCGACGACACTGTCTCCTAATTCGTAGAGAAAGCGCTTTAGAGTAAGCTTAAGCCGAGTCTGCAAGCTTGCGAGGCCTAGCCCGCCAAGAGGAGTTTCCCGTGTTTCAGCTGCGTAGTGAAGTGCAAACATATTAAAGTTGCAAGCTTTTATCGACGCCTTTGAAGAACGCTCACAAGGCACGAATGGGGTTGTTGCATACAAATTCAAATTCCAACCTTGTATCGATGCTTTTGGAGGACAGTCACAAGCATGGATGGAGTTGTTCCTCAAGCTGCCACTGATATAGTCAATCTACAGTCTCCTCAGAGTATTGGCATACGGAAAGTGGATGGTGCTCAAGAAGTCAGACACTCACGAAAAGGCTGTAGGCTTCTTAGCAGGAGCTAAAACTCAGCTGCAAAGGCAGCTGCGAAATTTAGGGACGCAGTTAGAAGAACAAATGTTGAGACTGAAGCGATCCCGAACGAAATAAAACACTTAATATAGGCAGACAAATAACGTATTCGAATGCTTGAAAGGAAGCACGCACAGGGACAAAACCCCGGACCTCAGGCCTTCATTAATACCTGAAGGAGACAAGCCCCTTTGAGGACGACGCTTTAGAGAAACTTATAGCCATGGGCACTTACCACCATATGCAGGTAAACGGTAGGAATCACCACTCAACAACGTAACTTGTGAGGTGAGGTGAACTGGTACGCGGCCACATAGAACACCCAACGATGTGAGTGTAGCTTGCTGCTCCATAAGTTGGCTGAGTGGCTATGGCTGTTGCTGCCAATGGGCTGCCCTTCCCTTGGTTGTATATACGCTCAACTTTAGGTCCAAATCAATGCCAAGCGTAGATCCAATAGCTAGGACGACGAGTAGGAGTTCATTACCAGCGGCTAGGTACTGCTGAAGTAGGGCGCACTTCAACGTAGTCGCTTCAATGACTGAAGTTAGATTTCGACGCAACAAACGAGTTACACTACGTGGCACTCTTAATAACGAACAAGTAAGCTTACAGATTTGTTGACACTCTGGGGCTTCTGAGCCCTACCGTGTATACCGTGGATATTCACACGTTTAGCAGAAATTCAAGAAGGAGTGCCTTAAGCCACCAGCGCATAATTGCATGCAGAGCAAGTCGAAGCACGGCTCTTCCAAGGGCCTTTATTTTTCTGGGGGCTGGAGAGACAAGGGCTGGACATGCTGCCGTTGGCGTCCCCAAAGCATGTGTTGGCGACAGCGATGGCTTTGCCTCGTTAGTTCTCTTGCAAAGTGGACTTTGCAATAACAAATTTCAGCCTGCCTACTATTAAATGAGAAACGGGGAGCCGCTGGGTCACCTGGATACCAGGCCCCAGCCACCGAAGGATCTCGCGCTGACCCTCCTGTAGGGCAAGGGAGCCGCCTCTTCCATTCTCCTCCAGTGACTCTGCAGATTAACCCTTAGTGCTGCAAATTAGATACAACACAGGGTCATTTGTAGCCAAGGGGCTGCACACGATTCGTTTAACAACGATTGGAGCATCACAGCAAGCACAGCAAGCCACAAAGCAACTAACACAGCTCCCTTCGCTTATCGGTAATCCACACATTTCTAGTACATTCTTTGGAGACTTGATGGCTAGTCAGCATTGCACTGGCCGCTGGACTTCCGGAGTTGCCAGCCAGGCCCATCAGCAGTTTTAGTCGCCCCGTCCTGTCGCCATCGCAGCTCGACCTCTGAAGCTTGCCATGAGCGGCTGCGCCTTGCTTCCTGCTTATATACGACGCCTCCATACGGGCTGCAACTGCACGACGTACCGTTGCGGCGTGTGGAAGACTCAAGGCTGTTCTCCTTGGCAACTGCCAGGCAGATCCTCATTCGAAGAAGCCACGCATTAATGGCAACCAAAGAACAGCGTGTGCAGCAGCTTGTGCGTCCATACCTTTTCGATGGCGTTCTGAGAATTTGTTTTTGAGGTTGAGATGGAGGTACCGGCAGCTCATCCTGATGGACCATCGGGAGCGCCTCTCGAGATCCCCACCCCTCAGCGGTACAATGCAGCCAGTGAAGCTGGCGCGCCTCCAGTGGGCATCGAGCTCAACGATGCAAATAGTCCAGCCCACATCCCAATTGCATCCCAGCCTGCCCCCTGTGAGTAACTTTGGTCTGTTAGAGTTGCTACGAGGCAACTGCGTGACATTCTAAAGCTAACAAGACTTCTGCTTTCTAGCTCAAGGAAAACTTCACCTTTTTTTCCTTGTGTGAGCTATGCAGTGTGCCTGCGTGGTCAGGCTGTGCTATGTTGTACTGCGTGGTGCAGGCGCTCTACCAGACAGCAAAGGGCGCTCCAGCCGATTGCTACCGGGGAGACAGCGAATCCTTGCGAGCGCTGCGCGGCAGTTGGCTGCTAGTGAGTCGCTAGTGGAGGGTCTGGACTTGTGCGCGGTGGACATCGACACACACTCCTTGCCGCCTCCTGCTTCTCTCCCGAGCCTGCAGGAGCCTCAAGACGACCCGACACCGTCGCCCCGTCATAGAAAGCAGGCACTAGAGCTTCTGCGGCTCAACGCTCTTCTCCAAGCTGCCGTAGGCGCAGAGGAAGACCTGGTTATTGTTGGGTGAGCCTCCTTTTCTATTTTGCGCTTATACTCTAGGTCACCGGGAAGTGACGGAGTGGCAACAATAACCCTGCATCCAGGCGATTCAGTTGATTAGGATTTCGGGATGTGTCGTAAGAATGTGCGTGCATCAGTAAGGCAGAGTGGGGCCATTACTTTTTCAGGCTTCATCAGGTCGGGACGCAGCACAGGCATGCTTGGGCTGCTTGCATTGCTGCCGCGTTCGCTGCTGCTGAGGGAGAGGCCGCAACAGCGATTCGCATGCATTTGTTAGGGCCTGATGGTTCAGTAGCCGGAGCTGGCTCCGGAGCTGCCGCGCGTCGCACCACGTCTCTAACTCATTACGAACAGATCGTCCCGCTTGATGCCTGTCCTCACCACAACCAGCTTCTCTTGGTGTACGTACATCCCGGCCACTTGTCTAAAGTCACGCTGTTGAGCATTGCCAAATCTCGTCTTGGCTCGTACTGCTGTCGTGAGCTGCAGCAAAACTACAAATTTCAATGGGGCCTTAACATAGCTGCTGAGGAAGAGCTGCGCAGGCAGTTGGAGCTCCGTAAGAAACAAGAACAGCAGCACCGTCAGCAGCAGCAGCAGCAGCGAATGGATTTGTTCTTTAACTTCAACAATATATTCGGGCTTTCGGAATACACAGCAGTGGGTGCCACGACGTCGGAAGCTGCTGATCCTGCTGCTGAGCTCCCAGCAACAGAGGGGACCGCCTCAATGACCGGAGACGGGGAACATTCAGAAAGGGCGATGGAAGGGCGTCTAGAACTGCCGAGTCTCTCCTCGTGGGAGTTGAGGCAGGAGCAGCGCGGGCAGCAACAGAGGAGAGCTGATGGCATCTGTCACAGCAGAACCTGTCCAACACGTTCAGGGGACTCTTCTTGCAGGCCTTCAGAAGCGGCTGTTGGAAGCACTACAGGCTCAATCAGCAGCAGCGGCGACGTCGCAGCATGCGGATGCGAGTTCTTTAGGGAGGTCTTTGCTTACGGGGGAATGGCTGCGCGTGTCCTCATAGGAGCGACGCCTGTTGTTTTTGCGTGTGTGGACCTGAAGCTAACAGAAGAAGCTTTGGAGCCATGCGATAAGCTACCGGCTTGCCCCTCTGGCCCTTCACGAGGGCAAGTGGAGGGTGTATCAGTGCAGGCAGCTGCGGGAGCAGCAAGGAGAGCGTTGCTGAGGGAAAGCTGCGGAGGTGCATCTGCTGAGGACAACGAAGGTGCAGCAGCTTGGAGGAAATTCGTGATTCGAGCGCTGCAACGCCAGCAGCTGTTGGCAGTCTTATCTGAGTGAGCTTTCTGCCGTTGTTGTGTAGCTTCATAATCATATTGGATGAATATATTCTCAGCAGCTGCGCTTATTCATATCTCCTATGCGCAAGGCAGGAAGGAATTTTCCCAACTGTGCAAAGCCCCAGCAAAGCATTCTCTGCGAATTCTATGCGCTCAGCCTCCGATTCGAGACGGACTCAGGTTGGGCCTCTGCTTTGGAGTTGAAGCCACTCCTGCTCTTAGGAGCGCGCCAGCAATGGTGGCTTCAAACTGGGGGTTCGCCCTGTAGCTTTGATACAGAAAGCCAATCAGGACCTCATCCAGCTGCTGCTGAACGACAACAACGCCTGCGAGAATTGGAGCAGTTGGGTATTTCTACTGCGGAAGACGAACGTTTCTTTTTTTGTCGCATTCCTGAGAAAGCTGGCAGTCAAGTACTGAGCTTTGGAGAGAGCGGCCGGGCTGCAGAGTGGAGGAGGTAACTGCAGCTGATACCCAATGCCCTCATTACGTATGCTGTTGTGCTGCTTGCTTGTAACTGCACGCACACAGTGTGTCTACTGTATGCGCGATGCTGCATATTGCTAAGAGGTAGGGCAAGTGCTGGTATGCTACTTCGATGTCGTGGCACTCAGTATTTTGCGACATTCTGGCAGCTTTGCTGCACCTGCACATCTAACTCATCCTGAATCTTCTTTGTTACTTAAGGAGGCTTTGTTGCGCTATCTTTTGGGCCTTTTGCAGACCAGCATGGCACCGAAGATGCTCCGATGAATTCGAGCACAGAGAGGGAGTCATTGCCCGCTTCTGTCTAAGATGGATGTCTTGCCGTTTGCTTGTAGAGACGGTCGACACAGAGCGTGTTAAGAAAGAGTGTAACGAGCTGCGAAAAATTTTGAAGGTAGCTCTGTCATACGAAAGCACCACTTGCGTGAACGCTGAGTGGCTAGTAAATAGCTGGTCGGTGATGCGTATTGGTAACTTTGCCTCGACTTCTCACCCACTTTTGCCGGCTAGGTTTGGCATGTTTATAGCCTTAGGGTGCTGTGCATTTCGTGCGCATCCTGTGCAGCAGGAGGGCCGGTGCCTCAGCAAGTTGCTGGTTGATCCGCCCCTACTTCAGCTGCCTCCTGTGCGCCCGTTTGAGCCGATGCAGCTGAAGATTAGCCTGTCCAACCCTCACGAAACCCTGCCTACGGCTTATGCCGTCTATTGCCTCGCGGATTCAGGTGAGAACGCTGACTTCTGCTGAAACGGCATTACTATCATCTTTTCGCTGTTCGGCAGGCCACTAGTTGCCATTTCGTGGTATTTTTAGTAGCTCGTTAGATTCATGATTGACTGATGGGAAAACCAGCAAAAGAACCCCTGCTTTCTAGTTTTGCGGCACCTGAGTAATCTGTCGCAGGGAGGTCGATCGTGCCACTGTCACAAGTTTCTTACTGGCACGGGGCCCTGTGGAGGAAATGGGAAGGAAGAACCTGGGAAGGTCAGTCCCTTATTTCGGCCAGCAGCAGAGAATCGGAAATACAGACCACCCCTGATGCTCAGCCGCTACTGGATCGCGAGCAGCAGCAGCTCGTGGAGCGCGAGAGGCAGAGGCTTTGCGAGGAGACTCTAAGAGAGACCAGAGGTCAGGGCGCGACCACACCCAAGGCCGCACCTCTAGCTACAGGCAAAACAGAGGCAGCATCGATCAAGACAGATGCCGATGCGGTGTTGCGGAAGCGCATTCGTCTCGAAAGGTGACGTAATACATTTTTGCCTGTTGGTTTACCACTGAGCTTCCTAACTGCCATGCACTGCTTTCCCATAGATGTAAACGTGCCAGGATACGTGCCTCCTCCCGTGCTAAAGAACGCCCCACCACAGATACCTGTGTGAACGCTCTTGCAGGTGGCTTCTTATGGACTCCCTGCATGGCTTCTTGAGGGGCGGTGAGACTCGCGTAGTCTCAATGATCCTAAATATCCAAGAGGGTATTTACTCTGCGCACGAGCTTGCTTGCGGCGTCTTAGTTTTGCGGCTGGTTGATTCTCGGCAGGATTTCTTCTGTTGTCTCGCTTCTTCCCTCATGCCCGCTTTGCTGGGTGCGGAGCTGCAGCCCCTGGCAATGTTGGGGAGGAGGAATCTACTGGGGCCATCAGATAATACTTTTGAAGGGGAACATACTCAGGGGAAAGATCATTCTCCACACTTAGACGCCATTCCAGAGGCAAATGCACCTTCCGTGGGAAATGACGGAGCTGAGGCACCAGTACGAAGCGCGGAGATAGAGGCTCCAACGGAATCAACATCGCTGCTGCCACTGCCCAAGGAACTGTGGTGGCTGCTAATGCATTTACATACCAAGGCTAAAACGGTATGTGCAACTGCCGTTCCAGGATCTCCGCAATGGCGTGACTGCGTTAACAGCCACAGGCGGACATGCCAATGGAAGGACCATCAAAATGAACAACAGGAAGAGGGCCATTCTGAAGTCTACCAGCTTTGCTCAGAGGGGAAAAACAGCTGCGCAAGCATCAAAAACGAGGACAACAACCTGAGCGATAGCTTCTTCAGTGGCAGCAGCCTCTGCAAGGAACATGAGAAACAGTTGCTCGACGCCGAAGGGACGGTGTGCACCGAAGGTTGGCTTGCAGCAGATATTGCCGAATTTCTGTGCAGCAGCGGGGGTGAAACCCTGAAATGGCCTTCTTTTCTCGCGGGAGCGGACACCTACTTGCAACCACAGCGAGGGGTCCCAGTGGCCCAGCGCGCTGACAATGGTGCGGACAGTCTCACTCGTAGCAACCCTTGTGGCAACACCAGGCGGAGACGGCAAAAGAAGCAAAGGGATTCAGAAGCGACAAACAGAAATGCGGCGGACGACACCACGTCCTGTGACGTGTCCCATGATGAGCCCACAAAGCGAGAGGTGGTTTTCTTACGGGCATGCTTAGAACGAGGAATTGAAATTCCTCAAGGCGTTTCTATCTGTGCGGCGCTGGCGGTGAGCCATAATGTCACGCCACGGAGCTCATGCAACTTCTTTTTCTGGCATGGCTCGCATAGACCGGGCGAAGAATTATGCCGGCTTGTGCTAGAGACCACGGGTGAACTTTTAAGCGCCTAGAATCAAAAAAACATGCGACTGCAGAGGCAGTTTGTGACTGTTTGCGCATTATATTTCGCAGCTTCTGGAAGAATGGGGTGCTACGTGCTGCTTTTTTCCCAGCGAATTTGCAGTGCAGGATGTGCAGACGGATAACTTGCACCTGCTTTGCCGCGCCATCCTTTTATCACTGCCGGCAGTCCACGTGAGACTGCAGCTTCCACTTGATCAAACACACGCACACAGAAAGGTGCTTAATAGTGGCCAAGTGAAGGAAGCAAGTCTTGTCGACTCAGGGTTGCGTTGCCATCCTTCTGTGCATTAATGTTTGTATTGTGCTCTTCTTGCATCTCCTGTTTGTCATCGTCCTTGGTGCAGCGTAACGCCTTCATCTCTATAATTTCTGCCCTTAATGAACTACTTCGAGCAGCGGCATATTCCGGGATTTCCCATGGTGTTGCTCCAAGAAGAGACGCCCCCATCGACCAGCAACATTCGTCTGGAGGTTCTTCTTTTACGTCTGGTACAGGCGCTGAATGGACTGCAAGTCCTTCTGCAGCACATAAATCTGCGGAGAAGTTGGCAGGGGGCTGCCCGACAGACATCAGGACAGCTAAAGCCGCCTGCGTCCAGCTGTGCTCAGGAGAAGTGATATGTGGTGGCCGGGGAGTCTCAGCGCAGCGCGTCGCATGCCTTGAGAGCCAAGACAGCTCTCAGCTTTTCCGTCAAGCCCTCTTGTTGTGGACCGGCAGCTGGCTGATGAAAAGTTGCAGGCCCGTGTTGCGTCATGCCGTATTAGATCATTTTATTGCGCCCATCTGAGGCGGAAAACAACCTATCTAACGTTTTACTCCATATCGTTTGATTCCTGTGTGTACTTAATGGCGAATTTCGACACGTGCCACTTGATAGAACTGCACACGCCTCACGTAGCAATAACTTGAAAAGAAGTCCCCAAAGATTCACAGTTGAGACCTCACAAAAAGTTCCTTGCATAGTACACAGGACCTTCAAGTAGACGCCCTAGTGAAGCCAGACTTAGTGGCCACATGGCAGCGCAAGACCGTCTAGGGTTAAACTTAAGTTGCTTCCCTGTGCTGCTTTGAACCCCTGCCGTGACCCCCTGCTGTGGCGAGCTATCGACGAGAGACCCAACCGTTCACTTGACTGGCCCCGCCTACACAAAATGGCTCTCTCCAATACGGCAGCGAGGTCAGCACGCATTGCAGCTCGTCTTGTCACTTCACCTTCAAGATTATAGTGCGTTGGCCTTGCTACTCACAATTTGTTCTCCGTGCCATCGAGCAATAGGATTTACCACCCTGTCGCTATGATGTTGGGAAAAGGTGTTCAGTCAGATATCTTACTCTCCGTAACTTCTTACTGTCAAGCAGTGGAAGTTGTCGAATTGGCTTTGGTGGCATTGTAGCTCAGCTTCCTGTAGAGTTGCGTCAGCTGGACTGCCTCATTGCATGCATGACATGCAAAAAGAAGGGAATTACGTGGCTGGACCATGGTGGCGAAACGCATGAAGAGCAAACTGTAAATGCATAAGACCCCAGTCATTCGCTCACTTATGCACTCTGGGCTTTTGCGCATATCTGAGAGGCCTGCTAGGACAAATCCCCAATTCGCAACAGGCCCCCAAAAATGGGTTGTGCGTCCATAGGTGCGTAGATACGTCACAAATTCGGACCAGCCGCGGCTTGCCATTGTCGCAGAGAGAGAGCCCTGTACTGGAGGCAGGCTGGCGTAGAATGCAACGCTTCTGAAGGGCTCCTCAGAAACATCCACCAAAAATTATAAGAAAAGTTCTCTTACGCTTGAATCGACCTCGGCGCGTCCGGACGAATGTGGGGAAATACTAGCGCCTGAGCTGATGATGCGTTCACGCATCCGCAGTGTTCGCGAAGGCAAACGCCCATGAGTGTGTACTTTACTAATATGTGTGTTTGGTATTTCTACAAACAACGATACTATATAAATTCTTAAGTGAAGCGCTGCAGCCAAGGATAATGCTTTCGTCTTCGCCTATTCAGCAGGTCCTGCGCATTACATGCAAGTCAGCTAGAAGATCGGATCACAATTTACAGGATTCCGTATTTTGAAATTGCCTATTTCACAATACTTTTAAACATATTTTTTTACTGTTTGCACCAATACACGGCGTCCTGGAGTGGTTGAGAACTATTGCTCATGACCCTACGCAGGTGTTTGCGGAGCTCGCTGCTTCAAAGACGAAAATAATTGCATGACTACATTCTATGACGGAAGTACATATTTCATGATTATGCTTTATGATTTGAAAGTTGAAGTTCAATCTTTGCTTGCACCATCGCAAAACTGTAGTAGCGAAGCACTGGGAAATACTCCATTTGGAGGTGACAAAGATTCAGTGCCACCCTTTGCCCAACGGCTGAAGCTACAAAGTACTAAGCATTAGCCCCATTGAGCATCATGCCTTTGATATAGCTAGGTGAATCTCCTGCAAATAAGCACGCTGTTTGGGACTGACTTTTGGATCGCAGCGTAGTGCGGAATCTCAATGCAGGTAGAAGAGCCATGACGTGCTTCTACAGATTATCATGAGATCTACATCATTGTTTCTTCCAACTAGTGCACTAGTTTTAGCTGGTAATAAGTCAATACTGGCCAAATGTGTAAGCGTTGTATTCCGAGCAACATGATGACCGCTTGAAACCACAATGAAGAAGGGCCTCCATTCGCTTTCAATACAACGCGAATAGTTGACGACCAAAGAACCAAAAATAGCAGAAATTGTTATCAGCTCTTGATTACGTTGTGTATATGACTGTCAATATATGAAACGGCGCTAAGCTCTAGACTCATCTCCTGGTTCCGTGCTGCTGCGCCCTAGACACCGTAGCCTGAATAGTTGACGACCAAAGAACCAAAAATAGCAGAGATTGTTATCAGCTCTTGATTACGTTGTGTATATGACTGTCAATATATGAAACGGCGCTAAGCTCTAGACTCATCTCCTGGTTCCGTGCTGCTGCGCCCTAGACACCGTAGCCTGCCTTGAAGCTGGAATAACCCTAGATGAGTGAATTCTCAGGAGACAAATACACCGAGTCCAAGTACTGTGCAAGAAGTAAATTGTTCCTGGTGGACAGTCTGCGGAAGACTTCATCTGCAAAGCGGATCACGTTCTGGATGGCTCCGTGTTAACTTTGTAGACGTCTTCTCCACGCAATATTATTAATCAGAAAGCCTCTTGGCACCTAGAATAGTCCACAATTTGACTGAAGGCGCAAATCTTTGCATTATTTGCAGTAGGCTTGCTCATGTCAGTAGGCTTATTGCACTGAAGTGGCGTGGCCGTCATCAGTACCGAACCCGTCAGGTACTTAAGTGCTCGGGGCGGTTACATTACTCCCTTCTTCTCCACCGTGACTGGAAGGCTCATAACGCCTTGCTTTGGTTGGCGACTTTCAATTTCGATATTGGTTGCGTGGGCCTTTTCAAGCTCTCTTTTAAATTGCTGCTCTTTGGTGGCCTGAGTTCACAGTAATACACATGCTGACTCAGCAATTGCGTATTAACTATTAGAGCACGCACGTGCTTTGCCGAGCTGAACACGCACAAATAATTACTAGTAGTACATTTTTAATGAGCACCCGTGAACTTTGTACGCGTCCTGGAGAGTAGTACAGGAATTGCGATGGCCTCACATGATTCTCAAATCTAATGGGCTTGTCAGTCAGGTAGAGATCCGTGTAGTAGGAATCCGGCTTCATCTGATCGTACGGAGGAGGTTCGATTGGAGTTAATGACCCGTCAGCCTCGCGAAGGTAATAGGTAGTAGCCCCCTGCGCCTGTTGCTGTTGGGCTACGGGGGTTACAGTCGAGGCCCCGTTGAATGAGCGAAAGCTGCTATTACCCCTCTGCACGTTAGTTTCAGGCACAGGTGCTGCAGGGGAAGGCGTGTTTGTGCTGGCTGATTGGGTCGAGGTTATGCCACTGCCAGATGAGTTGTGGGTAGCTGGCGTGCTTGGTGGGCTGGGTCTTGTTGCCGCCGAATGGGTGAAGCCAGAAGTCCTCCCACGGGCCCTTGAAGCGGTCGTTGCGCCTTGTACAGCACTGCTAGAGCCCCCACCGAAAGAGGCCCTTGCTGGTATGCCTGACCTTGAGCGCAGAGCCCCACTCGTGCTTTCGCCGGGACCGCTGTTGGGTGTGGGTGTGCTGCTGCTATGCATTGGTGTCACGCGACCAGCACCATCAACTGGGCTAGCAGTGGAGGCCATGACACTGCTGCTTCCACTAGGGTAAACGGTTCTCACTGCTGAGGCAGGGCTAGTCATGAACGCCCTGCCCGCACCAGAACCGCCAGACACCCCGCTATACGTTGCAGTTGTCGCTCCACTGAATGACATGTTGGAGCCACTGTATGTTGTGCCACTGTAGGAAGGCTGGCTACTGCTAGTACTATAATATGGAGTGCTGCTTGACCTCATGTATGGCGTGCCGCCCGTCGCACGCGAGCCGCCAGAATAACCTACATACGTGGGAGTAGAGGCACTGCTTCCTGTGTAGGTAGGGGTCGACATACTACTTCCTGTGTATGTAGTAGTTGACCTACTAGTTCCTGTATAAGTTGGACTTGAAAGGCCACCTGCTGTATATGTGGTTGCACTGTTTCCACCGCTGTAGTAGGTTGTTCCGCTGCTTGTGCTGGATGGATAAGAAACCCCTGTGCTGGAATACGTCGGCGTTGCCCGGGAGTATGTACTGGAAGCAGCGTAAGTTCCACTGTACGGACTGCTTCTCATTGTGTAGGTGGGTGAGGTGTAGCCTGAACTCCCAGTGCTGCTGTAGCTAGGCGTGTAACCGTTTGAATAGCTACGAGCGCCACCACGAGACCGCCAAGCCTGCAAATGCCTCGTTGTGGCTCCCCCTGAAGTAACTTGTTGCCTTCCCGGCTCCGAGGTTGCACTGAAGGTGCCTTCGTTTTCGTTGCATAGCCGCTCATTTGTGGTGTGCGGAAGGGTGCTGGAGGTCGAATCCTCTGCAGCAGCCAACGCTGTTGGCGCAGAAAGGGCGCATATCAGGGCGCCAAAGCAGAAAAGTAGGACCTTCATTTGTAGTGATAAATGTGAAGTGCTGCAACACTCACTAGTAGCGAAAAGACAGCCGAAGACAACAGCGAAAAATGCGTAAAAGGCTTTTTGCCAGGCGTGAATGGTAATATTACCTCTTCAGATTGACTATTTTCTAGAAGCACAAAGATTAACAAGCTGACCTGCTAAATTGTATTTGGGGAAGGAGCTTAAAATACTTTTGGGTAGATTATCCATTCCTACACCCTGCGGCCGAGCGGGAGTTCGGCCGCAGTATGCACGCCTGACATGCACTGGAAACGGTCACCTGCTGGAAGACATCGACAGTCCACTTGTCCACTTAATACTAATTTATTTAGTACAGTTTTTATTTTGTTGTTTTTATGTGCTCCGTACATTTATTCAGTGTTTACCTGTCCAGTTCCTTCGTAGAGTGTGCCACCTCACCGGGGTCACTCGCGCAGAGGCACTGCCGCTGTATTCTAACTTGAAGAAGTCACATAACCAGTTTTGTTTATCCTGGACACTACGTCGTTTTAGTTTGAAACGCCTCGCGCCTTTATATAGGCATAGGCGAACACAACATTGCCTAGGGTGAACTGCCTCAAGCGGTTGCCAGGGCCAGTGGACTGCCTTAATTTACAATTGTGCACCGGGTCCTCTTGAAACATTTACTAAAAACGTAATGTTTCATTGTTTTTGCAATGCTAAAAACACCGTTTTGCTTTGTTGTCAGCCACGGAACACCGATTAAATACTGCTGACAACGTACAAGATTGGAACAGGCCGGCAAACCGAGTCATTGAAAAAGTTGGAGATGGAGACAATTTGATTGGCCCGAAGGAGCTGTATTATTTATGCGGCTGCTCTTTTGATCGAAGGAAACAAAAACCTGTGCCGCGCTGACGACAAGAAACCTCCTTGGCACTGGCCCCTGAGGGCGAATCGAAATTTCTTCAGTGTTGTGCTTTCTCTCCCTAGAGAAGAATGAGTGAAGTATAGGATCTCTTGGCTCTTGAAATCAACTGCATAATCGCAGGAATACCTCGGTGCACAGCGTTGCAATATCGTCTCGCTAGAACGGACACATGATAGGACAGCACCTTGCCCTCGACGGAACAAGACAGCGCTCAGCAGAGTTCACTTGAGGCCATTGCAAAGTCGAATTTCAGTAAAAGCTCCTGAAAATGGGGAAGCTGAGAAGTGACGTGATGCTTGGAGAGGCATGTGCGCCTTCACAAGGTCAGACACGGCTCCTCGGCCCAGTAACGTCACCGGCAGGAGCCGTAGAGTTCAGCAACTCGTGCTCTCTCAATGTTGCTGTGCCGAGACCCGGATCGTTCACATACTAATAATCTTCCAACATTGCTGTGCACATCCCTTTCGGCAATGACTTGCTGACCACAGCTAAATCTTGAAATGAGCTCCAAACTCGAACCAAACAAAATTTGCAGCAGCCCCACGCTTTGAGCTTATTTGCTTATCGTAGCATGGGCAGAGGGAAGCAGTAGGCATGAAAGGGGAGTCACTGCACCTTTTTAGCTGTGATGTCCACTTTGGGAAAAACCATTTGCGATGTCGTAGACGTTCCAGCATCGCAGAAGTTGAATCAGTCAGAATGACAAAGCATATTCGTGATGGCTTCAGCATGCCCTCTCGAACTACACTGCATCAAGGCTTCTATTTATCCACAAGGCTCACGGATTCTTCCAATGTATATTATTTCTGCATCCAGGTGTACCCTCATTGCTGAATCACGCTGAGAAGGAACACGCGAGCGCATACACAGCAGCTTTGATGCGTACGTGTACTAGTGAGGAAGCGATACCGCTTGACGAATCCGATTTGGAGGGAGGAGATGAATTATCGGAACGACCAAGAAAGATCCACAGCAACTTAAGTCTCTCAGGAAGTCAGTGGCTCCTGCAGGCTGCTGAAACCGTGTTTGGGAGTACATCCATCTCACCCGACATAATGACAGAAGAACCTGCCGGACGCAGAAGGCCCTTGCTTTTGGTAGCCGTTGCAGCTGCGATTGAGAAGGAGGCAGAATTTATGAAAAGGGGAAACGAAGAAGCGCTTCAGCAACATGCTTCGGCGTTTCCAACCCGGAAGCTGCTGCAACAAAGATCGGATGAAGCCTTTGACTTAGTTCGCTTCCTATTGGCTCGTGGGGCTTCCTTATACATGCCTTCTGAGACTGGCATTTTCCCTCTCGAACACGCAATCAAGAAGCGCAGCTTGAGAGTATGCGTTTTGTTTTGTCAGTCAGCTTAACTGTCATGAAAGCTACGATGATATCAGCGTTGCATTTTTGCTCCATATAGGATATTTATGATGGAAACCTTTGCCACCATGCCATCATAGATGCAGAACTGACAGTTGCAAAATGATGAAGGACATTCCTGCTATGGTGAAATCAACTTGTTCAGAGAAATGCAGTACAGCTGGGGAACAAGCAATCAAGAATATGACACAATGCGGCGTGCCGTAGCCTTCATAAAAATTCCTGAGTTTGCCCGAGTAGTCAGCACCCAAGTTAATATGGGTTGACAAGTTGTACCGAGTCTCAACTCATTATTGACAGGGCTGTACACCACTAGTGAGGCGCGCGTCCGTGTCTGCAGGCAACGGCTTTACTGCTAGGGGCAACACAGTGCTTTGGGGATACGCTTCAAGACTTGTTTCCACTGCCCAACGGCTTGACTCCTCTACATATCGCAGTGGCGGAAAACGACATCTCTCTAGCTGGTTTTCTGTTAAGTGAACAGTCACAGAAGTCGCTACACTCCTGCCGAAAATGTCTGGGAAGAGCAGCATCCATTAAATTTCCAGCTGAGATTCTTGGGGGATCCAATCAACCCCATGAGTTGCACGTTCAATTTCCCATCTGCCGCAGCTGCCTACTTAAATCGCGCGATGATCGTGGGTGTACTGCGGCGTTCTACTGTGGGAGTTACAGCATGCTCAGGCTCTTGTTAGACAGTGGCACACCACTCGATTCACGTAGCAGCACAGGAGATACATTGCTTCATGCTCTTGTCTACAATGCCCGCCGCTTCGCTTTTCCAACCACTGATTGTACTATAAATTTACCTGGGATGATCAACGAAGCGAGCTACACACGATGTGTCAAGTGCAAGTGTCCCGAATGCCAAGGGACGACACCCTCTCGTGCGCCTGCCGTCTGTCGGATAGTTTTGCTTCTTGAGCGTATAGAAGATAATTCTGCTAAATCCATAATTGATGATAAATCCGAAGGACTGAGCAAGGCCCATGCTTTCGTCAATGTGCGTAACAAAGCAGGATGGACAGCGCTACATCTAGCGGCAGCCAGAGGATATTCCGATATCTGCAGAGTGAGCAAGGGGAACGGATGACGGACTCTCACAGTAATTAGTGAAATTGAACAATTGACTCCCTTCGCCTCTTCACAGCGCGCACCATCTACGGAAGCTCTGGTACAGGGCGGTAGAATTCGAACGCACCACATGGCTAAATGATACACAAGCTCGGAGACTCAGTACTTGAATGTTTAATCTCTCCATACGATGATGATTGCTTTTTTGTAGGTTTTGCTCGACTGCGGCGCAGATGCTTGCCTCCGCACCAAGAAACGCAAATTCACACCCGAGAAAGTTGCTGCGCTCAACAAGCATCATTCGACAGCCAAGTCAGTGAAGAGTAACCACTCTTTGATGCTGTAGCTCATATGCGTTGACGTTGAGCACCCCAGTCTTCCGCAGAGATACGCATTTCGTAACGAGTACGTTTGTGCTGTCAGGTTGCTACATGACAACATGTGTACCTCATCTACCAATCTATTTCAGCAGCTGGTCATCAGACTGAGACGAAGCTCCGAGAAGGACCCGCTCTTGTCCGTGCTGGCACTCTGCTGGATCGGGCTTTTATGTCTGCATTGGCGCGGCGTAGTAGAAGCTCTCCAAGTTTACTTCCCAAACATATTTGGGCACTTACAATGAACGTTTAACACATAGTTCAAATTCTGAAGCCTCCGAAACCAACCTGTCAGCCACGTTGAGGCCACGGAAAGCGCGGCAAAAGCTGGTGTCTGTTCCTCGAAGAAGCAAATGTCTTCTGCTTGCACGATGGTGAAGCCCAAGCTCTTCACCCAACTTAGGTTCTTGGCTCCTTTTTTATGTTGAAGCCCGCACATGATTTTGTGTGTTTCCATGCACCTTTTGCCTTGTGCGGATGCCTCTTCACCGCTCGCTGCTCAAGCATTTCCGGAACTGTAGGTTGTACGTTGGTTCTCCTGCGTATGATGAAGGGCGGCACTACAGCACTCTGCTGAGTCCTCCCTTCTGCACAGGCTGGAAAAATTACTCGCTGTACTGGCGGTCGTATAGAATCTTGCTGCTCCAATGGCGGGCACTGCATATTCTGTTTCACTGCTTCCCTTACGGCTGGAGCTGAGCGCCGGCGAATGTGTGGTCCAGAAACGAATCTTGAATCCCGAGGGACAGACTGTATCCATTCAAAAATACTCTGTTGCTCCTTCTGTTGCTCCGCCAAGTCTGTTGCTGGGGGGTATTTCACAGAAGCTACACATGATTCATGTAACGTGGAGACAGCATATGAATTGGGTGCATCGGCACCTGAGTGGAAACTCAGTGCCTGCTCTTTTGGGGAGACCCCCAAGATCATTATTTCCTCACTCCTATGTGCTTTCCTTTGATTTGAATCCATAAGCAAGCGTTTCATTATGTTCCTATCTGTTTCCGCACAGTGTTGGTGCCCCCTTTGTGGCCACTCATCCACTTGTGGAGCTTCGCGTTGCTCTGTTTGAGCGTAGCGCTGCCCAGGAAGCAGTAGTCGCGGGTCCGGGGGTACAGGTAGCTCGCCAGGGTCGAAGTCGCAGCTAAACACTGCGGAAAGAGCAGAGACAGGCAGTATAATGCTGTCACGCCACTTTCCAGGGGGCCCATAACGTGATATTACACACTGTAGCCTCTAAGAACGCCTGAAACCCACACCCCTGGGAACGAATACGCCCACCTCGCACATAAAGCAGCTCGATAGCTGCATCAGCTACCTTAATCTGGCTACTCTTTCGAGCCGTTATAGGCATCCCTCCTGAGCATTTAACCAACAAATTACATCCATTAGATCCTATATCCGGATGTAAAGCTGGGCTAGGCTAGCAACATGAAGAACTAAATAGGCGCAAAGGAGCGCTCCTGCAACGACCTCCTGTTCCTGCTATACAGATGTGAAGACACACTTACTTATGCTGCATATTTTATAAAAGTCTGACATGCGCGGAACCGTCAAAGATTTCTCTGGTTCTCCATTTATAAAGGGAAAGACGCGCATGGCAGAACCTTGTTGCTGACCATCTTTTGCTTCGCCCATTAGTGCTTTCTCCTTCACACACTTCAGAGTGACTCTGTAAACCACGTAAGAAAGGCACACCCCAAATGTTCTTCACACACAGAATCGCGCCTATCGTGAGTGCTAACGTTCACCTATTTTTCTCACCTAATAAAAGGGGCCTCCCTGCAACAAAAACCCATGACCATGTGCAAATCAACAACAAATATACGCGACATGCAAGGCCATGCATTTGGAGATAAATTTCATTGGAAAGAGCAAATAAGGTGCTGTGTGCTCAGATGTACTTCGCCGGTGTCGTCTGGTCGACATCTCGCCTGAAAAACGAAAAAAAGTGCTCGACAGGCGAATCTGGAGAGCCCCCTGATCCACGCACTGCACGAACTGGAGCTGCTGTCCCAATTCCTATGTCGACTCGTTGAACTCTGTCGCACTTTTCTCGATGTACTACCCAATATCGCGCACCTAGCAAAAGCGCGCATCTGTGTGGACTGTCCTAATAGACCACCACACGGTACAAGAGGCAGAGGCAAAAGATGTTGAGAAAATGTGAAGATACTGGGATTCCTTAGTTTACTAAGCCACAACGAGGCCACAAAGCTAAAGTGCTGGAAAAAAACGCTTCATCTATGCAGCCAACGAATAAAATTTGCCCCGGTCCTGTCCCACCCGTAGGTTCCAGAACGTCTTGCGCTGCAAGCAACACACACACCATAAAGGCGAATAGAGAGGGCTACAGTAGCCATTCGCGGCCCAAAATGAAGAACTACACCAGGTCAGGAAGAATTACGTATGGTCGGTTAGACCTACTCGGGTGCACCCAAATGCTCGGACACCGCTGGAGGCATCTTCGTCCTTCACCTTTGTACAGACTAAAGGATCATACACGAAGAAGACCTGCTGGTGTGACTCCACATTTTGGTGATACGCTTTGCCATCTTCGTTAAGTGAAACCATTCTCGAACCATCCGTTGTAAGTACTGGCAGCCTCAGGACGACATCGAGCGTGAAGTGATCCGTCCTCCCAGCGGGTAAAAAACCGTGCAGGCCTGCATTCAGAGATCGGGTTCAATTGCTCAGCGGGCACTTTTTTTGATATCTACAGCGATGGATGGTCTCAGTGTAATCTGACCGAACACTAATATGCAAATATGTTAACGAGACAATGAATGGCAGATGCCGCTTGCCATCTCCAGTTGTCCACGAAATTGACATCAAGCATTTCGAAACAGTTTATAGCTAACTCTTCCTTCGTAGAGAAAAATAATTCCTATCGCTTTCTTACAGCCGCTTTTATTGACGTCAATGGGAGGTTCAAAGACAACGGGTGTAGGAGGCAGCAGGTAGCGGAAAACTCCGCCATGAAAGCTTTCCTCTCCAGTGGCAGTATCTACTCGCAGAAAGAAACATTCTCAAACGATCTTGACTACGGGACTTTATGCCAGTCACCGATAGTTCATTCAGGAAGCACGCGTACTTGCCTAACTAAGACACGAAGCTCACCATCTCTCACTTCTTTAGGGATGCGCGGGTAATCTCCACGCTGTAGAACAGTGTGGGCTGAGCTGCCTTCACAATACAGCAGCAAGAGCGGCTACAGCAAACAAGACACAAAACACGGAGCTCCTGCACTTCTCAGCGTAATAGATATGCACGACGAATAAATTGCAACAGTCGCAGTGAAACGGCTCAGGCTTGTAATGGCGTACGGCAGGATTAACGCTGGGATCTTGATTCCTAACACGCTGAGAAGCAAACGAAAACACAAGAGTACAATGGCTCAAGATTGAACTGTAAGCAACATCCAATAACCGCACTTCACGAGAAAGATGAAATATTTGCTGTTCCCCACACTTGCCTCATGAGAAATGTTAGCGATCTTCAAATCTTGTCGGATACCTCCGTAGAAATATGGTACTTCTGTTACCGGCCTTTCGTAAGCTTGGTGCAGCAGCTGCTGCTGCTGCGCTTGTGGTGATAGCTCTTGGCGTATAAGCTCTTGTTGGCGATGCTGATTCTGCAGATCCAGGGATTACTCGGAGCACCCACAATCCATATGAGGCAAAAACTGCGTAGGCACAACAACAATATTGTTGTACAAAAAAAGTCTACAGCGAAGTCTATGGCAACAATGCGAGATTCACATTTAAAGAAAGTATCAGCTGCCCCGAAGGGTCTTGAATGGACTGATGCTGCAGCTGCAGGCGCTGCACTCTTTCCTGGAGTTCTTGCACTTGCTGTTGCAACCGGAGCTCTTGCTGATGAGAAAATTCAAGGAGTTTTGCTGCCTCTGCAAGTTGCGAATTAGCCGTCTGTAATGCCCTGCAGCAAAAAGCAAGGCATGAAGCTGCACGCAAGGAACTCGACAATAATTGCCAAACCATCTGCGTGCGTAGTCATGTATTCGCACGTACGACTGAGCAGAGCCAACAATGCACAAGCAGCGTGTCGATACTACTACATTAATATTCATGCTGCGACTGATGTAAAATAAAAGTCGCCCATGGCACTAGGAGGGCACCATACCGCCTTCTGCCAATATCTACAAGCCTCCTGAGCTGGGGCCACTGATCCATCGCCAAGTCAAAGAGCGGCTTTCCAAGTAGGTTGTCAGCATCCCCTGAGCTTATCACGACGTTAAGTTCCTTGTTCAACTCAGGTGTTGAGCTCCGCATCACATCTCTTTCCCAAGTTCCAGGCCGCACGTTTGCATACCTTGCAATACCTGCTAGCGTCCTGTTCACTGCAGCTGGCACATTACCCCCTTCTAGTCCTGAATACAAAGGGGTGGGGAGAAATTCGCACCCCTATTGGGAGGCACTTCCTCACCAGCAGTAGATGAATGGTGAACAATCAATCTTCGTTGACTGTGCACAAATCCATATTGTAGACTCTGTGTTTCCCTCCGATAAAGCAAGGACACCCGCCTTCATACGTATCCAATAGTCCTCACCAGCAAAATATTTTATTCGATCAATCCAATCCTCAAAACGCCGCATCTGTAGCAGCAAAGCAAGATTGAGGCCAAGCAAGAACTGAGCTTAGCCATAACCTCTAAAAAATAGGCCCGTTGTGGCAACAATACAAAGTGGAGATGCAATTCAGACACAATTTGGCTTTGCATGAACTTGCACAAATGCAATTTGTGCTTGTACTGTCCCTGATGAGAGGAACAGCAATAGATGACCTACCCTCCAGCGGAAAGAGAAGTAACGAAAGCAATTTAGTCCCACTTCTTTGCTTTTTTCTCGAAATGATAGAGCCTTTTGCTCGCGCGTCATATACCTGTCAGTGTCGTGCAGAGTTTGTGTTCTGCTGGGGTTTGCGCGGAGACGCTCCAAATTCAACATTTCTTGTCGTTCATATTGCTCAAGACGCAAGTACCGCGTATCAATGAAGTACGCCAACTGCTGCCTCCAAGCGTTTAAGTGCAAAGAAACCTGGGTCTTGACTGCGTTAGACAACTTGTGTATCTCCTTCCACAGTTCGCCCTCCTTTAGTATCTGAAAACGCAAAAGCACTACGGTCATATTCCAACTAGGCGATCTACTGTCTGTATCGGTTTTTTCTGACTGGCTATCAGAAAAAGACAACGACACAATCGCAACGTGAACTCTCACATTAGCTTGCAGATCACTGTCGTTAACGGATACGCCTTTCCGGCTAGCTTGAATAGCTGCAAGAGCGTGACGGTCCCGAAGCTCCTCCACTTGCCGAAGCAGCTGACGCCTCCGAGCAAGGTCCCTCTCAAGTGCCGCAACATCTACAGTCTTCCTCTCTTCTTCAATGGCGGACAGTGCCCTATGTGCGTTTTCGACAGCGCGGAAGAAACGTGATATCCACATAGTCGGTGTCGTTTCTGACCTAAAATGAAGCGTAACAGCATACACAAAAGCCACATGCAAAGACAGGAGATGCAATTTCCTCTTTGGTTGCGCCTAAAAATCGCGGCATTTCTTCGAAGCCAATCCTTGTACGCTATCTTCCCCGCATTATATATTCTTCCTTCTACTCCACCAGAAAGGAATTTTCACTGAACGCCCGTATGCTGTACCGACGTGACTAACTAACGGCATCTCCCATCAAACGCACTGTGCTCAGGACTCACTCGCTTTCAACTTCTTCAATGCACTGATGAACCGCCTCAAGAAATTCTCCCAGCCAATTATTTTTGTTTAGAGCCGATGGAATCAATGAAAAGCCAAGACAGTTGTTGCAACATACGGAATGTACAGTGTGAACCAACAGAGGAAAGTTGCACACCAGCAAATGCACCTGCTTGCGCCTCTCCACTTCTGTGTCACCAGGAAGAGCCCACCGGAGCACGTCCAGATCAAGTAACCACGCCACCCAGCTGCATTAACCAGGCGCAAGCGACAACATTCTAATCTGTCGGGTTGAGCTCAACAGATCATTGAGCGCACGTCTTGCTCTGTCCGCTAAAAGCGCCACGCAACAGGAATACACACAGAATGAACTGACAGCACTATGCCCATTGACATTCGTGAAATACAAATATACTGGCCAGAATTGAATGTCAGACAAACGAAGTTTTGAGCCATGCCCTAACGAGGAAGTAAAGCGCTAACGTCTCAAACCTAACTAAGGATCTATCTTACCGTGTACCGTATCTACCTGTTTCCAACGCAGCACCACCATGAAAAAGCTGCCACGTGTATGGGGCCTTCCTACCCCTCTAATCCCTGCTTATCACCTCTGTTTTGCCTGCTTGGGGTGGCTCACGGTGACTAGGCTCTATCTGTGCAGTGAGCTTCTTACAGCCTATTTAGCACAAGCAGCTCACTCTGTGTTATCGAAGACAGGGTCATCTTCGAAAACATCGAGCACCAGGGAATCTAAATCGAAGCTTCCCTCCTCTTTGACGTTGCAATCTTCTCCTGACAGTCCACTTTGCAAACAAGGAACACATCTATCTTCCGGAGAGGGAGCCAGGTAGCGAAACCGTTTGGTCGCACGTTCCCAGCCAGCTTTCCCGCCACAAACGCAGACACGCCTACCGTCCTTGTGCTCATTTAAACTAGGTGCTGTATGGCCACCAGCCAATCGTAAATTGCTGCGGCCATACTCAAATCCCACGCAGTTTGTGTGCGCAGTGCCAGCCAGCTCGGCGGACCAGGCGAAGAATGACTGTCCAGAAGGCAGTGGCTCATACCCCTTTCCATATCCACTTGATTCGAAACCGCAGGCGCTGCCGGTCCCGAAATCGCAGACGAAGCACTCCTCTCCTGTTGTTGTATTCAGAAGACCGTCGCCGCTTTGTGAATGTGGGTGGCCTTTAGTAGCCACCCTAACATTTCCTGTTGACTGAACGTTCGGCTCATTGACTCGGGTGCACGCATCAGGAGGCCGTATCTCGCCATCTTCAACCTCATCATCTTGCATTTGCAAAGGCGTCTCGTTGTGCTGCAGAAGCTTCTGTTTGTTTGGAAAGGGCGCCTCACCGATGTCACTAATCTGAGAAGGCAGTTTTACGGTAGCCCCGTTCTGGAGGCATCGCATCCACTGCGCACGTCGTGCTACGTGCTTATGACGAAGCCGTGCAAAGGTCTTAGCTAGGCAACATAGCAGCTCAAACAGAAACCAGCACAATTCAGAGTCCCGCGAGAGTAGGTTGAGGCAATACTGCAGCAGCAAACCCTGCCCGTTCGCCAGTTTCTCACCCTGATGCAGATGCACATTTGACACAAAGTTCGTGGCTAATCTTCTGAACGGAAAGGCCAACGTATGGCCGGCCCTTGCTCCACAGTTGTACTTCTCCGCGCATTCATGAATAGCGCAAACAGTGGCATTTGGAAACAAGGTTATTTTTGGGGCTAAACGCTACGATGAGGGAACGCACGTGTACCACGGCAGCAATGGCAACCCACACAATGAAGAACGATACCGGTACCATGCAGTGTCTCTTGTCAAATCGCTTAAAACTATTCTCGACGTTTCCGTTCCCCTTGAGCAGAACTGCATAGTGTTGTAGACAGAGTTGCTACACTTTAAAATCTACTTATTGATTCACCTCATCAACGAGCTCAGCTATGTCATGGCTTTCTGCACGGCAGTGCCAGAAGTGTTCCTGCTCTCCGTGAGGAGCAAGGGGCCCCTTTACAAAAGGCAGACCACACTGGCTGCAAAAGACAAATCGCATTTGGCATGCTGACTACGTTATTAGGAATACTGCAGCAGATTTCTTCCCTGAAAATCTACGACTCTGTTGGAAACTCACTCGCACTTGCCAGTGTGAAGGTCGAGTAAGTTCATTTCCAAAAGGTATCGTCTCGCCTTGCACACATCTTCATGACGTTGACAGTCAACCCCTAACAAACATGCACCTTGTCCTCCACGTCCCATGACCGCGCGCATTCCACTTGAAAATTCGTCCTCAGATGAGGAAATTTCGGTATGCCAGAGTGTAGAAGACTACCGAGGCCACCCTGTTAAGCCGCCTTAAGGTTTGTGCAGGGCAAAATGTTTACACGGGTTACATGCGTTCGGCGCATAGATTGGCATACCAGTTGCATGAACGGGCAGGCCCTGCACGCCGAGAAGCTCCGTGACTTTCGCGTAGGGGCAAAGCTCGTTGCTGCAGAAAACACAGCAGGGCGAAATGCAACTGGGTCGCTCGTTAACTTATTTTGGCATGCCTCTATGCATGCCAATAAAATTGGACGGGCGACCCAGTTGCACGGGTGATATTCATTGCCGGAATCACGAGCGTCTGTGATGTAAATGGGCTTTGAAGGGCTCACTGAAACCTCTTCGACCAAATGGCCCTGTCTTTCTCGACAAGATGCCTTGAGGTAACGGCGTGCATGCGTTGGAGCTCGAGTTGCATTTTTTCCATCCTGGACGCCAATAGCTGGGAACTCTTGTTAAGAGCTGTAACATGGCATTGCAACTCAGCAATCTTCTTCTCGGCTGCCCGCCGAGCCTCCTCGGAGCGCTTGACCTACGAAGGATCAGCAGCGATGGCAGCATCAAAAGCATCAGCTAATCGCTGTTTGGAGGCAAAACTTGGCAGCAGTTGACCTTTGGATCCAGCCAGTCACTTGAGGCCCTCACCTGCGCCTTCAAATCTAACGTGCGAAGCTGGTACTCTCTCCTGAAAATTTCATTTAAACTTCTTAGATCCGAAACTACCTCCTCTAAATTACCTCTGCCCGCAAATCCAAATGAAAAGGTCGGAAACCAATACTTGGAGCAGAAGACAACCCAAGGGATAGCAAGCAAAGCCCCATCATTTAAGCACTGGTAGCTTTTTATAACTACCAAACGAGCACGTAAAAATACTACTTCATGCAAAAATGCAGGAGAGTGACAGTAAGGCCGGCTTTGGTTAGCAAACCAACGGCAACCACACGATAAAGGGGAATGCCTACCCTTTAGAAAGAGACCTTGTAACCCTGTCCAGCGCCTCAAATATAGCCAGTCCTCTTCCTTCTTGTACCAGGCGCCCTTTCAGCTCGTCTACCCATTCCTTCGCTTTGCTACGCTGTTCTTCCGGGTCGTCACATAAATCTAGGCGTGCCAATAGGTGGGAAACTTCTTCTGCTGCCCTCTCGTCAGCCTGAGAATGAAAAGTGATTGCACTGAATGCTTACGCTCTACAACCTTAGCTCAACATCCAGCCTAGTTCATGCTGTAGGCGGATTGACAGCTACTTGCGGAAGCCTCCCCCCCTACCCCTCTGCATCCAGTTAATGACATAGGCCATGAAAATCGCGAGTGACAGCCGGGCAATGAACTTAGGCTATGTTGCTGATGCGATGCTCATATGCCAACTTCGGTACTTTCCATTCTTACGAGAGATTTTTCCAGCCGAGCGTGACCCTCCCTGATGCTGGCCTCTTGGTCTATTGCGTCCTTCTTGTTCTGAAATGCCATGTTAATCATTGCCTTCATGTGAAGAAACGTTGACGACAGGAGGGTTTCCGTCGACTGGCTTTCCTGTAAACAAATGCATTGCCAGTTCAACAAAAAAATTTAATCCCGAAAACCGGTCCAGCGGTCCCCTCAAAAATGTACAGGGGTTCTTTGTGCGTCAGAAATCAGGCTGTGACAACTGGTTCACAGAGCAGCACAGCATTTATACTGAATGCATGTGCATGCAACGCCCATAATAAGCGCGACAGTAAAAATTGGTGAGCAGGATACCATTCTGTCTTGTGACCCAGGACCGTCATCAAAGAATGCCACGAAGAGGACTTCACAGCCAAGTGTCCTGGACACTGAAGAAGTGGCTATGAAATATTCTGAGCATGACAATAAACCTATTCTCACCGTCCAGTAGTGCGGTCCATAAGAAAGGAGGAGCTCCTCGCCATTCCTCACGGGCCGGCTTGTCACGGGAAAGAAAAACGGAAGGCCCGCAATTACCACCATCAGGCTGTGGCAGTTGTTCACGTCGCTTATCTGTTGCGAATTTGCAGCAAAAGGGAGGCATGAACTATGAAATGAACAGCATGAAGCTGCGCGGGGCTGGCTGACGAGGCAAGATGTGAAATGCACTGGCACAGACGCTAAGGAAGCCAACTGCACAGCTCCCTGCAGCCTCAGGAGCTTCTGAAACTGACAAAGACACCTCTGTCAGAAGCTTACGTTGGCTGAGCCGTGAGCATCATTCATCATGGAGTACTCGCTTCGGTAGTCCATGGCATCTAGCTCTGGTGGGTCTGGTTCAGCGCCTGTGCCGCTGTTCATTCGAATGTCTGGTTCCTTCGTGCGAAAGTCTCGCTCTGGCATTACAGTACAGAAGGAAAAAGTTGAAATCGCTTACTTAGTCCTGCGTCTGAACTGCATGTTGTTCTTAATTGGCAGTCACTCCGCTACACACTTACGCCTTCAAAAGAAAACCTTGGACGAATCAAAGACCTTTTCGAGAATACGTCACTAAGTGCACAGGAAATGCCCATGAGTGCACTACGTGCACTCATGGGCATTTCCGAATAAAATGTGAAGTCCTGAGTGCCTCTCTGTGAAGTCGAAAAACAGCAGCTCACCTATTTTAGTGGCTTCTTCAAACGACTTGCAAGCAGCAAGCCGACTCAATGTCCTCTGCACATAGTTGTGGATTTCATCTAGGCTTGCGAGGCTCGTTGTTTTGGACTTGGCGAACAGACAGCACGCAACGGAAAATGAAAAATTGTACTGCCATAGAAAGCATATAGTGGGATTAAGAGTGTGTTATCACTCTTTAATTTTTTGTGGCGACTCAAATATCTTCTCCGAAGGTGCTATTCGTCTACACCGCTTGTTCACTCCTTCTTGCATTAAAAATGGACCTGTGTTGCTCACTTGCCACTCCTTTTCCTGCAGTTCACCTGCCACTGAGTCAGCATAATCCTGACCATCCCACTCATTATCGTTATCAAACCCTGCCCTAGCTGCAGCAAAGTAACCATCGCGATTTCATGCATGCACATCATCTCGACTACTTCGGTAATATTCAGCCCCAACTGAACACGATGCAGCGTCTCATAGGCCTTACGCAGGCTGTTCTGATATACCTTTGATCCTAATGCTGCTGTAAAAGCTACAGGCACAGGTACTACATTCGAACTCTCTAGTGTCTGCACGCGCTGCTAAGCTGCTGCAGTCCCCGGTAAACTGAGCCGAAATAGTGAAATAAACTCTTCCAATAGTAAAACCTGACATTTACCCCCTCGCTGATAACCTATATAAGCTGCATTCTAGTCAAAGCACCATGCTATCGATGCCCTCAGGCATCTCAGTGCTCGCCCGCGTTATGTTCATTTGATGTGATCCTACTCTGAAACTAATGATGCATGGACCAAATATTCACTGCACGCCAAGAAGCTTTCACTGTGGCAACAAAAGAAGCATGGAAGAGGATTCCCTTGGAGTGCATCGATCGAACTTAGTCACGAATGCATCGTAAGACTTGCACAGACATCACATGAACAAACGTATCGCACCTTCTTCCTTATCTTCCTGCGCCTCCCATTCTCCAATGCAACTGAGATTGTCAACGCGAAATGCGTACGACTGTCTTGGCGGTCCTTGAAGATTCCTCAAGTGGTCGTGAATCATCTGTAGCGAACACTTTGCAGCAAACGCCACTTCGAATCATATTTACGGCGGCCAGTAAGCCAGCAGTACTCGCAACCCATGAGAGTTCACCCTCTAGTGCCAAGAAACACAAAGTCAAAGTGTTGGTGTTAACTGCACGTTCCCTTCTGGATCTCCACCTGTGCATCATGCATTTTATGCTAGCCAATGAAATGGATGACAGTCAAGTCATAACATGCGCTGCGCATCTCTTCCGATCATTCTATGCCGCAGTTAGAGCTGACCTGCATCATCGCCAACTCTCCAGAAGGGCGCAACACCCCCCCATAGGGTGGACCCAAGATTGTGGCTGCTGGCAAAGCATCATATTCTCCCAAAGAAGCAACCGCTCGAAAGTGTTGTGGTACTTCTTGACTTTCGAGTCCCATCCGCATCTGATGCTCTTCCTCTGCTAGCTGCACAGTGTGTGTTGCGCTGCACTTCTCAATGGCAATAAAGTTTTGTCTCCCCTCCATGCATCGAATAATCTGCGCAATTACACAGTCACTGGAAAGCACAATGATGCGCTGACGCCCCGTAAGAGGCTCCAGAAAGCCCTCCTGTTGTTCCAAAGCCTCAAATGGCTTGCACTTAAGTTTTGCATCCTTCAGAAACAACGCACAGCGGAAAGCATGTGGCTTGAGAAGAATTTTAACAGCATGCAACAAAAGCAAGTTCGCGCCACATTTTGGGGTTTCGTGCAGTGATGGCACTACTGGCACTGGCATTGTTGTAGTTAGTGTTTCTTTCAGTGTGCAGCTGAGGCGCTCCACCTGTTCCTTGAGAGAAATTATCACTTTGGCACCGCAGTGATTTGTGGGCTTCATCCCTTCTTGTGCCAGCACTCCTCTGAGGTCTTTCATCTGGCCAAATACTCCTATCAGGGACTGGCGCGGCAACAGGATATCCTCACATTTGAGCTGCACGTAAGCAACGAGACTCCTCCAACAGACAGCATATTTATAGACTTCTGCAATTTTTGAGTGTCGTCTGTGTCCACGCATAGAGTGCATTATGAGCAGTCAATTCCATGAACATTCTTACGAGCCCGATGTTGCAAAAAATTCACTTGCCTTGCCACTCGGGTACGGGTAAACGAGCCCTAGGAACTGAGACTCTCTGCTAAATTTGGGGAGCACCACGCGCTTAGTATAGAAGTGCCCTCCTCCGAGGCCCTTAGACCAGAATTTCCACTCTAAAGATCCCACATAACAGCAGACAATGCCCGTTGTAGAACAGTTTAACGTCAGATCTATGCACCGCATGCCCCGGTAAGACCAACGCACAAAATTTAAAACAGCCAGAAAAGAAAACTTTGACGCGCGCAGATCACCGGACGGTGGCCTTCTCGTTAACTCTTTGAGTCAGTGTACCGTCTGGCCTCTTTTGAAATTTCTCCTTCAAGTCTTCATGTCTTCCGTAAGCCTTTAAACGCCTTTCTCGGCCAACAGACTTTACGCATTCAATGTATTCCTCCATTCTGTGCGTATTTCAAGCAAGATGGAGGAGTTCAACATAAGGGAGGCTGTCAGTTGCTTCGATGACTCTCCGCAGGGCTGCGCCGACCGTTAGAGAAACTCACCGTTCAACATCGACGTATGTCCCCACACCGTAAAGAGCGTGTCGAAGCCAATCTACCTTCTGCCCCTTCTCGTTGACTGTGCTATCTGCGCAATTGGCAGCAGAAGCGAAAGAACAGGACGCCAGCAAATAACGCTTAACTTCTTTTGCTGAGAACCTGCCGAATCGCGCGAATGCTGCAAAGAAACGTGCAGAGAAGACCTTTCTCTCACCAGGCAGAGGCAACCAGTCTGGTCGTCCTTTAAATGCTCCTCCCCATAAGGCTTCATCCCCAACCTCACGGGCTTTGACGCGTGGAACTTCACGCCATGCACTTGATCGGCCACGACCTCTCCCATTTGTCGGTCCGAAATCAAGCCGACGTACATCCAGCACTCTGTCCCCCGGCTTCAAAATGGAAGACGTTTTCTGGGTATTCCTCGACTCGGCTCGCCTGCGACATGGCTGGCTCGATGGGAGTTCAATCAAGACGAGCACTCCACAGCGTCGAACAACAATGCAGAGTAAAAAACTCACAGGCGATCAGCGTGGACTCTAAAACACTGGGGTTATGACGTATGGATCAATTTTGCTTCTGTCAGGGCAAACGGATGCTCGGACTGGCACTCCGCAAGACATAGCCCCTGTAAAATTTATCACTCTCAGTATCCTACAATACTGTGGCGAACAATTACCTAAGGGATATGTATGGTCTTGTTTTGTTGCCTAAGCCTTGTCTTCCCGTTTGTGGGATACAATGTCGTCCTAGGTTCTCCAAGGCGCGCCGCTTTGCCGCAGCAGCCGGCGAACCGAAGCTAATGGCATTGGGTGGTCCTGTAAGTGCTGTTTCTTGTCCGACAGATGGTATTTCATTCTCTGAGAGGGCCTCTGAGTCATCTTTCCCGCCATTTGATGGTAGGTTCTTGCGACCGTCCTGCCGCGACGCCATAGAGCATGTTGCACCTCCATGGGATTCTGCACGGTGCGAGGTCACACCTGGTACTCGGCTGACCCCCATGAAAACGCCGTTTTCATCTGACTTTCTACCAGAATCAGGCATTAGGACCGGGAGAATATGTGGACTCTTGTGAGGACAGACAGAACTGTGTGGGGGACAGTGCCTCACAACGTTACAACCACGGGGTACAGTTGGTTTAACTTTAAAGGGTTCGATGCAAGGAGGTGTAGGGCCCACTGTGCATCAGTTACTTCAGTTGCGGGCAAGTAATTTGGCCCAGAGTTTCGTTTGGTTCTTCACCACGTCTCTGGAGTGACGGCAGCGCGCCCCCAGCCATGGAACGATCCCTCTACTGTGCTTTAGCATGAAAACAAGAACCACATATATACATAGCTCACAAAAATATACAAGAATTTCAACAGAAGACACACAAAATACTTGGGAAGTTCGCAAGGGCACTCTCCGCCCGCCAGCCCCAAGTCATACCGGTGGGCAGACCACTGTGCAGTCTCCGCTGTTTCATTCAGAGAGGCTACTAAGCGATTCAATTGAAGTCTTGCTCTATTGTTTTTAATAAAAGACGCTTTGTAGAACTTGAGAACTGCTTGTTTTGATGATGGGAGCAAGTGCCGCGATGGTGTCGCCCCATGCCTTGATATCGCCCGCGGCAATCGACCTTCCTACAGAGCTATTTGGCTAATGAAATAGGATCAGCCGCAGGCCTTGTAAAATGGCCAGCCAAAATTCAAGTGTTTTATTGACTGAGGAGGCGTGAGGAAGGGTGCCTCGCCGAATACTCAAAGACACGGCATCGATGTTCGCAGGGTGATGCTGGAAAAATGTGGCATGCAGACTGAAGACTTGAAAACCTCTAGGACAGCTGGCCATTTTTAAAAGTACGGTCTAATTTTGAGAAGAATAAAGTGTTGCCTCCTAAGAGGAAAGAACTATCTGGGCGACGCCTGTAACCAAGACCCTCTATTCTCGTGCTCACCGTCCGCTCTCTGAACAAAACTCCCGACATTGATTCTACACTGCGTTTCTCCTGATATTTCGACCTTTTTGATGGGCTTTTGGAAGTACGTACTCATAATCGCGCTGCCCCTGCTGATCATCGTAGCCACTTGGAATACTGTTGCATGTGCTTTGTACGGTCTAAAGTGAGAGAAAACTTCCGCGACTCCGCCGTTACTAGGCGGATTAGGTAGAATAATATTGCAATGAAATGTCATGATGGCCACGCTGCTGTCCATACAGCGCAACACAAATGCCTAGTACAACATGACAGCTGAAGTCTTTTTCAAACAATGGCTAGTCTGATCCGCAGCGTCAGGGATCTGGCTGGAAACAGGAACCATACTACTCTGTGCAGCTCATACTTACCCCGTAACGGGGAGAATATGAGTACCGAGTAGTACGTGCAAACAAGCACACGTATGCAGGCGCCACAATACACTGCAAAAATATGCCAGGGACAGAGCACAGTGCTGTAGTTACGGCACGCTGCAAACGGCACGCGACATATGTCACAAAAAATTGGCAAGACCAAACGGCGGTACATGCAAACGCGGATAAATATGCGTAAAACCTAGTGCGTGTATACGCGCAAATGCACTGCTGCACTTAAAACAAGTGGACAAGCACACGTAAAAAAGCTGGACACACGGATGTACACGCATATAAGACCGAGTCTAGTCAGTCTCTGCAGCCACTAGCTTAGGATCAAGTCATCTGTTTCTTGGACGCTAGGAGAAAACAATGAAAACCAGGTGTGTGGCGTGGCCTGGCTGCTTGCACAGCTGAGGCTGGTGCGGCTCGAGCATTCGAATCCAACAAAACGCAGAATTGCATATATAGGCCTCAGCACTGTTTGCAATAGAAACCACTGCACCGTTGGTCTAGTGCTTTGGCGGCTAAAACTGCTGTCGTTTGCTTGACGCGATGCCCCTGGCACAGATGTTCTCTGATGGAGTAGTTGCTTGGATCAGGGGATCGCCCTCCAGCACCTCGAGGCGCGTCTGATGGAGCGGCGGCACCTGAAGGTAATACAGAAGCTACACGCTGGCATTTGGTGGCAGGGGATTTATATGTGTTTAGGTTTGTCATGGGCCTCTGGTCTTCAGTAGAAGAGCCAAAACCTGCAGGGTGTATGGGCGACCACCACCGAGAAAGACACAGCCCATCAGCTGCTGTAGCCGAAGAAATCGTTAAGAACGACGATCATGGCAGATATGGAGAAGCCTCACAACTCACCCATAAGATGGCCCTGAACCGAGAGGAGTTGTTGACGTGTTCGTTTTCCAGCCGAAGTACAACCCACTGCAACAGCACCCCCCACAATTCTTAGTTGTGCTTGCGGGTTTTGATTGCTTGCCTTTTGGAAAACGGCGAAAGCAAGCCGTGTGGAAAAGTCGAGACGAGTGAGTGCTGCTGCAAGATGTCAGCTAGCTAGATATGACTGCAGACGGCCTACCGCTCCTCGTCTCATGATTTCAATAACGGAGATAAACAACAATACCAAGTTGCCGCTTAAGGACTGTACAGACAGGACAGCAACACACGAATATGCTTGTCGAGCCTGTCCAAAGGATATGCGCGAGGTGCATTCCTATGGTTTGTATGCGTAGACTTGTAGTTCTAGGTTTTCTAATGCTGCTGCTGCCGTGAGTGTTTGTGCAGGTCCTTTCTCCACCTTGTTGCCGACAAGGGAAATTGGCATTAGGGTCATTGCCCACGTCAGTCGGCCCATCTGCTCAGAAATCGCACAGAAATAGCGCATGCACTACTGCGATACCACTGTGCAATGCAGGGACTTTGCGAAGGCCCACTGTACATGGCTCAGCCCGCAGGCGCTTCAGACTTTTGGCTAAACCCCATACTACTGACACTGAACGCTCGGGTTCATGCGCCGGCACTCAGTTACCACCTCATGGTAAGCCCATCCAACTACGAATCGAAGGCAGCAAAGACCCCACGGTTATGCCATCTCATGCACTGCCACAAGAGACATCCAGGAAATGCCCACCAGCCAGTGGAACGCAGTTATGCCTCTGGCCAGCGGGGCAATGGAGACTTAGCTAAAGATAGTTTTGCGTAAGAAAATTGACGGCCGCTGTCGTACAGGTGTCTGCACTGCGGCGGAGTCTCCATATTCTCTTCGCCAGCAAGTAAAAAACAAGCGTGCGCAGTTAACACTGAACGCGCAAGGCAATTCAGTTCATTTTTTTCCTTTCATTAGAGCCCCCAAGAGTTAGAAATGACGCTTCAAAACTTACTGCATTTGTCACAGCGATGGCACCGTAGATCCACGTTGGGTACATCAGGCGGCCTTGCATGCTGCACGGGAAACAAAAAAGAGATGCGCAGAGGCAAACAAAAAAGATGTACCCAAGAAGCTAGGTATTCACTTGATCTCTATAGTGTACACAATAGCAGCGCACGATGTCCCCTCTGCCAGTCTTTAAATACACCGAAAGCCTCTCGCACGCGGATCCTTGAGCCTAGAGGCTCTTCTGCAACTAGTACACCTCACATGTTCTTCCTTGTGCTGCAGCACCATTAAAGATTGAATATGGAGCCTATATGCAACTAGCCAGCCGCTGTTACATAATGTGGCACACGGCAATGCATTTACCGTATGAATCGATCCGGGGTTGGCAGGAGGCCCCAGTCCACCCGGACATCCCAGTACAGCATAAAGAGAGAGCCCAGACAATAAGAGAAGACCCACAGAAGACACATGGCGTACACGCTCACACCTAAATCCAGCCTGATGTGCGTAGGCAAAAAGTTCACAAAAGGCAGGCAAGAAATAGCTACGACATAGATTATATGCCGGGAAACAGATGTTGTGCAATCAGACTACTGGATGACTATAGGAGCCTCCCTTTACTTCTCTTGCCCACAGTCACAAGAGCATTCATGTCTGCGTGCTCTACATCATTTACGCAGGGAGGTATACACGATAGGCGGATGTGATCGAGAAAACAACCATGCTGGCGCGCTACATGTTCGTTTACCAAGGGACGTTTGTCGTGATTAATACTAAAATGCCACAAGCATATTTTGCCATGTTCATCAGGTGAATTAGGCCACCTCCGGGCTCCGCTCCCCTAAACCTGCAGATCCACAAATGTGGCAGTCTCCCAGAGAGGAGATGAGGGCTAATTTTGAAGATGGAAAGACGCAGCAAGTACCAGGCCAGTCCTACAGCCAAAGTAGTGCGAAAAAATTCCGCAAGCTTTGTTTCGCTAGCTGCACACCTCATGGATCTCTAGTAGAGAGTAACCTTGGTGCCAGCTTAAGTTCAAAATAAAGACAGAAGACTAAGAAGCTCAGTGCAGGCAATCGCACTCACCTGATGAAGCACTGGCACAATCGCAGGTAGAACGGTAGACCCAGCAGGACAGGCCTCACTAGTGAATCTCCTGTAGAAGTACGTGCAGCAGCAGTAAGGCAAAAACAGAAGATAAGGAAAAAGACGCTATCAGTGGATGCCCTTCAACAGCGAGCCACCCGTGGACAAACGCATGAGTAAACAGGAATCTCACAAAAAGCACTGGAGCACCCACCGTAACACTGTGCAGGGCCAGTGTTGTCCATCCCCTTGCTGCAGCATCACAGAAACAGAAGCATATCATGTGCTCAGCCGAGATATGGTGTGCCTCCATGCTATAGGCGTTGGTTCACAGGCAAACAGAAGAAGCTATTTGAAACCGCAGCACACAATCAGTGAATCCACGGACCCTGGTAAGGGCACGAACTGCAGAAGCAGCAGCCGCATACCTCAAGTAGCAGGCAAGGTACTGCAGGTCACCCAGAGGCTTGGCAAGTGAGGTAAGGACGTCCCCAATTATGTTTGCCACAAGCTTCACGTCGCGTACAGTAAATACACTGAGACCACAGCATCAGCAGCAAAAACGGCAAAATTTCGACGGGAAAGCATGCGGAAATGCGAGTGCAGAATATTGTCTTCGAAAATAGACAGCTGTAGGACACTTGCAATGCTAGTGTCTGGCCGCCAGCTGCTGGTCGCTCTAATGGCAGATAATGCGCTCACCCAGCCTTCAACACTGTGAAAAATGCCCCAAGCACTTGCCGACGAGCTTTATACGTCAATGCACGCGAAGGGAAAAGAAGTAGAAGAAGCTGCAACAAGAGGAGACCTAAGGGATAGAAATGGTACCTGAAGCAGTCGCATACCCAGCACCAAAGACTCTACCAGGGTCATTAGCTTCGTCGTGCTGCTGAGTGATCATGTGCAGTGTCGTGCTGCTTTTGGCTGTCCCTGGACGTGAAGTAGCTCCTGCTGTTGTGCCATGTCCCAGATGCAACTTCCTATTTTTACACAAAGTGGAAAATCACTACTGTCACTCGAGCTGAAAAGGCTGCACTAGCTGTTAGAGCAGTGGCACCCTACATCTGGCCGTCACCCAGGAGATGGAGCTTGGAGTCTGCAAGGTAAAGAGCGCAGGTGGCAGTCGTGAGGACGAAGTGCAACGCTGCCGTGCAGAAGAATGACACACTGGACGTCTGCCCCCTTGGCGCTAAGTCCAATAGAAAGCTGCAGCAGAAATAGCAGGCCAGGAAATTCTCTCTAAATGCATGTATTTTCCAAGTCGCCATGCGCAACAAAAAGCGCCGAAGGAAGATTGAATTCGGCACATGCCTGACTCGTAGCTCGTCATTCTCGTCACTGGCTTTTTTCAGACAATGTGCGTACATAAAAAAAGTCAGTGTGCAAGTATGCAGATAAACGCATCAGATATATAAACCCATGATCTATAAAGACATGACGAATGCAAGTACATCACATGAAGTCTCAATGCATCAGACGGCGTTGTGAATATCGGGGTGTGTGCGCATTAGTTGCTAGTGTTCATAAACAATCTAGACTGTAGATATACCAGTAGTTGACGCCGTATCGCTCCATCACGGCCATCGCAGACGCGGTGGAGAGCCATATGAAGGACCAAGCGAAGGCCAGTCTGAGGAGGCAGGACCGAGAATGGCCGACACGCACAAGAATTTATGAAGGGAAAAACAAAGAGACTCAATGATACACGCAGTGCACTTGGCAAGGGGCGCCTCTTCACCTGAAAAGGGGAAAGACAGCCATCAAGCCCTCGTAGTCAAACGATTTTGAGGGAGGTACCGGCATGAACAGCAACGCCGTCGTCAGCAAAAGAAGGACCGAAAGGCACCCAGCCAGGAACGACACCCTAACCTCTTGCCTGAAGTAAGCGCCCTAAGAATGGCACAGAATGCAGCGACACATGGACGCAAATACACATCAAAGGCCAACAGGTTAAACTGACTGCAAGCTCTTGCAGGCCTCCTGGAGGCAGCTCACAGTCTAGCCACCAGGGGAGAGGCAGCCAGAAGACAATAATGACATTAGAACGTGACACAAGAGTGGGCTCAACAAAGTGAGTACTAGTCTGAATCGTCCACATGCTAATATACCCCTTATCCCTCCAGCAATTTACTCTCTACGGAGTTTCTGGCACACGGCACATGGCGTCGCGCTATATGTTGCGAGTGAGCAAAGGCACAGAAGAACATCACGGGGTAGATATGCCCTGTTATAACAAGACAGAAACGGGGAGATGAGAACAACAGAAAGGTTAAACAAGAGACACAATCAACGACGAAAACGTAGAAAGCTAGAGATGACGTATTGCATTGCACTGGCCGCTTGTCTTACCCCTCCAGAGAGATCTTCATGGGCCCTCAGGGGCAGCACCTCGAGAGATAATTCCGAATCCTCTCCAGCCACGTGGCGGTAGAGGGCTCTAGCTGCCCGCTGCACCGTAGAGAAAAGGAATACGGGCAATATAATGCGAAAAAAAGCCACTGAGTGCAGGGGGAAGAGGAAGAAACGGCGAAGCCAGACACGGTAAACAGCAACAGAGACTGCAATAATTGTCACACAAACTGTGGTGAAACGGGATGAGGCATACTGAAAAACACACAACGAGACGACAACTGAAGGTGCTACAAAACTCGCCCCAGAAAGGGAAAAGACGAGTACCCGAAAAGCGATAAGCCACGAAAACACCAACACACGCAAAAAAGGCGAAGCCGAGGCAGCTAGTGATGCAAGCATACCCGCAAATGGCTATGCAGCAAACATACAGGCAAAAAAGAAGATACAAATGCCCAAAACTGCCAAAGAAGCTGAATGAACAAAAGCAACAATCGTTCTGTTCTTGCAGAGCCCTTCTCACCTTCGTCTTGGGTGGTATGCGTATCTGCTGATTGAAGAAGGCGGTAATTCTTTCAAAGTCCTTAACTGCTGTCCCTTTAGGGAGCTGCAGCTGTTTATCTCTCTTCTTTAAGGCTTTCCACAGAGCCAACAGGTTTAGCCGTCTGTACACCTCAAGCTTCTCCAACGTGTCCAGCAGCAGCAGCAAGATGCGCTCCAGCCGACGCAAGTACGCAGCGTCCTGAAGGCCCCGCAGACGCAAAGCAGAAAAAACGAATATTCGGAGGAGAAAGTGCGCGGTTACGCGAGAAGCGAAAGGACATGACTAAGAGAAAATAAGGAAAAAGGAAAAATCAGGAAGTTGAGACGCCCTGTTATCCACAGAGACAGAAACAAAAGTAAGCAGCAAAAGCGGGCAACCGAGAGCAAGAGAAAATGAAACACAAAAGTATCACGGCCAGACTGTGAGGTTAGTACACATGTAGGATGGAGCTACTCGGCCAGGTGATTCGAAGATGAAGACGAAGGATCAGTACAATAGGACGCAAATGCCAAGCACCAATAACTAAAGCGGCACAAATGGAAGCGCGTAAGAGAGGAAGACAAACAATGTGAATCGGAAAGGGAAAGAAGAAATGCGAACGAATAGAAAGCTGAAAACGAGGGGAAAGGAAGGTTTGGGTGACCTCTGATTTCGCTTCGTCTTCTGTCGAGAGGCTTGAGGCATTAAACGAGAACGGATAATTCGGCCTACTCACTTGGCTGTTGGTGCCTTTATCTTCACTGCTTCCAGCAGCAACAGCAACCACACCAGCAGTATGTCCAGCACCGGCAGCAGTAGCTTGCGCTGACTCATTCCGGCCCACACTTTCTTTACCCTCTGCTCGCAAAGACGACAATCGCCGCCTCCGCGCTGCGTTAAAGGCCTTAAGCTCCATAGTGACTGCCTTCAGCTTGTCCTCCAAAAAACCCAATTCATCCCCTGAGATCAAAACGCGTAAATAATTGAGACGATCAGCTGGTGGGGCTGTTCCAAGGTCTGTCTCTGGCGCTCCTGCAGCAGTTGCCCGCCTTAAAGTCATTCAGGCTGCTGCTGCACTTGACGGTAGCGTTGCTGCAGTTTTTACTGTTGTTGCTTTCGTCGTTCATACAGACTGCGTTGCAGCAGGTGCAGAAAATGTCAGGGCTCCTAAAAGTTCAAGAAAAGTTGCAATGGCTGTTTGCTCAGGTTCGGCTTCCTCGCTAGGCAAAATGCGGCAGCAAATAGCGGCCACTGATGCTGCAGTGCGTAGGGCTTGTCTACAATGCCCCTATATCTGCTTCAGCCGCTCCTGTTTCTGCTAGCCTCTAAACCTACTGAAGAAATTCGCCACTTTCGTCTTCTCTTTTTCAATTGCAGCGCTAAAGGCCGCAACGCAGTTGGCCCTTAGCGTCTCTTCTTTATTTGCAGGTCCCTCAGGCTGATCGTCTGCAGCAGTACCTAAAGAAATACTGCGGTGGTCTTGCTGCGACGGCTGTTTCTGGTGCTGCTGCTGCTGCGTATCCTGCAACAATGGTTCTTTAAGACGACAGAAGCCTTGGAGCCTCGTTTGCTTGTTTGCTGCCGGAGCCACGCGGGAACCCGGGGGACCCACAACTGCAGGGAGCGGAAGACCTGAGGGGAGACCAACATCACGAAATAGCAAGAGTGCGTTTCCAAAAAGACAAAGTTTCTGAAGGCTTTATGCATGCAGGCAAAGAAAGCTTGCTAGCCACAACTGGCACGCCCAACAGCAGAATTTGCATGCACCTGCTGTTGCTTTTCTAAGATAAAGTACAGATGCGCTAATTGAATGAAGGGTGTACGGAAAGACATGCAAAAAGAACGCAAGCGTGCCCCTAGTCAAAGCTCTGCAGTTCTAGTGTTTGTAAATTAAGATTTGCATGGAGCTTTCTACTTGCAAAGAGAAGGAAATGCAACAAAACAGAACAAGACACAAAAGGAGAGGCCACGAGCCAGCTAGGGGAAGCTGAAGCACGTACTTGCCCCATCTCCCGCGTTTGAGGCCTTCTCAGAAGACGGGCTTCGACAGGCAAACAGAACACAGGCGCAGAAAGCACGCGACGCTGCTGCTGCTGCTAAAAGTATTCAGCAGCAGCACAAACAACAGCAGCACCGTGGGCTGCAGGTGCCGCGGGAAGCAGCAGCAGTAGCAGCGGAGGACTTTGAGAGAGAAAGTACACCGAGTGAGCATTTGCAGCAGCTGCAACTCCTGCTGCAGATGCAAGGTGTTGCAGCGCAAGTCTCACTGCCAGCTTGTTGGAAACAGTTTCGCCAGGTATCCGGGAGCATCGGATGTTTCTATCTTTTTCTTCTGCTGCTTCAACAGCGCCTTTAGACAAGGATAGTCCACATAATGCTGCTGCCACTCGGGCACTGCGTAGCTGCGGAGCTTCGCTCCAAACTTCATCTTCAGTCTTCGCTTAGATCGGCAAGCCTAAACGTTCAGTGGTGCTGCCGAAGCAGCTGCTGCAGCAACTGCTGCTGCAGCTTGGCCTGCAGCTTGGCCTGCAGTCCGTGGTGCAGCTTGCGCTGCAGCTGCGGCTACAACCTCTGCTGCAGCTTGTGCTACAGCTGCGACCGAAGCCTATGCTGCAGCTCCTGCGGCGACTAGGCCTGCAACCTGCACTAAGATTGGCACTGCAGCCTTTGCTGCATCTTGTGCTGTGGCTTTTGCTGCAACCAGGGCTACAGCTTGCGCTGCAGCTTCGGCTGCAGCCCCAGCTAGCTGGTTCTGCAGCTTCCGCTGCAGCTTTTGCTGCAGCTGCACCGCAGAAAGGGCTGCAACCCGTGCTGCAGTGTTCGCTGCAGCTTGCTCTACAGCGAAGACTTCAACTTGTGCTGCAGCGTGCTGTGCAGCGCCTCCAGCAGCGTATGCTATTGCAGCTGTCTTTGTAGAAGCTGTTCCAACGTATGGGGCCTTAAATTCAGCAGCCATGCCGCTGCAGCTGCTGTTGATATTGCTACAGCTGCAACAGGAGCTGCAGCTGCTGCTGGCAGTCGCGCGAACAAGATCGTAGGTGGCCGCTCGTTGCTGCCACTGTGCTGAGAGTGGGGAATTGAGTTAAGTTCTAGGGCTCATCTGCTGCAGTCACTGCCTAGCAGGTTTTCCAGCTGCCACTGCTGCGCGGGTCGTCCCTGCCTGTGTTCGGCTGTTGCTGCTGCTATTCCTGCGGCAGCAGCTGATGCGGCTGGTAGTCCTAAATGACTGCTGCAGGAGCTCCTGCTGAAACGGCTGCTATTGCAGCTCCAGCTGCTGGCGTCATCCGTTGAACAAAAAGACGCTAGTGCTAAGCAGCAGAAGCGATACAGCTGGTGAGGCCACTAGGAGCAGGCGGCAACATCCGCACAGCAACCGAAAGGCCCTGGCTCTTCAAATGTCGCCAGAACTAAGGGTGCACCTGTTGCTGTTGCGGATGTTTCTTCAGGCACCGCTGCCGCTGCTGCTGCTGCTGCCGCTTGAGGTTCTGAAGCAGCTGTGGAGTCATGGGCGCCAAAAAGATCCGCTCCAGCGCCACAGGAGACGCAATGAATCTCCCTACATGCAGATAATGGTATTTTACCGTCAGAAATGCAATAACACCATTTTACCATAACACAGCCAATACACACATTGCACTGGTCCGCTGGGAGGCCCCCCGGGGCCCCACTGGCCCCCCTCCAGCCAAGATGGTTGTACAAAACGTTGTTTTTAAGGCAGGTCATTTTGGCACTTTCATTACTTTTTCTCAACTTCTTCTTGTTTTTGTTCATTTTAGAGAGTTCCGGCCAAGAGAAACTGCGCACATAAAGACGCGATGAACGGAACAAGTTCGTTGCTTTCCAAGATGCGCTGAAAGGCACCAAGTCCAATTTTGTGGAAGGCTTAACGTTGTACACGCCACAGTAGTTAGCTCTAACGTAAACGGCAGGCAATTGATTTATAATCCACCTATGTGAATGGAAGAATAGCATGCTTTGGGGCAAGAGGTGGCAAAGGAGTGACGCAGATGCTGCTTATGTTACTGCCTACCTCGATATCCGCCTATGCTTAACAGCGCCATGGGATTCAGGTCAGAACTTTCCCATGCAGACCTCAGGTACCACAGAAGCAAGTTGTGTGGAGACTCAAAATATATTCAAGCATTAATTGGTTTTCTGCAGGACAAACCTGCTCCCCCATGCGAACGATGCTCATGGCAACAACGGTTAAGGGAAAACCAGGCAGACAACAGGTTCTCACACACAGTGAGGGACCTGAAGGCTTCTGTATAATCTTGGGCAGCTACTTTGGCATCCGGTTCAGTCCTGTTCAGCTCATGTGGGCAGGCTCCATACTGCACCCCAGCTCTCTTCCCAAATTTTCGAAGGAATAGAGCTTCATGCGTGCGCAATTTTCGGTCCTTTTGCAGTCCTTGTCTTTCCTTTGGCACTCAGATTGCAGGGTCTTCTCAATCTTAGCAGCTAGCAGTTTAAGTCTGTTGGGCGAGAGGCTCCGCAGACTCAGCAAAAGCTCCTTAACTGAATATTCTACTCAATGAGAGCTGCTAATATGACCGTAGACAGAGCTGAACCGGCGCAAATACAAAGTTAGCTGTATTTCCTCAGGCGATTCAACAGCTTTGGGCACTGGGCATGCAGGCCACTTGGTTGCTTCGTAGTCCAATTTATTTGTAGAATGTCTTAAAATGAGAGCGTTGAGATGCAGCAAGCAACCAATGCTCCGTGCATAGGGTAAAGGAAGCGCGCTTTGAACACCTGCTGTTAGTGAGCCACACTGCGCTGTTGCACTTTCCCATCTTGCATTCGCTTTACATGGCCCACCAGCATCTTCAATCGCAGACTGGTGCTTCCATTTAGCTGTTTCAGAGCGCAACAAAACAGTTAAGGCAGCCAACTTGCTGGGCTGGGCAGCAGAACGTTGCCCAAACGTTTGGAGTCATTTAGAATCCCAACGCAGTAGTGCTTTCAACCAAATGCTCCTGGCTGTTGTGCACCTTACTAGCTTCCAGAAGAGTTCCAAAGATTACATTACTTCTTCCCTTTTTAGGCTAACCGCGGCGGGTTCACCACGGCGGTGCAACCGGAGGTGCAACGCGTGCTGCTTCGATTCAGGTGTGTTGCTTCCCTGCTGCTGCAGAGCTCTTTCTCTTCTGATTCATGGGCCTATTAAAACCCCTCTCAGGTCCCATCGGGTGAAGAGACATTAAATCTCCCTTGTCCTTCCATTTTAGAGACACGGGAAAGCAGACATGCGGCGAAGCCAGTAAGAAAACGACGCTTCCCCTCGCGAAAGAGACCTCATTGTCCTGGACCCACTTCTCACGCGTTTGTCTTGCTCCATTAGGGTCCACAGCAACTGGCTGTGAGGTTTGTGTACAAAGGTTTCAATACTTAGGCACTTAGAGTCAAATTATTGTTGTGGCTTCACGCAAATGGGGCAACGCCCAAACAGAGGAACAAACAAACAAATTGAGAATGCTACACTGCCCAAGAAATTCAAATGAATCGGGAAGCAAGAAGCCAGACAGGAATAGAGGAAAGCGAACGAACAACTGATCACACAACAACGCAGGCACACTTAGACGCAAGGACCCCGAAGAAAAAAGGGAGAAGGACGGGTTAACTTACAGCAAGACCGCACTGTGGTGCTCGCTAAACTGGGAAACATTGATTTCCCATACATTTCCCGATACTGCGGCTCTTGCTAAAGGCACACTCTGAGTGGAACTACAAAGCTGCACCTGGAAACACCAAGTCGCACCAGCTCCCCTAAGGATTATGCTTGTCTACCGAGGCAACGCAATGACGCTATGGCCCTGCGACTCTTCAGTTTTTGCCTCTTAAGGGCAAAGGAGGAAAATATTGGCATGCCCGTGTAGCTCTTCACTACTTCTCTCCAGCATGCATATCTGTGTCTTGCTGTTTCGTCTGTGCTGATTTGCCCACTCTGGTGAGGGCTCCTAGCAAAAAGTCGTTACTTAGTATAATACAGAATAGAAATGAACAGAATAGAGAAGAGCGATGCGAGAGAAAATAGCCACACACAACCGCAGACCAACCACAGACCGCCCGGCTTCTCACCCTCACTGAATGGGAGGTGGAAGATTGCCCGTAAGCGAACATCTGCATTACATATAATTCGAATGACAAGATATTTCGAAATTCATCTGCCTTCTCCTTATTCACTCAAGTTTGCGCATGGGATATGCCTGTGCAGCTGCTGCGAGCAGCAGCATTGGGATCAGCGGCGACGACACTGGGGGCCCCAAGGCGCCTTGAGTAGCTGCTAGGGAGCGAACGTACGAGGGAAGCAGAGTGGTGGGATGTTTAACGCGTAAGGTTTCAAATTGTATCACTCAGTGTATTCTGTTACTGCTTTCGCTGCCGGTGCTGCGTAGGCTGCTGCCACTGTTGCCGCTCGTGAGACGCTGGCAGCGCTCATGGCGTGCTGGGACTTAAGTCGGCTGCAGCAGCGGCCGTTGCTGCTACTGCTGGTGCTGCTAAAACTATGGTTTATACAGCAGGAGCTGGTGCTGCTCCCGTCATCAGCGGAAGCGGCTGCTGCCGCCGATGCTGCTGGCGGCGCTGCTGAATTGCCAGCCGATATGCCGCGAGGCCCGCCTCCCAAGACAATGGAGAGGCATCAGAGTTCGCTGCCTCTGCTACAGCAGCACACTTTGTTCATAATAGACAACGAGCCGGTGGTGGAGTCGCACATAGTGAGCAACCTGCTGCACCAGCTGCTGTTCACGCTGCAGGTGCCGCAAGAACACGTGCGGCTGCGGGATGAAGCGCTGCTGCTGGATTCCCCCAGCCAGCGGCAGCAGGCTCTTTCTCTCGGGCGGTGGCTGGCGGCTGAGGCAGCCTCGATGTCGCCGGAGATTCAATTTGTGTTTTTCTGCTCTGCGTACACCCGCCTCAACCCCTCCACTTTCGAGGCTCTGCTTCGGGAACTGCAGCAGCAGACACAGGGGCCCCACTGGGGGGCTTTTGCAATGGGCTGGGGCCTGTCAGACCCCCAGCCCACCATAATACATCATTTTGCTGCTGCTCAGTCCCAGGTTTATCCTCACCTCGACGCAGGCACTCTTTGGTCCCGCCCGGCGTTTGAAGCAATCAAAAAGGCATATACTGAGGAGCCTCCTCCAGAGGGAGTCGAGCGTGACTTCATTTACGAGATGTCGGTGCACCTGAAAAACACGCAGCAGCTGCAGCTGCTGCATTCCGAACTCTTCTGCCCCGTACCTCCCGCTGTAGACAATTACGAACGAGACCTGCAGCCTTACCCCCCAAACCACGTGAGGCCTACCAAAGTGGCAGGGGCTGAGGCTGCTGCAGCAGCGAACAAGCGGCAGCTATCTGCTGCTGAGCGCGCAGCAGTTGCTGCAGCAGATATCACAGCCATCATTCACAAAGACTGCGTAGCTTTCAACAGCGGCAACAGACACGGCCCCGTCCTTTCTCACCAAATATTCGACGCTCTTATCGATTTCGACGAAGAACTCATGGTGAGCCTCAAACTCTAAACCCTAAACCCCCACTCCCGAGCCCTCAGCTGTGGGCAAGCGCTACAGCATCAGCGTGTGCAGCAGCAGCAGCGTATGCAGCAGCAGCAGCGTGTGCAGCAGCAGCAGCTGCAGATTCGCATTTAGGGCACGGTGAAAGCTTCTAAGCCAGACAAAAAGAAGGCCTAAAGAAGCACAGGCCAGAGGGAATCTCGTTTTGCAGAGGACAGTCTGCTGCTGCAGCAGACAGCTACCTGCCGTTCGCTGCTGCAGCAGACAGTGTTTCTGCAGCAGGCGTTCGCTGTGGCTTGTTCCTTGTGTTTCTTTTGACTTTGCGTGCAAGTTTGCTGCCGGTGTGCTGGCTGTTCAGATTAAAAGAGATTTTTTGTCAGAAAAGTTCACAGCGGAGGAGAAAATGGCGGATGGCGGCAAATACCAAAAGGCTCTTGAGGAGCTCGAAAAGTCCCGGCCTGCCTTTATAGTCGAGCCCCAGGTCTGTCTGCGGCTTGGCCTCTGTCTTTATTCTTTTTTTCCTATTTCCTCTTTGTTCTTGTGCTGCTGCTGCGCTTTTGTTTTTACCACTTCCCGGCTTCCTTGACTTCTCGCGGATCTAGCGTTCTTCTCTTTTCTCCACAATTTCGTTTCTTTTCTGCAAGTTCACGATGATTTGTTCTTTTTTATTTTTCTTTCTTGCCTCGGGTCCCTAAGCCAGTCAGTTCTGCTGCAGCGCCGGTTGCCAGACTCCATGGGGGCCCCTCGGGGCAACTGTTGTCTCAGGCGCATTTCGGCTTCACGGCGAAGCCGCCTGCCTCTGCTCCTGTGTCTGTCTTTCGGTCTCGAGTGGCGTCTTTCAAACACTTCTGTTTGTGTGGATTTTTGTGTAGCCTGTCCTGCGTCATTTCGGCTCTTGTTTGTTTGTTTGTTTCTCTTTTTCGGCACTTCAGCCACCATCTTTTTGCCGTTTTGTGGTGCTACCGCCTTTGCTGGTCTTCAGCCCTCTATCCCTTCAGCAGCTGCTGCGCCTGCGACTTTTGCTGCTGCTGTGTCCGTTTTGCTTCGCCCAGGATGTCATGGTGGCCGTCAAGACCCACTCCGGGAGCCACTCTTCGCGGGTGCCTTTGCTGCGCCGTCTGTGGGCGTCTCGGGAGGTTCTGCTGGAGCAGGCGAAGCGGCATCTCGGGGCGGAGCACTACGCGCATTTGCAAATGAACAAGGAGGAGTTGAAGCAGCTCACAGAGGCCTACGACGCCCTCAGCATTCGTTTCTTTTCAGACACTGCTGACCCTTCTCTAGATATCGAAGTGCTGGACTTGCCCGGAAAACCCGCCCCAGAAGGCAAGCGCGGCCTCTGCGTTCGCCTGCAGGCTCTTCTTAAGGAGTTTCTGGCGGCTCCTGCGGGTCGCCGCTTCCTAGTGGTGACAGACGACGACACGCTGCTGAACTTCAGGCATCTTTTGGATCTGCTTTCTCTCACTTTGCAGCCCCCGATTCCGGCCCGTAGCTTCCTGGCGAATCTCCTTGCAGATGACCAGGGCTACAGGGCGTACGCTCCGCCCTACAAGCGTCTCGCAGAAGAGATAAGAGCCCACTTGCAGAGGCGCGCTGTAGCAGCAGCAGCAGCAGCAGCAGCAGCAGCCAATCCCGTGGCAGCAGCCACACCCGCCAAAGACAGCCGCTACACCCCCGAGCAACTCACAGCGGCCTCACACCTGTACGGCAGGGGAGGCCCGCGGCCTCTAGAAGCCGTCTCGCCGCTGTACTTGGGAGAAAGATATGGCTACGGACTCAGTGGGGGCAGCGGCGCGGGGGGCTACGAGTATGTAACCATGGGGGGTGGCATGGTGCTGGACAGAGCAGCAGCAACTCTATTGGTGCAGTGCGTGGACAGCGGCCACTGCAGCTGCCCCGAAGACGGCACGGCCGACGACATGCTGCTGGGGCTGTGGGCGCATCGCGTGCAGCTGCCGCTGCTGCATGCAAGAGGAATGCACCAGGAAAGGCCCGCGGACTACCACCCCCTTTTGGTCGAGGCAACCACCCCGGTGTCTTTCCACCGAATGCTGCAGTCCGTCAAGGGCACCAAGAAGATCTTCGACGACTACGTTGACGTCGGAGACTACAGCAGCGGCCAATCCAGCAGCGGCAGCAGCAACAGCAGCAAGAGCGGCGGGCTAGATGAACTGATAGAGGTGGACTGGATCGACTACGACTGGCACCACGCAGAAGAACACCGGTGGCTAGAAAAGGAAGAACTGCACGAAATTGACCAGGAGGATCCACTGCTACCAGATGGCATAGGAGATCTCTTGAACCGAAAAGTGAAAAGAGGCACTAGACCCATGACGCCTGAGGAGCTGCTGGAGCATGAGGAACTCGAGGAAATGCATTCTCTTCACGATGAACTCTAAACCTTTTAAACCATTTCTATATTTAGACTTTGTTCCTGGAGCAAGCGCGGAATTTGCTCTTGAAAAGCTGCAAGACACAGCGCGCGAACGACGAAGCTGCAGCTCCACACTAGGCAGCTCTGGCCGTACAGTCTGCCTCTAAACTATAGGCTTTCCTGAGTTGATCTGCAACCATAACACTAAACTCGGTGGAAAGCAGAGCCTGGATCTCGAAACTAGGCATGCATCCTTCGTGCCCACGATGGTTGGAATGTTCCTGGAATGAGAGGCTCTACAAGTGCCTCACTGGCATATTTCTGGGACATTTCAAAGGACGCGTTGGCTGCAGCAAGCGCTGCTGCGTCGGCAGCAGCTGCTGCAGCAGCAGCTCTTACAGCTGCAGCTGCCACAGCAGTCAGCAGCTGCAGCAGAAGGTGGATTCGATGGGTGCTGGTGCACATCACACGAAACGTTTGATGGGCATTCAGGCTGATTTCGAACGGTGAGGCAGTGCAGAGAATGCTTGGGAGCAGGGGCAAGTGGCGAGCAGGAAATTTGTGCGGCTGCTTTCGCTGCCGCTGCTGTCATGTGTTGTTGCTGCTGCTGCTGGTTGCAGCGGGTCCAACAACTAATGGCAGCAGAGATACGCAAGAGCGGCGCTGGCGCTTCCCTTTTTTCCCCCCACGCCATTAACGGACACAGCAGCAACTCGGGCCGCTGCAGCTGCTTCTTGTGCTGTTGAAGGCGCTGAGGCTTTCCAAACAAACCAATGCAGCTGCAGCAGCAGCACCTGCTTTGAGCGGCTCTGAGTGCAAGTCAGGCTGCCTTAACAGGCACTGCAGTGTAGCTGCTTGTTTTTGTGTACTGCCTCGGCATCAGTAGGCGGAACTCAAGAAGATCCTAACGCAGTGACTTGACTGCTTAGGAGCACAGTTATTGCACTCCTTTAAGCCTTGACTGCAGACCGCAAGATTTGCTGCGGTGGCATCTGGTGCTGCAGGAGCGAACAGCTGCTGGTTGCAGCGCTGCGGGTTGCTGCTGACGGTGCCCCATCCCCCATAATTGCTGTCTGTGGGGCAGAGTGAAGTTTGTATGCTTCCCTTGCTGGCGGGCTATTTGAGTCAGACTGTTGGCTGCGTTGCTGTATGTCTAAGGGTAATTCGAATTTGCTTTTATATGTCACTTCGCGTAGTTGCTGCTGCTGGCCTTGTTTGCTGTTACAGGCTTTCGCCAGGCAGCAGCACAACAAAAAATTCGAAATATCAAAAAATTGCAACCAGCAGGCAAAGCGAAGGCTGCCTCTGGCGTACTGGCCGCAGAGCCTCACATAGCGACACGACAGCAGCAGCAACAGCTGCAGAAGCTGCTGCCACTGCAGCAGCCCGAACTTATGAAGCCGGCAGGGCCGTTTTCATCGCTGCCATTGTTTCGCCTGCTGTTGTGCTGCTGCAACTATGGTGCTGCTGCTCCTGCTAGCAGCTCAATTGAAGGATCGAAATAAGGCACCGACCTCGCCTGCAGCAGCACTGTGCCGCTCAAAGCAAAAACCTGAACTGCAACGTAACAACGAACATAATAGGCAGTCCCTAGAGATTAAAGAGGCCTTTGCAATTGTACATCCCTACAATGTTGCAGGAGACCCACCACCAAACAGAGGATAAGCGGCGGCAGCAGCGGCTGCAGTAGCAGCTACTGCTGCTGCTGCAGGCCGCGCTACCCCGACTGCTCTTCCTGCTGCTGCAGCAGAGGCAAGGATGCGTGCACAAGATACCACATGCATCTCCGCAGCCCTCACATGACGTCCACCACGCTTGACTTTGCTGCTGCTGTTGTTCCAGCAGCTGTTTCTGTTGGCGCTGCAATGCGCCGCCTGTCATTGCTCTTGGCAGCCCCAGCTTCCGGAGGGCCGTGTTAAGCACCTAGAGCAACGCAGGGAGGGTAGCAGAAGTCAGCATCAGCAGCAGCAGCAGCAAAAGCGCAGCAGCAAAAACATAAACCGGGCAGTAATCAGTTTCCGGGACAATTTAAATAATTCTTAGATCGCAGTAGAGGACCTGAAACAAATGAACAAATGACGCAGCTAACCTGAACGCGTTCGTGCTTGGAAGTCACTCCCACGAGGCGGGAACCGCTGCCATCTGCAACTGCAGTAGCAGCCCAAACAGCAGCAGCAAAAGTAATATGAAATCGAGCACGCCACGCAGTGGCAGCAGCATTGGCTGCGTCACTGCTGCAGCAGTGGCTGCGTCGCTGCAGTGGGAGTGGCTATGTTGCTGAAGCAAAAGACGCTATGTCACTGCAGCAGCAGTGGCTGCGTCACTGCAGTGGTAGTGGCTGCGCCAGACAGACCTAAGGCCTGGTATTTTTCTTTAAGAGGTATTTTCCTGCCTGTCCTCAAGTCGAAGAGCTGGGCGTGGACATCGCTGCAGCAGCAACAGCAGCAGCAGCAAGATGGCGCCTCTGTTGTGCGGCTTTGTACGTCTAGTATATTTCGTGCTGCTTTTGGCTATTGTGCCTTCCCGTTTTCTGAGGGAACTCTGCCCCTTTTCTTTTTTCCCTTAGCCTCCAGCTATTGTTTTATTAGCATTTCCTAGCTGCCTGCGACCTGTGTGTAGCTGCTTCCCCTGTGGTTGCGTGCTGCTGTCTAATGCTGCTGCTCGTGGGCGCTCTGTGCGCAGCTTCTCTGTCGCTGCTGCTGCTGCTGCGCTGCTGCAGGGCTCCGCCGCCAGCAGGCAGCAGGCCAGTGGAGGCCGCAGAGCAAGTGCAGCAAAAACAAAGGCCCACTGCCGACAAAAAGGTGAGATGCATTTAGGAAAAGGCAGCAGCAAACAGTACAAGCAGAGCCCAAATGCGAAGATGCAGCAGCAAGCAAAGCAGCACAGACAGTGACACTGGCTTGCCTGTTGCACAACAGCAGACCTGACGAGAGGCAAATCTGCAGCCGCCGCCACGCCCACTTTGCTGCTGCTCTCGGCGCTGCTTCCCGCAGCCACAGCAGCACAAAGACCCAAGGAGGGCCCCCATGACCTCCCCGCACGTGGGTTACTTGCCAGGAAGGCGGGGGCCTTCCGGCCCCAACAGCAGCAGCAGCCGCAGCAGCTTCAGCAACTCGTTGCTGCTCAGAATGTAAAGGTAGAGAGCCAGCTGGGGAAAGCACCCCAAACAGCAGACTGCCCAGGGACAGACCAGCAGCTATCAGCAACGCCGATTTGTTTATTTTTTGCGGCTCACTGCCACCAGTTGGGAGCTGCTGCTCCCTGCTGGAAATGACCGGCTGCTGCTGCTGGCGCTGCTGCTGCTTTTGCTGCTGCTGCTGCTCTGAACGCAAGCCAAGAAGGTCCCTGCAGGTCTCCAAAGACACGTGGCGACATTCGAGGCAGGAAATCCCGGCATGCCATTTCCTGAGTGCCACAACAGCAGCGCCAGCAGAAGCAGAGGCAGCAGTAGCAGACGAAGCAACAGCAGACGCAGCAGCAGCAGACGCCAATGTGGAACTCTTCAAAAAAGCCATGCAAAACCTCCTGCAGCTGGCGCCGTAGCAGCCACGGAACACAAATCCCAGCAGCAGCGGCGACAGCACGCGAAGCAGCAACGTTAACAGCAGCAGCAAGTGCCGCAGCTGCTGCAGCAGCCTCTGGTGTATGGACAGCTCACCCCTCGGTGCAGCGGGCTACAGCTGCCAGCTTCCCCAGCCGCAGCAAACGCTTGTGCTTCTGCTGCCACTGGAGTCTTTGCTGCTGCAGCGGGAGCGCGGCCTGCCCCCAGGCTCTCTTCAGCAGACAGAAGCAGTGGATGGTAAGGGAGTCTTCAAGCCCGAAGCAAACCCAGGGGCCCTGCAGTAGCAGCAGCAGCAGCAGCAGCAAATAGTAGGCAGCACAGAGTCGGCGCCCCGAAGCAGCAGCATTAATTCGCGCTGCAGCAGCCATGGCAGGCCAGTGAGCTACCGCAAGGGAACCGGTGGCTGCTGCTGCTGCTGCTGCTGCTGCTGCTGCCCTGGCTCAAGCCTAACTAGATGCAACTGGTCCACTACCTCCAGCCTAAACTGCAGCAAAATGCCAAAACTGCAGCAAAATGAAACTTACAGAGAGACAGCCAGCTGTGACTCCAACTTCCCCAGTGGCTATTCTTCGAGGGGGCCCCACGCGGAGGACAGGACCCTGCAGCAGTTCCTGGGGGCCCCCCTCTGCTGCGCCTGGCTGCTCACGCCCGGTGCAGCAGCAGCAGCTGCTGCAGCGGCTGCTCCTGGTGGCCCTGTTATCGCTGCTGCTGCTGCTGCTGCTGCTGCTGCGTCTGTTGCGTCTGCTGGGAGCGTCTACGCACCACAAACGGCCCTGCGGAACACGCAGTTCCGGGTCATCCCCACGGACGTCTTCATCACTTTCGTCACTGCTGCTGCTGCTGCTCCTGTTGCTGCCGCTGCTCTCCCGGCTGCTGCTGCTGCCTCTGCGGCTTTCTACTTGAACGCTTCCGCGCCCAGCCGCTTCAGGGGGTGAGACTACAGCGCTGCTGCTGTCGTGTTCGCTGTCATCACTCCCGCTGCTGCTGCTGCTGCTGCGTCTGCTGTTGCTGCTGCTGCTGTGCGGGCTCTGCTCTTCACTAAACGGCCACGTCTCATAAGTCCCTAGAAAAAACCTGGGAAGTGCAACAATATATTCTGGTGAAGAAAGAAGTATGTAGCCGTTTTCTGCTGCTGGCAGGGACAGGCCTGTCCCTGCTCGCCACTGGAGCTGCTGCTGCTGCTGCTGTTCCTGCCGCTGCCGCTTCTGCTGCGGCTGCTGCTGCTGATCATCCTGCTGCTCATGGTGTTGCTGCTGCTGCTGTCGCTGCTGCTGCTGCTGCTGTGCCATTCTACGGCGGGCAACCCGAACTGCCGTCGGAAGCACATCAAGAGTCTCCGGGGCCATCAGCTTCAGCGACCGCCCCTGGCCAACCAGCAGCAGCTCTTTGAGAACCCATTTGCTGCAACTGCTGCTGCAGCACACGCAGCAGCAGCAGCTGCTGCTGCCTGTGCTGCTGTTGTGCTGCTGGCTATGAACTGGCAAAGTCGCAGTGGCGAGGCTGTGTAGCTGCGGGCAATGGCGGCGAAAGAGGCGCAGAGGCCTAGCAGGACTCCAGCTGAAGAGCTGGTGCAGCAGCAGCTGCAGCAGTAGCAGCAATGAAAACAGACAAAGAGGCACGCAGGCAGCACAAAGGAAAACCAAGAAGATGAGGACACGCATACACATCTTGTAAGAGCAACAAAGTCAATTGCTGCTGCTGCTGCTGCTGCTGCTGCTGCCGCTGTGGCCACAGCGGCAAGTGTAGCTGCACTGGGAGCGTCACCACTCCGGCATGGCTGCAGCTGCTGCAGCTGCTGTAGCAGATTCTGGTAGTGAAACTGCGTCTGCGTCTGCTGCTGTTGCTGCTGTTGCTGCTGTTGCTGCTGGTGCTGTTGCTGCTGCTGCTGCAAAGTGCTGCTGCAGGGGCTCACTTGGGGTGCCTCCGCAGGCGCCCAGTAAGGGAAGGCGATGCAGCCCGACTGTACGGACAGCTGCGGAGGGGCTCGCAGCCACAGCGCCTGCTCGTAGTTGTGTTCAGACACAGCGAGCGCTGGCAGCAGCGGCAGTTCTTGCTGCTGCTGCTGCTGCTGCTGCTGCTGCTGCTGCTGCTGTTGCTGGCGGTGCCCGTGCTGCTGCGGAGGGAGCAACATGTAGTCGTCATGTTGACGCAGCACGGCTACCAGCGGTAAGACACCGCCGCCTCCGCCGCGGCTGCTGCTGCTGCTGCTGCTGCTGGTCATGTTCAAAGAAGGCTGCGGTGTGGAATGGAAGACCCTTGGCTGCTGCTGCTGAAAAGCCGCAGCAGCCACGCCACCAGCAGCAGCACTTGCTGCTGAATCTGCGGCGCCGACGAAGGGAACGGCAGAGCCTGCTCCCCGTGCGGCAGCAGCTGGCCTGCTTAGTGGGGCGGCAGCAGCAGCAGCAGCTGCAGCAGGAACAGCACGCGTTGGCGCTAAGGAGGGCTGGTATACCGAAACTCCTCCTTCTGTTTGTCTCAAAACGAAACACCAGCTTCCTAAAGAAACAGACACAAAACTGGTGGCACGCAGTTGCCAGCAACCGCAGCAGCCGCAGCAGCAACAGGGCCAATCGCAGCAGCAGCAGCAGCAGCAGCAGCAATATAATGGCACTCACCACCCCGTGAGATGAGGAGGCAGTCAGTGGCAAAGTTCCAGCCCCAATGGAGGGCGCCTACGAAGTCCAGAGTCAGCGAGGCCTCAGCTGCAGCTGCAGCTGCAGCTGCAGCTGCTGTTGCTTCAACTGAACCTGCTGTAGGAGCAGCAGCAGCAGCTGCTCCTGCTGCTGGAGCCCCTGCTGCTGGATCCGCTGCTGCTGCCTCTTCTAGGTAAGGCCCGAGAGAGCTCGGCTGTTGGCCGTCTGCTAAGGACGGCGAAGCTGCGTTCTTTGGTGACCTTGCTGCTGCTGCTGCTGCTGCTGCTGCTGCTGCTGCTGCTGCTGCTGCTGCTGTAGGCGCGACGAGGCTCCGTGGGGGCCTGGTTCGAAGCCACCAGCAGCGCCTCAGGCGCATAAAGAAAGACGCGTGCTGCTGCAGCGAAAGCTGAGGGGCCTTTTGGGCTAGTTGGGGGCCCCTGCAGCAGCAGCAGCAGCAGCAGCAGCAAAAAGGTGGTGGCCCCTCACAAGCGGGCCCCACTTGCTTGGGGCCTCTAGCTGCGCTGCTAGCTGCTGCTGGTGGCGGGGGACTCTCGAGTCTTAGCAGCTTCCTTTTGTCCCCTGTGTCTTCTCGCTGGTCTGCTGCTGCTGCTGCTGCTGCTGCTCTTGTGGCGGCGGCGGGGGGTTCTCGGCGTGCAGCAGCAGCAGCTGCTCCTGCTGTTCTGGGGGCCGCTGCTTTTGCTGCGGTGCGATTGCAGCAGCGGCAGCAGCAGCAGCAGCAGCAATTAGAACCTGCGGTGCAAGAGCAAAGAAAGGGAAAGAGCCCATAAAGCAGCAGCGCAGCAGAGCAGCAAGAAGAGCAGCAGCAACAGAAGCAGCAAAAGCACCGAAAGAAGCAGAAGCAGCAGCAACGGGCGCAGCAGCAAACAGCAGCAGCAGCTGGCTTTTCTGTGGCCGTTGCTGCTGCTGCAGCTGCTGTTGCTGCCACTGCACCAGGCGCAGTAACAGGCGCAGCAGCAAACAGCAGCAGCAGCTGCTGCAGCTAACAGCAGCAGCTGCTGATGCAAGGACTGTTGCTGCCAGTGCACCAGACGCAGGCACGGGCGCAGCAGCAAACAGCAGCAGCAGCTGCTGCTGCTCACCTGGG